AAGCTATAGCATTCCACTATCGGTGTGGCATTAGAGAGGCGGAGACAGAAACAGCTCTGCTTTACAGCTACAGCTGCTCGGCGCGCTTTAATAGAGAGCACCCAGCGCGGTACCTGTTAGCGCCTCTCTCAGCTGACCACCTCCTGGCTAATGGCTTCTCAAAAATATCTCACAAGATACCGAATGTTATGAACAAATTCTGGATTGTCCTGCTTCATGATACCTTGTATGGTCAGGTGTGGTAATTATTATCATTCGATCAGCAGACGGAGGCATCATTGGAGCCGATGTCGAGTTCGGCGTAACTACTACGCTACTTGTCGACAGCACGACGGCTGCGGGACTGACAGTTGAATGCGGCAACTCGCAGTTCACGGGCTGCTTGGGCGGATGTGCACTCCTTACCTTCCCGCATCCCTCCCTACCATCCATTCGGTCGAGCTATCCCTACTATCTGCCATGCCAAACTGCGTCTCATTGTATTTAATTATATATTACACTCCAGATAACATAACATCTACTTATCCATCGACCTACCCACGCATATATAGGCCTGGTTACATACTTTCCAAGTATTTAGCTCCGCATTTACCCACGAATTTTTTAAAATGCTATCCAGAGCATATATCGTTATATGTGAAATTATATTAAGTAATCTACGTATCTAGTAAAACATAAGCAGCTAATAGCAAAGATACTGTAGTATCTACTTTCTGATCATTTTTCGCACAGTCTGACCGCAATTTGCTTACCCCTGTTCCCCTTCCACCCACCACGAGCGTTGCAGCACTCTCCTCAATCACGCTATGGTTCCTCAACTCTAGTTAACGCCTCTCAAGTATCTTTTCTTGTACACAAAAAATGACACAATAACTACTCTTCGTGAGATGCAAACTAATCTGGAGGTGACTAGCAGATTAACTTTGCAAAGATTTTTCTGTCCGTTTAGGCAGGAATGCATACCAAGTAAATGAAACGATAATCTTCTCGCAACAGGAGACAAAAACGACTGAGCAAACAAGGCGCTTTTCGAAATGCAAGCTATCATTCACGAAAACGCCGTCAAATATTGATGTTGCTTGAACGAAAAAAACTGCTTCGATAAGATTAAATGATATTTACTTCGGTGTAATTTCTTTATGAGTTTCTAACTGAACTGTTGTTTACAGTTATTTGTTTAACAGCCATCGTTGCAGTAAAATTGTGAGGTTACTAACTTTTTCAATGTTGCCTGTTATTATATTATGCTCGATTGTCATAATGATTTCGATGTAAATGCCGTACAGCTCACGTAACAGTTCTGCTTTCTGAGTTTGCTCGAATTGGCTATGTAAGTAAACGTAAATTCTAAACATATAACTATAGATTAGTATTGGTCGGTGAGATATGTACGCACTAGCATCGTCAACTTACTGCAGATTGTCCGTAATATCACCTTATGTGTGAGCTTATGAGCTCAATTGGAAAATTTACGGAACTTTATTTACGAATTTTCATGAATGTTGTTTTGGTTAAAAACTTGCTCCTTTCTTATCAAAGACTTCTTAGAGTAAGTTTTACTGTTGCGAACTGTAAATTAATGAAAAAGAAGAAGGTTGTGAATCGAGAACGTTGCGCAAAGGAAAAAAATGTATTGCAACATGTTTTATTTGATGCTCCGATAAAATAATGGCCACAGTATTGCTTTATTGATGGTTATTTTTATTTTTCACTTGTTTCATAGTCATGAGGTAACTTGCTGTAATTATCTAGCTAAATGTTTTGGTGGGTGCTGTATAGGGTAAAAATGTGAATACTGTTATGTGAATACCACATACCATGTTATGTAATACCACATGTTATGTGAATACCACATTAAATGCGTTATGATGAATATTACTCACGTCAATCATCATCCAATGACCATCATATTTTTTGTTAGCGTTTCTTACAATTGCGTATAAATTCATTCACATCATAATTAATATATTTGTGTGTTATTGAAGCATTATAATTAATGTCACTCTCAATGTTACAATATTTTATTGGTAATTATCTAATAAGAAATTCAGGCAGATTTAAAACCGTTAATTGTTATTACGCAGTGTTTTTTATTTGTTTACACTAATTACGAACAGATTAGGGCTCCACAGATACATACATAAAAAAGGAAAACAATTCTATATTCTAATACTTGTGGTAATATGAAATAGAGACGACATTGGACGAAAATTGAAAATTGAGAAAACGTGATTATTTTTGGCGAAGTTTACCATGATAGTTTTCTCTAGATGATCTGAAAAAATGAGAAATGCCACCGGATATATAACTAAGGTTAAAAAATTAGATGTGTTTTCTGGCATGGAAACGGTGAAGTAAGCTAAAAAAACAAAAAAATAATTGAGTGTGATATGTTTATTGTAATTTCAAAGTCAGCATTATTTGCATCTAAATCTGTACTAGCACGGAAAATATATTTTTTTGTCACATATTTCTGAAGCTCTATTTTACTTCTAGGCAAAATTTAAATAACAAAATTCTTTTTATGTATGGTAAAATATATATAAATATTTTTATGAACGAAAATTGTCTAATTTTTTTGTCCAAATTGTCCAATTTGAACACAAGTTTTGGCAAAATAAGCATCTGAATTTCCTAATTGTTCAAAGTTGAGTGACTAATCGCTGAAAATTCTGTTACGTTGAAAACCTGAAATCTAATTAAGAGGTGATGGTTTCGAAGTTGATTGAGCTTATAATTAAATGCTGTTCTTGTGCGCGCAATATTATTTGTGCAGGTTTAACTTAAGGAAGAAATAATGACCGTGCAAGCAAGTGAATTCCATTGTTGAGCAATCAATATTTTGTTATGTGCACACTTCCCAATTTTAGTTTTATTTTAACGGCAGAAATGCAAAAAAGTATCCGCCAACTTTGTTTTCAGTTGGCTCATCGGCAACTTCATTTGTTAGGCTCACATATTTAAGCGACTTAACTTTGTTGAGCCGCTAAAAATTTACCTTCAATTGGATGAAGTTAGACATGCAGCTCATGCTGCACCTCGATGCAACGCTACTACTCTGGAAAGGACAGACTTCCTTTGAAATATGTCTTCTGATCATAATCTATTTCTTCAGTATGCTCATTACTTGTAGTTCTTCAAACACCCAATATTAAATGTAATTTAAAAGAATCTGTAAAAACCACTTCAAATCACCTTGTTATCACCTTGTTAAAACGTTTATTTAATCTACGTATTTACTTCTTTAATTGACAACTTTTAACTTATAATATTTTCATTTTTTATCTGAAAAAACGCTCATTCATGTGATTAAAATACCCATTGCAGTTACGTTAGCAAATTTCGTTTCTTTACCTAACCTAAATGTATACCCTTGGCTATAAGTCAACGTTGCCTTTTCCTCTCTCGAATGTTCCATTGTCGCGAATGTTCCATCGTTTGGAAAGTGCTGCTGACATGTAGCTTTTGCCAAGCAACAAGTGAAGTATACGTGAATATACAAAGATACGTAAACAGTCTAATAGGTCACTAGTAACGTACGTGCACGTTCTTATTGTGCGCGAACTTCTGAGACGAATACTCATCAATTAATTATTTACACGCTCATCTACGATAAGTATAGAGTATAGACTGTTCAAAAGTACGACTGCGACAGGTATATATACAGAAATGAATGAAGCGCTCACACGTACACGTTGATTTATAGTATGAGACGTGTGTACTCCGACTAAATGAACAGCATCTATATTCGCGTTTAATCGTATGGAACATAATCATTTCTACGTCTGCTTGAATGGGCTTCTGGCACGCATACGTGCGATTGCAGGAAGTTCTTATTCGTATATATAAGACTATGAAATTCCCACGCACTATTACATGTAAGCCCGCACTGTGTCCCCAGTACGGATGGCCCCACAGTCCCACTGACTGTTCACACTCACATACACTGATGAATGTGACGATATAAACTTTTCAAACGAAAAATTCGAAAATTTTGCTCCTCGATATTGATCATCATTCACCAAGTTTAATTGCTGCTTCAATATTACTAAATCCGCCACAACAACGAATTTTAATATGCAAATAAAGTGGGCTCATTCATAAACATTTATTTTCTCGTACTTTAATTATTTTATTTATTAATTGCTGTGTAGATCTGTTGATGCGCTGCCACGTAATAGTAGTGTAGATATTGTAGAGCATGGTGCTTGCCTGGAGACTTCAACGTGGCGCAGCGGGTGCAGGAAGTGATCTATGTACACCAAGTTGCTTATATACCTGCCGTGTGCTAGTTATGAAAGTTCTTCGAGATCAGATTCCTCAGCCGAGTCGAGGTATTTACTGGTAATTGTTTGCTTTTTAAAAAAAAATTAAATTTGTCAGTCAAGGCAGAAATGTTTCCGCTTTATGCCATCCATATTGAGTTAATGGTTAAGCGATGGCACAAAGTCGTTCACTATTTCTATAATACGAGAACCTATTTTTGTGTACTCTTTATCGCTTGAATGCAGTGAGTGATCCCGTACGTAAGCCTATACGACAATCATAAAGACAGGACGTGGCGGCTGCCGAGCTCTACAACGGGACGATACGCCGTGCAAGGTCAACGAGTTGACGAGTATCCTGTCTATGGCTGCCAAACGCCTCAATTAGGCAGGGATTATCTCATTTAAATCATTCAAAGCATTCGAACAGTCCGACTTTCTCTGTTAATAAGGTCCTTATTGATATGATTCTCTTGATGAATTTAAACGAACATAATTGCAGATCTAATTTCCAATCACCGGAAATGGAACGAGAGTTTTATAATTCAGACTCGCATAATGTATTAATGGAGGTTTCGTACTATGTGATACGAGCCTACCAGTACTCCCGTTCATCCAGGAAAAGTTTTAATTACTATAACTTCTGTGTTTTGCATGTATTTGAAATGCTACATGTAGCAGCAGCAGTTGTTGCTCCCTGCTTTGGTTTGAGGGTTGAGCTGCAGACGCTGACTGGCAACATTATCAGTAACGCCTGAGAACTGAAGTGGGGTGGGTGACGTCGCTCTCGGCTAACGCAAAGCTCAAGCTTGTTCTGCTCACCCTCAAATCCACAGTAAAATGTCCACAAGTTCTTTCGATGCCTCTCTTTCCATGAACCTAACGTGAAGCGCAAATAAACTTAGGTCGACGCGGCGATTCTCAATCTTGATCAAGATATTTTCTGATGGCCAAGTGACTAAAGCGTAAGGAGTGCGAGACAATGCAGTGCAAAGCGTGTGCGATTCCTGAAGCGTAAACATTTCTAAAGTGTGAATTATATATAATCAGGGATGGCGTGTCCGATGTCGTGTTATTGTGGCATGGTTGTCAAGTGTGGTTGCAACTGCACCACCCGGAAAGAGAATCAAACACCTAAGAACAAACGACTCGTGTACGTGCTTCTGCTGGGCGCCGCAGAAACTGGAAAATCCACCATGATGCGCCAGATGAAGATCATCCACGATGGAGGTATGTCGGCCAATTCGCTGAGATCTTACAAAAACCACGTGATCAGGAACGTGCACAATTGTTTGAAGATGTTACTGAAGGCAGTGCGTGATTCCGGAATGCCTTGGGCATCAGATGACGCTTGTAGAGCTGCAGCGACCATGACCGGCCTCAATGCAATAGCTTGGGGGCTTGACGAAGACGAGACGGTCGCGTCGATGGCGTTAGTCCCTGCAGATCATTCGAAACTAGCCTCTATTATCTGGAACGACGAAACTGCCCAGGCATGCTGGAACCGGGCGAATGAGTTTAATTTACCGGATAGCACGGCCTATTATTTAAATGAGATAGAGAGGATAACAGAGGAACCATATATCCCCACCCAAGAAGATGTTCTGAGGCTCCGGTTGCCAACCAAAGCTGTCGCCATGTACGACTTCACCGACGATGACAATGGCTGGACCTTCCAAATTACGGACGTCGGAGGTCAAAGAGGCGAGAGGAGACGTTGGATAAGGTTATTTGATGGCATACACGCTATAATCTTCTTAGCAGCGCTCAGTGAATACGACCAATACTGGAGCGAAGAGGAAGAAGACGGAGGTATCAACCGACTCGAGTTGTCGCTGAAGCTTTTCCGAGAGACAGTAGAGTATGACGGCTTCACCAAAGCCACTTTTATTCTATTTCTGAACAAAGTGGACATTCTGCAACAGAAAATAAACTCTTCTCATTTGGACCGATATTTTCCCGATTACTACGGCCCTAAAGGGGACTCGCAGAAGGCTATCAAGTACATTCGTGACCTCTTCTTGGACACCGCCGGGGCTTGCAAGAAGAGTGTGTACCCGCACGAGACCTGTGCTACTGACACAAACCGAACTCGGTTTATCTTCACAGCTGTCAGGGATCATATCCTGTGGACAAACATGGCACGGTTCTTCGACCACATCCCTTGACTCTCTTGCCTATCAGTCGCGTCTGTGATAACGTCTGATCTTCTATTTTTTATCCATTGCTGTACATTCGATACTTTATTTTAATTAATGATGTACTCTCGAACGTTTATTTTAATTCGTCGATGTACTCTCGATCGTTTATTGGTGACGGTAAAGCGATAATCGAGGCAGTTCAAACTTTATGTATTTTTCTTGAAATTGTGTTGTGATTCGGTGAAAAATAAGGATATGGTGTAAAAATGATGAAGATATGTTCTGTTTAAGTGGATTCATTTGTATCATTTTCGCGCATAAGCGATTTACGTTGTCATCTTGTGTCCATTAAGTTGACTGCATTGCGTTAGGCCTTGCGTCAAGCCCTCATAACATGTCAGGTGTTTCCTGCGCATATTCCTTCTCCGGTTTCCTGAGCCTATTTCAACCAATGATTTTATTAAATATTTGATTGCGAAATGTTTGTATTGAGCGAGTAAAACAGATTTCAATATATTTATTTCGGCCGTCCAAAATATACGAATTTATAGGAACAGTTTCCTTTGACACTGTTAATAATACTTACACGCATATGACTCACTGCAAATGTTGTCGTTTCTATAGCTTTGCAACTTTTCGCTTTACTATTATGATTCTTTTTTGGATCATTCGGTTACTCCATGCGAGTTTTTCTCCTTTTGTTTTGTAAAACCTGTGATGATATCCAGTTAGCACCGCTGTATGCACAGTGGTGTCGCACTGAGATGAAAAGGGCTACCCGAGGGTTCGAGCCTTGGGAAGCTCAGTTCATTTCTCGGTGTCGATGGAGGGCGGCGCTTGATCGTCGCCAAAAGTGGTGTTTTCGGCATGGTTTTGGGTTGGTGTCCCTAAACGCACCATGGGTACATGATAACTGGGGGATCTTGAGGTCCTAAGCTACGTGAGTTTATTGTATGAAATCAATTTATTCTCAATCAGATTTACTCTCGAAGTTTTGTTTTCTTCACTCACAATTTTTCTCTAATTATGACCATGCAAGTACCTGCGCCATATGATGTTCCTAAATCTGATAATCCCTGTAATCTTGTTATTTTTAGTCATTAAATTTGTTAAAAATATTGATAGACGTTTCTATTACCCTTCTCAGTGAGTTATTTCTGTTTGGGCCGATACCCAACTAACTCATCCAATCATTAATGAGTATTTCGCCTTAACTTATCCAATCGAATAAGCTCATCTCGGTAACACTTATCCGATCTAATTGGCTCATTTCGACAACAATTAACCTTTAAAACCCCTATCCACTTCAATCAGAACAACATGTAATTAAAAAATAATAGTATGATCAGTCTAAGCATATTCATTCAATTTCAATTCTGAGCTTGCTTTTTGGAATTGAATTAAATGAAAGGGACTGGATCACCGGACCAGTGCTGACGAAATATCGTTCGTAAAATCATTTTATAATTAATTCCTTCCATCATTATCATTAGATCTCTTTGATTAACAATGGTATATTGGATAAGTCAAGGCAGTTTTTGGATCATCAAACACATAACAGTTTTCGATGATTTATTCAATTGCACTGAAAGTGTCTGAAACCCCTTTCAGGGCTTCTTTGCCGAAAAAGATAAAAATACTGGGTTCCAAAAAATTTAAAGATGAAGTGTTGCTAAAAATAGTTTTCATTACTGTTTTGTTACGTGAAGAAATGAAGTTCACAAACGGGCGCCATTCAAAGCAAGATCTTTACAGACTACACATAATATAATACCGTACATTAAAATATAACTATAAAATACCGTTACTTATTCGGATAAATTAATCTAAATGAAATTAGGTCATAGGAACTTTAATAGAAAGAAAATGTTACTCGAAACATGTGCGGTTGTTCTTTAGTTAAGACTTACGCACGTTTTTGTTTATTAGGGCCTGGCTCTTGCTATACTGCATGGTTACACATGGCGTAATTATAGTACCATTACCTGATTTTTTCTACTCAAAGTTCGCTCCTTGACCCTCAGGCGAGTTTTAAAATATGTACTAACTCGGTATTTCAATGAAAAGTAATCTGTCATAAGGATTTTATGACCCAGCATTATGGAAGAATGCGTCTGGCATCTACCATTTTTGGGCCTCTAATTTATCCCTAGATTGCCGCCATAAACCCGCGATGTAAAGGTCTCGAAGTCCAAGCCAGAAGTATGTGAATATATTTTTCCTCAATCTACTGTGAGGACCACGAGGCTTTATGGTCTACTTGTGTAAATCAAAAGTTTATTTAAAATGGCCTTTTGTTTTCTTAAGCAAGTCAGGGTGTAATCTGAATTTTATATGCCAGCTTGCTGAAGTAGTGTGCCTGATTGCCTATAACATTGGTATAGTTGGCTGAACTTGTTTTTAATGAGAGTTTTAACACATAAAAGTGTTTCTCATTTACAATTTTGTTATTATTTTTCTCAATTCGGCGAATTAGGCTTACGATTGGGCTAGAAAATTCAAGTATAAGGTATCCATGGGACATTTTATTAAAATTTACGACGTTTCCAATGCCACTACATGCATTATCAAGTAGTGGAAGAGTTTTGCAACACTTGAAATTGAAATTTTGAAATGACTGGTACAAACAAAGGGTATTATGGATGCAGATTCAATTACGAGAACAGTTTCAACGCCCTGACAAATTCGGTGGTTTGTAAATTTATAGCTGGAGACTCATATTTGATGATGAGAGCCTCAGCTATGGCCAGTCTTGTGGCGTCTGGGCATCTCATGACGATGCTGGTGCAGGTCTCCAACGTCGCGAGTGAATGTCTCATTATGAGCCTCTCTCATGTGGTTCTTCGGTCCTCTGGTCTGGAGGTGGCATGTTAGACGGCGGCTCGAAGTCGTGCTGGTCAAACCAATGTAATTTACATTCCAGAGAAGCCTTCAACCTTTTGTGTTGCATGAATATTTGTAAACAACATTTGCCTCTTGTTATGGTCCCGACTTTTTGCATGTATTATTTTTCATTATTAAATGCTTGAGTTTCTTGTTTTTATAGTAAATCAGGAGTTTGATTTGGTCGGTTGCGTCAGTGCTTCTGATGTTACTAGACAAAATTGATTTCAGGACACTTTATTCTGTCTTAAAGCCTCTATAATTATCTGGTTTTGGTAATAAATTGTAATACTTCCGTTTGAATGTAGGTTCGTAGTCCGTTTGGTTTTGACGTGCTAGAATTTGCTTGCAGATCACCAGAGTGCTGGTTTTGTATCCCTGTAGACATTCGTTTACTTCGAATAAAAAATACTCTTCGGTCATCAATGAAACCTGCATTAAAGATTGCCTATAAGGGCACTATTGCCTCATCATTTTTTACATGTTGATCGACGTGAATTGGCGAGTAATACGATCGTTTAGATAAAGTACGTTTAAATAAACTTAGTTAATTGCGTAGTTTATTAGAGAATATATGTTAGACACGTTCTAGGTTGACAGATAATTTGAATAGGCGTCAAATCCCAATGAAGTGTACTTAAATTTAACTACCATTAAATTACCTGCTAAATGACATTTTTTACCTTCATTTTTAAGTGAAATTTTATATTGAATAATAATAAAAATAATGTCATAATAGTGTGTCAGGGGCCATTTGCTGATGGAAGGCTAATTGATTAAGAAAATAGTTAGATAAAAACTACATAGAAACTGGTCGATAACTCTCCCTTAATACTGTATTTAACATGCTGAGGCTAACAGTCTTTACAATATTGAGATTAACAGACGTTATCCTGCCGAGTCAAAATATGTTTCATAACCTTTCTGTACTCGCGGTCTCACAGGAAAATCCTCCTCTTAAATGGATAAAAAGTACCGAATGATTTTCTTTAACTTAAAAAATTTTTTAACTTAATTTAACTTTAACTAAATTTCCCAGCGCGTAGCGGAAAAGAAAGAGCGTGAATCGCACGCAAATTTTCCCGCAACGGAAGTCGCGTCGCGTTTGTATTTTCCGCGCGCATCTCTTGCTGAACGAGAGGTGATTGCGTGCTGATGCAGGATACTGTAGGACACTGCAGCCTGCAGGACACTAAGGGACACTGCAGGACACTGAGGGACACTGCAGGACACTTGGTGGTGCACTAGACGTAAGCCTTGGACCGTATAATATCGACTTTAGTAAGAAAAAACTTGAGGCTGCGAAGCTGCATCGCGCAAAATTGGGTAAAATTGACGTAATAAACGGTCTCTGTTCACTTGTCTTCGTCAATTTCCTAATTAGACGCGCATATTTTATTAACCGAATTAACGGCCATCAAACCTTATACAGATCGCATTTTTAAGAAGACAGCGAAATATCTTGAATTTTTACATCTAGTCTTTGGATTTTTAGGATTTATGTTTTGCCAGCAACTCATTTTCTTATTTTATCTTCGTTTAATTTTTAATATATGTGCAGCCATCTCTGGCTGAGAAAAATGATGCCTCTGGAAGCTGCGCTACCAATTTATTCAGCTTGACTTTTTATTTTGCTTGCCATAAAAAGACCTAAAATAATTTGTTTATTAATGTCTATTGTATCTCGTGAATCTTTTCCGGTTTTCTATCACTTTTTTTTAGTTTCTTTCGAACATTTAATTCAATTTCAAGGAAGGCATCGCCAATATGTATACGTCCTTCCACCCATGAAATTCATACAAAATTTGAGGATTGAAGCTTATTTCAATCACTTTGCTCCTAGTTTCTTTTGAACATTAAATTCAATTTTAACGAAAGCATCGCCAATATTTATACGTTTTTCCACCCATGATATTCTTACCTTTGAGGGTAAGAAGGACTGTCGAACTATCATGAAGGACTGTCAAACGATCATGAAGGACTGTCGTACGATCATGAAGGACCGTCGAACGATCATGAAGGACTGTCAAACGATCATGAAGGACTGTCGAATGATCATGAAGGACCGTCGAACGATCATGAAGGACTGTCGAACGATAATGAAGGACTGTCGAATGATCATGAAGGACTGTCGAATGATCATGAAGGACTGTCGAACGATCGAACGACGTAGGCGTATCGAACCCCGGACGCGAGGTTCAACGATAGCTGCAGGCTTAATGCATCGGCATGACTCGACACATCTCTTGCTTACGACGCAAGTTATTCAATATCCCGCTGCCGGCGATCAATGTTCTTGACAATGACTGCAGTTCTGACGGATAATAACTTTTCTGTAAAAAATCATGGAAAAGGGTGACAAAAAAAAGGGAAATAGCGTCGCACAGGATAGGGAAATGTTGTGGCAGGTTCTGAAGAGTTATTTACGATCAAAACGGACTTTATTTTCAAATTATTTAATGATATTTATCCAAGAATAATAGTGATCATTTTTTGTCGATATAATAATCAAATGTAATCTGCTGTGTCGACTGATTCCCGTCTTATTGAACTGACGAAGAAATAGGTTTGGAATGCGGCTAAAAATTCCCATGCATTCGTCTGATTCCCTGGAGGAAAATAACAAGTAAATAGAATGTCGCCAGGCTCGTACACGCATCGAACAATTTATTTGACAGTGCAAAATGTGGCTAGTCTTTGTACAAGATATTATTGCATGAATTTTTAGCTGCTTGCTATTTTACTGGGAAAACATCGTCTCTGGATAATAATTTTGGCTTAGCTGCTGCGACTCTCGTTGCTGCACTGAGCAACTTCTATAAGCTGATTGAGAAAATTATATAATAATATATGTATATATATATAAGTCACAAGGCATATATATGAGTCAATTGCTCATGGATACCATCTTCATATTATGACTGCTTCTCTTAAATGCAGCTTACATCTCAGTTTATTTTGAGCTTAAGCCATACACTGGTGTCTATATTACCGTACATTGGCATTCGCACATCACGAAATAAGAATCTTCGTTCCGTTAGATTTCTCTGCAGTACTTATCAGGTGCAGTACTCGTCAGGTGCAGTACTCGTCAGGTGCAGTACTCGTCAGGAGCAGTACTCGTCAGGTGCAGTACTTGTCAGGTGCAGTACTCGTCAGGTGCAGTACTCGTCAGGTGCAGTACTCGTCAGGTGCAGTACTCGTCAGGTGCAGTCGTCAGCAGCAGTACTCGTCAGGTGCAGTACTCGTCAGGTGCAGTACTCGTCAGGTGCAGTACTCGTCAGGTGCAGTACTCGTCAGGTGCAGTACTCGTCAGGTGCAGTACTCGTCAGGTACAGTACTTGTCAGGTGCAGTGGACACAACAATTCCTACCTTCCTCTGGACGAGCTAAGGATTCGCTGAGTATTTTTATACAAAAATATTTCTTTACTGTGGCTTGCACTATTTTTAATAGCATAAAAAATATGTAAACCTCACAATTTCAAAACCCGCCAGTCAATACATTTGGATTGTGGTAAGATTAAGCTCAGGTAGTGCATTTTTTGTCCATGTAGCTCCATTGGGTTAGAAAATGCTGCTTAAAGTTTGGTTAAAAACGTTTTAAAATTTGATGAAACACTCCCAGTTCTTTGGAGGCTTCGCAAGGGCAACGAACTGTATACGTTTGGGCAGCACGAAGAGCGGTAGCAAGCTTTCGAGCATTTGTCTCGTGTAATATTAGCTATTTTAACGCTATTTGGTGTTACAGTCTTCTTTATTTTACGCTATTTAACTGTTTACTATAATCGTGGAAATAATAAATCTAATAATAATTATTTGTTTTGTTTTTGTTTTTCTCTTATCATTTTAATTTCATTGATACAGTATTTGACTCTTAATTATTTCCGCCTCATTGTTAGTAAAGTTTTTATTTCTCTCAGTTTCAAGAATAAAACTGAAAAATTAATAATATAATATAATAAATAGAAATTTTAGGCTTTAAAAAGCTTAAAAACATAGAGGCTTAAAAAGTCGCACGAGGGTCAGATTTTGATGCTGACATGTAGCTTAATTGGGCCGAGCGATCTTGCCTGTTAATCTTTACTGAGAGGACGTTAATGTAGCTTCGCTGAGAAGACGTTACTGTAGCTTCACTGAGAGGGCGTTACTGTAGCTTCACTGAGAGGACGTTACTGTAGCTTCACTGAGAGGACGTTACTGTAGCTTCACTGAGAGGACGTTACTGTAGCTTCACTGAGAGGACGTTACTGTAGCTTCACTGAGAGGACGTTACTGTAGCTTCACTGAGAGGACGTTACTGTAACTTCACTGAGAGGACGTTACTGTAGCTTCACTGAGAGGACGTTACTGTAGCTTCACTGAGAGGACGTTACTGGGTGATCAAACGTGTAGCTTTACTTTCGTCAGCTCTAGCTTGAAGACTGGATCGGATTATCAAAGATAGTTACGAGGTAGAGGCTCCATCAGCCAATCATTGACGGTTTTTCAAGTTAGACCCATCAATCATAAACAAGAAATCGGCCACTTCTTATACTTAAGAATCTACAGTTTAGTATGTGCGGACCTGACCAGTGTTGTCGCTCATTCAGGATGCAGATGCAAGCGCCGTACATGATCAATATGGTTAAGATTCGAAATTGAAAAAAACAAGGAAACAGAAACGACCTTTTTAGACCATGGTTTCCAGTACAAGCTAAATTTACAATCGTGCTCATGAAATTTATAAATGGTACATCAAAGTATAGTTGATGTTTAAAATTTTGTTAATTATATTACTAAAGCTCTTTTACATGTAAATTCTACGAGATACAACAAAGGATTGATTATGGAATGAATGATACGCCAACTATTAAGACTCACCCAATTACACTTAGCGTCCGATTTTTTTTATCTGTGATTGGTGGGATTAGCTTGAAAAGCTGTCAATGATAATTATCTGACGACGGAGTTACGAACTCGTAACCATTTTTTATAGTTGGGCCCCTGGAATTTACTGCTTCTGTGATTCGCTCAAAACCAGTTGGACCTGAAAAAGATTCAGAGAGCTTAATGGGATGCATCAGAGATACGGTACAAGAATCGAGGACTCAAGTTCTGAGCCTGATAACTATTGATTTTTATAGAAGTTGAACCGTTACGCTCAGTGCCACGCATGTAAACCTTGATATTTTACGATAAAAAAGATTTTCTTGCTTGCAAGTCCACGTTGTATCTATAAAAAGCTACAGCAAGGCACTTTGACACCCGTCAAGCTTCGTTAGCTCAGTTAGGAAATATATATTTCAGGAAATCAATTCATAAGAGAATCAATGTTTAGATCTTTTTATATATTGTAATGATGTAGATTATTTACAAGCCCAAGCTAATACAGCCTAGGTTTACTGCCAATTAAAGGAATATAAATAATTAGAAGCCTGAAGGCCTTGTAAATTAGTAGCACAAACAATTTGCATACTTCATTGTACTTGTTGCGTAGTTTATTTTCTCTAAAAAGGATTAAAATTTTTTCGTAAATTTGAAAGTTACTCCTCATATAAATAAATGAAATTTATTATAATTAAGAGGCTGAGATCACAAATCAGTTCATTAGCTCACCGTAACACGATAGGGGGCGGAACCGACCCAGCGTGGCTCTGGTAAACTGTTATCAAATGTTGCTCGAGTTGGACTATGGCTAATAAATACCAAGTTTCACTAAACACTCATAAATTAATTAAAATCTTATTTGACCAAAATTTTTCTATGGAAATGGTATTGGGCGAGCGTTGACCACTTGTCACATCTTTAAACCGGTTATTAGCGCGGCATACATTCATTTAATCAGGAACCACAACTAAAAAGAAAATTCATGTCTTCCTATGTATCTAAAAATGTTTTCAGCTAAAAAATAGGTTTACTGCAATATCATAAAAGACTAAATATGTATTCAGTTATAGAGCATAGACGTACATCCTACAAAAATAAACATTACAAACATAATTGGCCTTCCGCCTCACCTCATAAAAAAAGGTATAAACTTAAATTGAATTATTATTATAAATAAAAATGTTAATAATATTTATTAGAAGCATAGAATGATAATTAAAATAAAATTACAGTAATTCAAGAATGAAGCTTTTCATCTGAGATCAGATTTGTTTGATTTATGTTGAATAAGAAGGCATGCCGTTTCGTTGAGTTTTATGAAGCACAGTGAAAAACTTTATTCGAGGAAAACCATTTCTTATTCATAAATTCTCAGAATTTAGTTACCAGACTGAGTAAAATTTTAAACAGCCGCACATCGGATAAAAAGACGTGAGAATCTTAAGACAATGCCACGGAAGTGCGAGCAGCAACAAGGAAATTTGTTTAACGGTCGAATTTTTGAGGCTGAAAAGGTGCAGCAGTTCACAAAAAGTTGTCACGTATCTCTCTCGCGTGCGTTATGTGTGCATTACCGCAAAAGAGAACTAAACTTATGGTTATATTCTCAATGAAACCCACGTGTTTAATTGGGATAATATTCCCGAGACAGAAGAATTTGCGAAGAAATATTCTATAATTTTTTCGAATGAAATGTTGTAGATTAGCGGTAGAATTTTATGATGATAAGTACGTAACTATACAATGAAACACTGTAATCATGTGGGATTTGCTATGAATATTATAAAACGTACAAAAATTTTGTTTTCGCACATGCAAAACGCGAATTTAATAGTTTGGATTCATGTAACATTTGCACTCGCAAGCAGTACATGTGGTATAAAACTTCGTAACTCCGGCAGTTTTCATTACTTAAGGGTAATCGAAATTCCGAAGCAATGCTGGAACAAATGCGCACAAAAAATTATTTTTTTTTTGTTCAAGAACGGATAAAATTTGTATTCATGTTTGAAGTTGCTCCTCTCGATTTAAAAGCATGGCGATTTAAAAGGACACCAGCAAACTAAATTCCTTTGAACTTGTGAAATGATAAGCTAGTCGTCGGTGGTCTGGCAGGGCTCTGCCCTGATGGCAGTAGCGTCAGTTACTGGCATCACATTACAGCTACGTAAGTCAGAGGCTTATTGTGCGCTCTATTGCGCGTCCAACTCGCCACTTTCCCGCTAGATCTTCTCGCGACCTTACGTGGCAGGTAGTTAGTTGTTTAGCCGCTATATTTTCATTGATTATCGTGCGTTTTTATTATTATTTTACGGATACGTTCATGGCATTTATATTTGTTATTTGGTGCTGAGTATGTGTGACCTTATGAAAATAATTGAGAATTCAATGAAAAATTAAGAGTTCTTGTTATGAAATGCTTGATGAAAATCGAACAAACAACATTCATTTAAATAATTGTTCTCTTATTTTTTGTCAACATGGCCTCTTCTCCTTGCATATCTTACAAAATGTTTCATTTCTTCTAATGTTAGACAGCCTTACATTTTATTGCATATTGAACTATAAATTAAACGTAATGTATAAAGCAATACACCTTTATTTCCAACAGCGTTAAATTAAATACCAGTAATGCAGCCAGAGCTCTCAAAAAATTTTTAGCAAAGAATTTCGGAAAAAAAGGAGAACCAATATATTAGATATCGGCTCTGAGAAGTCAGGTCAAATATTTATAAAACATATAAATAGCAATTGAACTTCGTGGGTTCTTTAACATAATTTCCTCACTTGTTTGTGGTGAACCCTCTTGCATACGATTATATAAAAATCGAACGAAGTTTCGCTAATCGTCCTGGCTGTAAATGACTAATTTTTATTTTGTTTTCTAATGCAATCTTTATGCGCGTTTATATGTTTTCAGATTCAAATCTTAAACAACTAACGATGGCCAACCGATCGTTGGCCGCTAATATGTCGCACTGTTCTACCCATCACGGCCAATAGAACCTAAGGAAACTTTGTTCATCGAAAGGACAAAAAGCTTATATCAAGCTTACGTGATAGTACAATAAATTTTGAAATCTTCTCCATCAAATCATCTTGGCTCTAAATAATTAATTTCTATTTTATTTTTTCTTTCAATCTTTTTGTAGCCTAATATGTTTTCAGATTCAAATCTTAATATCTGCAAATTTGTTTCCAGGTTCACGAGTTTCTGGCGCCTCAAAGGCAAATATCAACAGCAGACATGCGGCGCACGGTGAGTCCGCTGTTGGAGCTCTATAAAATATTTTAAAAAGCTTCTTGGTGAATTTAAAAAGCATCTATCCAGAAAATTTATTAGAGTGAACGTCCTGAGATTGTTGACATGCTTTCTATAAATTATACTTGCACTATTTGATAAGCATACACGACTCCGTGGCAACGGATAGCAATGCTGTTTCAATAGGGAGTGGAAAGGGCACATTCATGACGTATGAAACGAAATTTTCTAAAATAATTTTCCAAGTTACATTATTTATAAACTGCATCATTAATATTACAAATTTATGATACTGATTTCGAAGAAATTTCAATTCTGAATTCCAAAACCAGTTTGCAAATCCCCTTCTTCTTGAACAATAAGTAATACGAGTACATAATACGAGCATACAAACTACTCTATACTAGCAATTTTATGTAAATAAGAAACAAAGACTCATCATTCAACTTAAGCTTCTGTTTAAAAACATTCACGGTTTTATTTAAAAAAAGTAAAAAAAAAACTTTTCATTGAGTCCAGGGAGTTGAGTCCGGCTGGGTGAGGGATATGTAAATTTCCATTCCTATCATTATAACCACTCTGTCAATTTCAGTTCAACCCTTAATTCAAAGTTATAATTACATAATATAATTTTCAAATTGATGATGAGTTGAATTCTGGAACGTCAACACTAAGTTAGTTATTTTGTGTTAAGCATTTCATTGACTTACCAACGTTTGTCCGCACACATACGTATATCAGGGATGCTCATTTTTAAAATAATTTTGCATATTTTAAATTTGTGCCTGCATCAACGTTATTCTAAGTTATCATGTGATGTAAGGGCTTTTTAACAAATGTGGTTGGTTAAAATCTGACCCCATAAAAATTTGAAAGCTATTCCACCTTGTCTCAGAAGACCACTAACTCATGATGAGTAGTAGAAAAAACTCATCAGCAATGGCATGCATTCATCCAAACATCGCGTAACCTAGCTGGGAACAAATTTCAATGAAGCGCGAAGCTAAGGTCACAATAATTGCTACTTGCGGAGCAGCTTTCTGCGAAGCCTTTGGTCTCGGACAAACTTTTCGAAGAAGCGGACCTTGATTTTAAACGTTTCGGCTTATGAACAAATTAGAAGGGTAATAATGAAGATGAGCCGCTGCTGTGTTGCTAGAGCGAACAATGTGCATAAACTTTCCCTCGAATGTTATATAAGGCCGAGGAAAATTTTTTAGTAACTTACTCTGCATTATGGTTTGACATAGATAAGAAAAATCCCGAGCGTATAAACAAATGAATTGGATTTCTACAAAAATATCAGGGAATGAAATATCTGTGTGTGATATAATGTCGTTAACGAATATTAATTTTTCATGAAATAAATTTAATAGAATTAACAATAAATATTTTTGGGAGAATGGGCAAATAATATTTTATGAAATAACATCCAGCAATGTAAATTAACACTGAAAATATTCAATACTTGTAGGGTAGGCCACTTAATCTAACTAGCAGAATATTAACTAATTATTAAAGCAATTAAAGCCACATCTTCACTACTTATTAGAAGGCTAATAATTATTGCTGCTGTTGATTTACCATGAACGCAAATTTTCAACTACCGGTTACATTAAAATTTCTCATTAGCTGCCCCAATCCTAATTCACCATTGAAACACACCGACATATCCGGCATTATCAAAGACTTTATTTCTCTTCAAATATTATGAACCCATTTAACAGCACTGCTATTTCCTGTACACTATTTACACACACCGATATATCAGGCATCACATAGCGCCTTCATAATGCCTAAAACTTTAAAAAGCACATTCAGCACCTCGCCATTTCCAGTTCACTATTTACTCACACTAATATATGCTGCATAACCGATGTCTTAATAATCTCTCTTACTTTGAGAAGCTCATTTAGCCTCACCGTATTTCAGCAAATTAAATCCGTCTCAGACCCATAAGTCTTCGAACTGTGTCGACTGCCAGGCTCGGGTTTCTTGTTCAATGCAGGTCCGGTTGATGCAGCCCTAAGTCTGATTGTATAGGTCCATAAAAAGCTTGACGTTCTAAAAAGCTGCATTAAAAGTAGCATTGCCAACATAGATCAGCGGTTGTGGCTTGGACGCCACCACCGCCGACTCATGAGATCATCTCTGCTTAGAGACGCGGACACGATAGTTCCAGACGCTCAGTTCCAGGCGGAGATAGAAACTTTAATGAACCTGATTTAGTTAGCAAGACAACATACAGTGGGTTCAAAAAGTACCCGACACAGAGGGAAAACTTTATTTAATTAAAGCTTATTCAACAAAATAACATAAACAAACACAACTCTAATGTAAATTTACATGGGTATTCACTTATTTATTTAGTCATATATTCCAATTTACTTAGGGAATTTTAGTTGATTTAAGTGGTATAGAACTTACTTCACATGTGCAAACGATAACTAAAATCTATCTAGATCAGCTGATCTAGATAAGTGGCTGTCAGATTTTCGATGATAACATTGAGAGATGACTGGTTGACGTGAATCCTAAATCTGAACGATGAAGATAATAATGTTTTAATATCCAAGACTACGTTAAATATGAGTTTCGTATTTTAAATTGTCACATAACAATAAAACAAACTGAGGAAATAAATTTACAAAGGATAAATCTCTCATACCTACGAACAAGGTAGGAAAACCCGTCTGTGCCAGGATGTGCCGACCAAAGTTACGTGCATCTCGAGGCATGAAAATTCAGACGAAAATTTCATTCAAACGCCGCTTGAGAATCGTGACGCACCAAGAGATACGATCGAGCTCGGCCAAACTTTTTTGTCGATTTATGTGCCGGCAATGAATGGCGAGAATAACCAGCATCTGTTAACAACAGTGAAAGAAGTTTATGTGTCACGGAGCTTCTCGACTGACGATTAGAGTGTTATTGATTAGTATCGCAACAAGATGCGAAAAAAATTTTCGATCAAGAAAATATATTTTAAATTAAATAATTCAAACTACTGTTTCAATTCAAATAAACAAGATTGCATTGAAATTTTTTTTACATTATCACTTTATTTACATTATCAGCGCGTTTTATTTCTATAAATAATTTCCTTGCGTTCAATGCTTTTCCTAAAAATTAATGCCTTGGTCGTTCATGAAAGAAATTTGTTAAATTTCAATTCGTTTCAGAGACCTAATCATTCTAGCAAACGTTTTATTCGGAAAATAAATACAAGTTAACGTGTTAAAAAAATTGGTAGACCTTATTTAAGGGCTTGGCGTCTTTTTTATTTTTGAACGAGTCGTGGAGCGATGTTTTATAATGAACAAAATTATGCACGATTGAGGTGGCTAGGATCTATGGCAGGGAATTCCTCCTTTGCTTGTGTATGTTAGAAACGACAAGGAAAACGTGAACGATAACTTGAACAAGGTGCAAGGTCTGTCCGTTTTTAATTACACTTCCGTTTATATTTTTTTCGTTCAAGGGGAATTTGATGCTGTAAAATTTTAGTTTATACATATTTTTTGTCATGCCATCCAAATGTTTTCAATAAAATTTACGGTATTTTAATCAATTGAAGCCCGTATTCATGTTGCATATATATAAATGAGAATTGAATTATTCAAGTATAACTTCACTTCACAAATTGCATCCCTCATCATTTTCTGTAAAAATGTGACATATTTCTTGATCTTTGTCTGCAGATTGTTGCCAGGTGCTTGCTCGTAGCGGCTGCTGCGTCTGTGATACAGGCTGAGCACCACAATGCTTTCGCTAATTCCAAAGGTCGGCTGAACGTTCAGTCCGCAGCAGTCTCTGGATTGCGAAATTTTTTGCACTCGCCCAGACGTGCAAGTGGAGGAAGAAACTATGGATCTACAAGCCAGAGGCAGCATTTGGATGTTGCTGTACCAAATCAACTTATGAACTCAGACTCATCACTTCTAATCCATCTGAAAGACCAAGGGCTCTGGGAAAAGGTGATTTAATTTGCAGCTATTGATTGTATTTTACGTCTTGGAATATTGGGAAATTTTAATTTAAATCGAAACCTCAGAATAAAAATAAATTAGGGATCACCCTTATGAATGAAGGAGATTTTGTTGATGTTTTCAAATTTATACTTTTGTCAATGAATAACCGAATGCCGTGTAATATAAATGTACTTTATTTACTAATAACAGGAAAATACAGTGGGAGGATCCAACGCGCATGCGGCCTTCATGCCAACTTATCTCGGATCTCATGCTCAAGAAGGCAATTACGAACCAGAAATTACTCCTGGGGAAGTTAACAGAGAATTTAAATACTCAAAGAATGCAATGAAGCCGAAGTCAATCTTTCAGGATGTCGACATGAATTTTGGCTCGATTCCAGATATGAATCAAATCGTCAACATGGATGCTGTAACTGGGAAAAGGTTTGAAAGTAAAGCAATTAATGTCCGAGATGCGTTCAGAGACGTGTTACATGGCACCACCACTTCATCTCTTGATTCCGTTAATCCATCCAAGTCCAGCATGTCAAACGGCCCCGGCGTGTTCTTCAACCTCAACGATTTGAACGACCAGTTCGAACACGTGGTTGAAAATATGGGTGAAGATTTCGACGGGTTAGACTTTATTGTAAAAGATGGAAAAGGAGGCGTATACGTTGATTTCTTACAGATGTTGAAGGAACAGCAGGCAGCTGCATCGCTTCAGGCTGCTGTCGCTCCTAGTCTCGGCCAGCCAGACCTAACCGACCCTAACGCTTTGCTCGCCCAGGAGCTGCGCAGGAAGAACATCTCGTTCGAGGTCTCTAAAGATGGCGGCTTGCTCTACAACCTCTGAAAATTTCCAATTTCTGATGATCCTCTTTCAAGAAAGATGAGCATAAAAAATTTTCTGAAAATCTTTCCTGAAGAGAAATCTTCCTGAATATTTTTTTTTCCAGGAAAGGTGAGCATAAAAAGGCAGTAATTAATGGAGAATCTTAGATCGTGTGTAAGAAATTGTTATAATTTATTAATTTTAAAATCGTCTTGAAATTGTTTTTATTTCGTTACATTGCCAATTAAACTCATTGATTTTTTTCTGACTGCAGTAGTGCACTCGAACACTCATATTAATTTAATTTATGTTTATTGTGTATGAATTTGAAGAAAACGTTCACGTTGAATTATATGACGTTATTCATAATAGAAGAATTCATCCGACGTACGGGACCCCAATATCTCACAATTCACTGCTTTATTAAAATTTTATGTAAGCCTACTGCACACCATCAACTGTTTCCGCAAGAAAAAATTAATGTTTTGTATCAATTTAGAAAATATTTCATAGCTGTATCTAAATTGGTATTTTTTCCTTGTTCACAAATGTTAAGTTCCTTGATGCATCCTGAATGGCAAACCAAAGTGTTTCTATTGATAAAGTTACTGCAAAAAAGTGGTCGTTCGATATATCCAGTGCCATAGCTCATGGTTATTTTCAAATGAAAATGTCTGGTAATATCTTTCAAAGAGAAGTAGATATTTCAATACAATTTTCGTTTCATCACAGTAGTTATACAAGTCATGATGAAGAACCGGTTATTTTTACGATGCTGCCAGTGAATGCAATGCGGTCATCAATGTTCTGCTAGCCTCTTCTAATTCGAACAGGACTTATTCGTTCTTTCTTATCGCACAAATAACATTGGTCTTAAGTAACGCGCTAAAAAAACTTATCTTATTAAAGAAAAAACTTATTAGAATTGCCGCTGTCGGTGCAGAGGTTCTCTGTTGGCATGCAGTCTGAATAAATTCTGGCAGGATGAAATCAGAACATTAATAAAATTCAAAGGGAAATATTTTTAAAGAGATATTGTCGAAAAAGAGTCGACTCTTGATATTGATTGGAGATGTAATAACGTCTGAAGTCTGAATCAAGATAATGTGAAGAGTTTGAACAAATATCAGAGCATAAAAAAGTAATTTCTCCGACATTCGCAGGATGCCGGGATTTGGTGAACTCAAAATAATACACAAGATAATTTATGCATGGAATTATTATGAGGAATGCAAGTGCCATAATGAAAAAATACGGCCAAGAATTGATATCACTAAGACTATATGTACAAAAATATAAAATTTATATATCATTTCACATTTTCAGTTATCGAGACAGCATTTTGTTGCCCATCTTAAAAAAATTTTAAATTGGACAACAAAATCGAACAGAAATAACACGATTCACAAATCGTCTTAACAAAGCTCAAATTTTGTTTCCGACTGCCCCAAAAAAAAAAGAGCATAACCTATTAAAATTAGAGAATTAAGCGAGTGGCATTCAGGCCTAATGATCTATCCACATCGTTAAGCCATACGCTCTGCCTTTACATTTTCTGTTCAGTCCCGTATGGGGTCTTTGAACGCAAGCGACCTTTAATGCCCTTTTGGCTTTTTTATGTGGCTTTTATGCCCTTTTGGTTCCTTTTAGCCTCGTGGCCTGCAGTTTAATCAGCAATTCTTGGCAGTTGCATAGTCTTGAATGCACAGGGAGCGCTGGAACTTCTTTAATTATGAACATAAAAGACAGAGTTGACTACAGTGAATGTCATGGGACTGTAACAATACTGTACAGTCACTGTCTGCACTGCAGCGCCTGCAGTGCAGTGATGCGCAGTCGTCACTGCACTGCAGTGGCCACTATGTGTCACCCCGACGAGCGAAAGCGTAGATGCATATATTTTAATCCCCAGACCAGTTTGTTGCTAAGTGCTTTTTGTGCAGATTGTTCACAGTTGGCGTCGCTGTGTCGAGCGGCTGCATAGTTTAGATTAAAAGATCGGGTTTTGCAAGTTCAGGAGACTGGGACAAGCGCTATTTTAGTGAGCTACTTGATGGATGGACTCAACAGTGGCATGCTGGAACGATCTTATCAAGTACTCAACTGGAATTTTTTATCTATTTGAAAATTTATTTATCTGGGACATGCGCTATTTTAGTGAGCTACTTGATGGATGGACTCAACAGTGGCATTCTGGAACGATTTTATCAAGTACTCAACGGGTATTTTTTATCTATTTGGAAATTTATTAAAATTTCACGGCATTGCAGAGCAATGAATTTTACTCATGCAGCATTTGGCTGTTTATTTATTTCATTTCAAGTTGAATGTTATTATAAAAGCTTCATTAATTTATAATATTATAGTTCATTACTAGATTTGTTAATTTATATGAAACTTTCACATTAATTTATGAACTTTTTAGGCACAATATGCACAACTCGCTTCGTTTTATGATTATCAATAATACTTATAATCGAAATAAGGTCATCAATGTCTTGCAGCGGTGGCACTGCACGCGCTCTGCAGGTGCAGCGGTCAGGCTGGAGACTGCGTCAGCTTTTACTGTTACGTAATTACTGACACGAAATGTTCTCAATGAGTAAATTTGTTAAAATATTTAGGACATGAATTTAAATAGGCGTATTTGTATCTGAATAGGGTGTTAACGTACGCATTAAGGAAACGTAAAATGAGATTACTACTCACGAGAAATACTCTCAATGGAAAATAAATAGGGGTTTCCAGAATCATTAATCAGGCATCTATGAAGTTGAATATACTGATTCATATGAATAAAAAGTGCATGAATCATGAGACAGGCGAGAAAGATTTAGCAGTGTACTTGCCACTACAGGAGGGATCGATTCAAGAAGCTTTACATATGATGAAACTTTTTTTGATCAAGCATCGCGTGCCTTGAGACCTCCTTGGTGAACGTAGAGACGAGGACGATATTTTGAAATGTCGGCGTAACGGGAACTGTCGCTCTCAGTTAGGAAATGAACGGTTATGTTATGGTTATGACGCTGAACAACGATAAATTATGAAAATTGTAACTTGTACGATGATGTTGAATTAAAGCCTTTGGTTTGCCAGAATCCAGAGTAGCTATTTGCTATGGTAGTTACGATGCCAACCATTTAACCACAAACTACTCCGAATAATCCTATATACCACATGAAACGCTGAAAAAAAAAAATTTTCTACCAATTCTTGAAGTTTAATGAAGATTTCATTCGTCTTACGTCGGTAGACTATTTGCATGTGATTAGAAAACTAAAGGATCATCAATAAATGTTATCTTGACAGGTATGCAGTCTCAGACAAGCAGGTATTGCAGCAACATCTTATAGTCTGATATAACCTGCTGGTCTTGAGCACTGCTTTAAAACGTGGCCATTGTTCCCATTAGGCTCTCACTGCTGATCCTAAAAGCGGCTGAATGCAGGCGAAGAGATGCTTAGTCATAGCCATTACATGGCACAAACCTGACCATCGTAGCCATGGTCTTTATACGACGCAGATGATCTTTATGTAGACAAAACTTTAAGCTTAGAGCTCGTAACAATGTAGCTCAATAAAATGTAATTAGTTGACTTACGGTAAGTCAATAGCTAAGCGGTAGCAGGTCCATCCGGCTAATGTTTTTTATTAGTATGAAGTGAAATGATAGAAAGTTCGGCAGGGAAGGTCGTACTTTCATCGCCTAGATGTACGTTGCGAAGCCAAATGAATTTTCGACGAACTATTGTGGAAGTGAAACGCCATTGGGGGACTGCAGTTTCGTTCGTAATCGCGAACAAAAAATCTAGGTGGAAATTTGTATCATTTTAAGTTTCAACTTCGTTTCGTGTAACTAAACTTTCGTTGAGGTAAAAAGTAATTGGGATGTAACAACATTGTCCATCAACGTGGCGCGTGCATCGAGTGTATTTATTTACTCGAGCTTCTTGATCCTTGACCCAACGAGCTGGATTTATTTTACCATAGAGCGACCCCTGCAACAAAGGGACAAGCTCGGCCACCGGTAATGAACGTTAATAATCATAGGCGAGGAATGGGCGGCCGGCGAATACCCTCGGTCTCCTCTAAGGAGGCAATGCATATGCATTGAAGGAATGCAGCTCTCAGCAGTAATGGCTGGAGTAGTGCATAGAAATATCTGAACGGATAAACGATGCTTACTTGAGAGAAAACAAATCAACACGAGTATGCAAAAGGGAAAGAATTTAATTATTTTGACATTTAGAAAGCTAGTCAGCCGGCATGGTCATGCCAACCAGTCTCGTGTACCTCAATAGCTGCACGACGGGAGTCCAAGTCGATAGACAAGATCGCGTTCACAATGTGAAAGCAAAAATTTCGGTGTAGAAAGACTTCTCTTGATGCAAGATTTGAATTACATCCCTCACTCAAGAGCTTATTTCCATTCGTGATACCAAGTTAATTTTTAAACTAATATAAGGTGAAAAGCAAATGCAAATGCAAAAAATGGAAAATGCTGAGCTATATATACGCATAGACGTCTAGATAATTTAGGAAATAAGTGCAAAAGAGTATTACAATACCGAGCTCTTTGAAGGGGAGTCCCCGACTAGCTGAAAGAGGTTCACCTTGATTGGACTTTCCTCAGCAAGGGTCTTGAATATAACGCTAGAGGGTCTAAGAGAGCGCAATATCTTACCAATGAAATTCTCGTCGCTGTAAACTGGTATACAACTCATTCAAGTGCTATAAACATATAGGCCAAGGTTCGGTCAGGATACTTTAGAAGACTTTCTTAGCTACGAAACTCGTTAGCATCGAAAATTTTAGATCAGCAGCGTTGCAAGCAGGCCTTCTGTAGGTCATTGAGGACAACACAAGACGGTAAGTTGTCCTGCCTGCATCGGCATATCAAAGGTAGTGGAAATAATACAGTTAGGATGAAATTATAATACGTATTTTATTAGATTTGAGGAAACAGAAGATTGGTTTCCATTACAACAATACAGATAATCTCAAGAAACGCAAAATGATAGCATTAATTTAAGTGAACGTAGGAGAATAAATTTCGGGGCTAAAATAACATTGGAATCTCCATGAAACCTTACAACTTTTATTGCGAAAATCTGATCGATTATTTCGATTGATTAGAATCTACGTTATCACGTCGCTTATGAATTCTACAAAATAGTTCTCAATCTCTATTAATCAAATTTAAATTTACTATCTTTCTCTTTTACTATTTTAAATTTACTATTTTTTTTATTTACTATCTTTTTTTTCAAATTTTCTTATTAACTTGACGAGTTTTTCTCGCGCTCTACAAATCAATTTTAAAAATACCACTTTTGACGGCAGCCTGACTGTATTTTCCCCGAAAAACACTCAGAAAGCGATGTTGTTGATAGTAGGTGTAGTTTTCAGGCCGAGATGATGCTGTTAATCCAGGGTATGAAATGGGCAACTGAAGTGAACACGCTTAGGCCGCTCGGATCGCACACTTCGTGCTTCGCGATAAGCCCTCTGAGTACCAAGTTCTTCCCTCGTGCGTCGTACAGTAAGCTGGCACTCTGGGCAAGACGAGGACAAAATAGAGAAGTAATACGGAATACGGTTCGTTACAACTCTAAGGTTTAGTCCTAGACGATGAATAAAAACATGCCCACAGTACTCTAATGAATCATACAATGTTGGCTCTAGGAAACACTATAACCGTAGAATTTGCTTGCAGACAACCTAAATATCGGTCGTCATGCGTGTTTTAATGATCAAACGCCTATACCTGATCGTATTAGTATGTGCGATATAACCTGATTGTAGTGAGTGCATGCTTACCAGTACATACTTAATCCCCATTGAGATGCTTACGAGTAACCACACCAATACAGGAGATATTGGGTATGGTTATAATAGAATTACAATACAGGACCTACCATGCATTTCTTCAGAGGGTTGACAATGGTGCAGAGGGTGTGAGGAGGTAGGTGTTCTTCTCGCTGGATTGCACAATTGTCGCCACTAACGAGGGCTTCTTCAATGGCCCACATTTGTTGGGGAAGCTTAGTGTCGTCTGCAATAATTTAACGCATTTAACTATCATGAAGTATAATTTCAAAGAATTCGGGAATTAGCTCTGTTACAAGAAAATCAGGGGCATCCTTTTAATCTGTATAACATGCATAGTAAGTAACCGTAAAAACTGCTGATATTCCTAGTCTAAAAGATAATGTAGTTGAGACTGAATAAACTACTAGCGTGCTGCTAGTGGGGAGTCTGAAGAACGCGCCGTTAGTGGGAATTAAGCGTCTGAATAACGCGCCGTTAGTGGGAAGAGTCTGAATAGTCGTTAATTGGAACGGTAAGACCAACGTGTTGTTAATGGGGACCATCGGTAATGCTGAACACTGACCGCCAGTGTAGACATTGAGCCATTTAGATGAACCGTGGTAAAGAGGGATTAACATCTGTTCAGAGGGTAAAAGAAAACTCCCCCTGTGGCTAGTAAAGCTACCACTTATATTCACGGGTGATAAACACCGTAAGAATAGCACGTGACAGTTGGGACATCTTGCTATGACTGTTAACCTTATGATGAACGGGCAGCGACTTATAACTGTTGCGGAGTTGCAAAGGTTGATGGGTTATAGGGAGCTGCCCTAACGGATCCCGATGGGGTATTGCGAAATCTCATTCCCCACTTGAGGCTATTGTGAACCTCCCCCTACCGAAAAAGTTTAATGTGATCTTCCTACCAATGAAAGGGGGTTACTTTTAACCCTTACCCGTCAGTGATGGGGGTCGGAAGTGATCCCTAACTTACTGCTCAATGTCCACCCGACCACCAGTCCGTTGACGTCCATGAAATCTTCATTAAGATTTGGTTCCTTGAAGAGGGGCAGGCATACGGGGTCCAGTCCAGGGGATTCAGATAACCTTAGAAAAATTCAGTGAAAAAAATTTGAGCTATATATATGATAAATATGAACGAGAATAGAAAAAACTATTGATATGATTCCTATTATAACATTGGCATGAAAAATTCAATACCCTAAGTATCACGGCATTTTTGCACCATGATTGCGACGGATAATTTTTCATGTCCAAGACAGCGCTCACTTGACAAGTGCTATATCATGCGTCCAGGACAGCGCTCACTTGACAAGCGCTATAACATGCGTCCAGGACAGCGCTCACCTGACAAGCACTATATCATGCGTCCAGGACAGCGCTCACCTGACAAGCGCTATATCATGCGTCCAGGACAGTGCAGGATATAGGAATATTTCCTCAGCGAAGAACCGCTTGCTGGTCGCAGTGTGGTAGAGGTGGGAGACTCCGAAGTGGACAGCTACAACGGGCATCCTTCGCTCCTTCGAGGTCTTGCCTGCAACGTGCCTGTGAAATTTGAAACATAACTAGCGGGCAACTCTATTAATTATGCTTAGGGCATAACTAGCGTTGACATTCGTGTATGCAGGTGATGTTAGAGGCTAACTAGCGTGCATGCGTGATGTTTGTCTACGTGGCTACATGCGTTGTAGAAGACGATTCGGCAGAGACTGAATGCATTTTTTTGACAAGGCATTTTTGCGAGCAATGAAACCTGCATCTTTATACCAAATTACAGCTATGAAATTGTAACCTAAACATTTCTGAACTAAATTTTCAGTTTAAAAAATCAGCAGTACGCGAGAATACATCAACGCAAAGTAGCTATAGTTCTAGTTGCTCTATAATACAAACAACACGTAAGCTTCAGGGGCCATACTCTCAAAACTCGCTAAGTGAACGTAAGTTCATACGCTCTATTTTCTTGTCTATGATTGGCGGATTTTGCTTGAAAGGCCGTCAAAGATTGGCTGATGAACTTACGATCTCTTAACTTTTTTTGAAAGTATAGGCCCTGGAGGCAACCCACCAGCTCGGGAAGAAGCAGGACGCTGTGGTGAGGACCCAGCGGGGGGCGACGAGGGCTCCGGCGCAGGCGTCGGGGGCTCGCAGGGCGTTACTGAGCTCAGGCTTGACGAGTAGCAGCGCCTGGGGGGCACGAGATACGATGGGGGGCACGAGATACGATGGGGGGCNTCAGTCAGCAAATCTCAGTCAGCAAATCTCAGTCAGCAAATCTCAGTCAGCAAATCTCAGTCAGCAAATCTCAGTCAGCAAATCTCAGTCAGCAAATCTCAGTCAGCAAATCTCAGTCAGCAAATCTCAGTCAGCAAATCTCAGTCAGCAAATCTCAGTCAGCAAATCTCAGTCAGCAAATCTCAGTCAGCAAATCTCAGTCAGCAAATCTCAGTCAGCAAATCTCAGTCAGCAAATCTCAGTCAGCAAATCTCAGTCAGCAAATCTCAGTCAGCAAATCTCAGTCAGCAAATCTCAGTCAGCAAATCTCAGTCAGCAAATCTCAGTCAGCAAATCTCAGTCAGCAAATCTCAGTCAGCAAATCTCAGTCAGCAAATCCCAGTCAGCAAATCTCACTCAGCAAATCTCAGTCAGCAAATCTCAATCGGCAAATTTCATTGAACAAATTTCAATGAGCAAATTCTAATCAGCAAATCTTAATACGCAAAATTTCAATCATCAATTACGCGGTCTCGGCATAAATCTCGGATTTATGAAAAAAATTATCAAAAGCACGAGATTGAGGAATTGAGCCGCGAAGTTTGATCGTACGACGGCAGAAAGCAGGAAATTAGAAAGTTCATCTATAATTAATTGGCAAGCATGAAAAATGGTAGGGAAATCGTAAAATTTTAGGACATACTTAATTGGTTATTGTAACCTGTAATTAATTTTTGTTTTGCGCAATTGCCCAATAAAATAATCGACCATTTACTGCATGAAAAAAGATAACAGAGTATCCGTAATATCTAGTAACGTTCTCCCAAGAACACCAAGCGAGTTTTGAACTGTATTACGCGAATCTTGAAGAAATAATATGACTTATCAGAACGGATATTGGTCTATCCGGGGAAGGGCAAGTCTGCAATCTCATTGTTCGTTCGTGGAGGTTTGTCAAGCACTATTCTTCAATTTTGTAATTGTAACATAAGCACTTCCATGATTTCATAACACAATTAGGATTTTATAACTCTCGCGAATGTTCTTGTACTTATTACCAGAGTTAGCGTTTACTTTATTCGCTCACAGAATACAAAACTGCAACCAAACGGCTCAACTTTGCTGCGTTTGAATTTTTTGTAACAATATTAGAATGCGACGAACTGGTTACGAGAGTTTCCGTTATTAAAAAGAGAGATTATAAAAATGTTTCATGATGTATGAACAGAAGAAACATAATTGACATTACTGACCTGCCAGGGGTAAGTGCCGGACTTGACAGGTTCGGAACTGTTGAAGGGTAGTCCTGGGATGAGCGTGTTGTTCTTCAGGCCGCATGTGGCGTTGCGGTGAACACAGCATGGACCCAGTGACCCGTACACTGCCGCGACGCTGTGATTTCCTGCAGTGATGGGCGGGGGGTGATGCAGTGATGAAGTGAGGGTGATGCAGTGATGAAGTGAGGGTGATGCAGTGATGAAGTGAGGGTGATGCAGTGATGAAGTGAGGGTGATTCAGTGATGGGAGGGTGGTGCAATGGACTGCAGTGGAGGGAGTGGGTGGTGCAGTGGAGGGAGTGGGTGGTGCAGTGGAGGGAGTGGGTGGTGCAGTGGAGGGAGTGGGTTGTGCAGTGGACTGCAGTTGTGGGAGGGTGGTGCAGTGGGCTGCTGTGATGCATTACATTATCTAGCTACCAATCAAAGACTTGTCCTTCAGCAAAGTTATCAAGTCTCACCTGGGATGTCTCATGTCTCACCTGGGATGTCTCATGTCTCACCTGTTGTCAAGTCTCACCTGGGATGTCTCATGTCTCACCTGTTATCAAGTCTCACCTGGGATGTCTCATGTCACCTGTCATCAAGTCTCACCTGGAATGCAGGCTTCAATATCCAGGTTCGCTGGATCAGGATCAGCATCGGCCAGCAGAAGGGAGATTTCCTTGTGCGAGACTTCCAGAATTTCATCCTTACTCGCACTGGATCGGGAGGTCATTTATATCAATTATTGCATTTCAGTCTTAGGTATACGGATATTCAAAAGTTCAATATAAACGAGTTCAATATGCAAAATTCAATAAATTTATAATTTGGTTATAATCGAAACTGGTTACCCGTTTAGAAACGAAAATAATCGTTAGACGTTTGCATTAGAACGTGTGTGGGCGTGTTTATTTCGTGAATTATTAATATACAACATTACAGTCTAAACCAGTAGAATAGAAAATTAATTTTTCAAACAGTCTAGATGCCCGAAAAATGAGCAGTATAAACAGCATATTTCTGCACGAATTTGCAGTATTTGAGTTTTTGGAACCGAGGGGAACAGGAGGCACAAAGTTTACTGAGCTGAATTGACACTTCTTACTTCTAAGCCTATTTAGGAGTTAAAATCAAACCTATTACCGGTAGGGGATAGATTGCTCCATAGCGTGAATTATCGTTCTTTCTTCGTCGGCTCCGGACCCGAAATTCAGCGTGATCGAAGCGACTGCAGACTGAGAAAAAATTATTTGCGAAAATCATTCTAAACTGTTACTGTTATGGGTAATTAGGCTTATGATATTTATTAGAATCTGGATAAGGACGAATTGGTCTATAACTCCTAATTTTATCCTAGTGTCGGCACATAAATTAATATTCTGTAATTCTCGTATTAGGCCGACTTACTCTCAAGCGCCACCGGCATTTGGACCAGTTGTAGTAAAACTTGTACCGGTATCCTGGATACAGATATGCCGAGCCGCACGGCACCACAACCACTGGAGCATCGTCCATGTCTGCTGGGCAATAATCAGAGATTTTGGGCAAGTTATAAGAATGTATTAGTTCATATATTGTCAAAAAATCAGTTCCCATTAGGGAGCATTTTTGGCGTCCATTAAAATCCTCGGCTAAGTATTCTGAGGTCATATTTCCGGCTTAAAGATCGAATTACAGTAAAAACGCTATTGCAAAGGATAAATTTGATTGGGTGCCTTGACAAGCGTAACCACAAACTTTACAGATACAAGGGCGGCTATATTACCAGAAAAGTACATTTAACCGTAGTATCGAAGTTTGTGGATAATAAAGAGCGAGCCAAGCCACTAACCTATACACCTCTCGAAGTCGTTAGTGCGCAGGGACGGGTCCGGGACGTAGTTAATGATTGTGAATGCTTCACCATCAGTAGTCATCACCATCCCTGCCTCCAAGTCGTTCATAATCACGGGTTCCGCCGAGTCTGCCGTCTCCAGATACTTAAGAATCATTGATTTTACAGTTACGTTGTGGGTGTTCAATTTTTCCCCGTCGAGCATGTAGATATGAGGATTGAAAAGCATCAAAGCATCTTCGTCTGTCGCCCTTTCTAACCTGTGCGCGGGATCGTCCAAAGAACTTTGAGCTTCTTCGGAGTCAGGCTCATGAGATCCGTCGGATTCAGCAGTCTTATTTCTTGCGTTCCTGCCTTCGTGACTGAAATGAGTGAGGGGCGAGGATTCCAAGGCGTGATCAAGGATGTCGACGAACGACAAAAACGAGTCCGCTTGGGATTCGAGAGTTGATGATTCAGTATCGTCGTCGGTGGCAAAAGTATCGCTGTCATTACCGCCGGTATTGCTTCGAGGACGTACACCGTAGACAGGTCTATTGGAATGAATATTTGTGGGAACGTAGCTTCGGAGACCAGCGTAGCCGTGGGAGGAAAACTGATAAGGATTGTCTGGTGTACCAGTTGGATTGTAGTTGGCCGGCACAGAGCGATGAGGAAGAGGCTGCGACTGATGGACTCTTTGACCAGAACTTGCGTCGTAGTATGGATCGTAGTTTCGAGGGCCTCCTGCGTGAACGTAGTTCTGCGAAGGGTAATCAGACAAGACCTGGCCGCCAGTTGGATAGTCCCGGTAGTCATATGATTCACTTGGGTCTGAATTAAAGCGCACATTAGAGCCTAACCCTCTTATATTAGGCCTTGGACCTACACTGTTATCATCCATGTAATCAGGTGCGGGTATAAAATACTGAGCAGGTCGTGGCCGGGCTGGGACATATCCCGGCGTGTATTTCGGATTAGCTGGTGAGCCGCCACCGCTAGAAGAACGAGTTCCGTCGTAAGGTATCCCCTTGAAAGGGTCAGAATCAAAATTTCGGAAGGACGGGGAATGTCGGCCAGTTACCTCGTTGGCAGCATCGTCTGATATTTCATCAAGTTTAAGCTCTTTTGGATCAGCTTCATCAAGGGTGATTGCTCGAGGGACGCAGAAAATTAGAACGCTAATTATTGAAAGAAGTGATAATACCCCCATTTTCCGGAGTTTATCTTACGACTTAAAACGAAATTCTTTATCCAAGAATTTGGCTGTTGCGAAATTCTCGATTTGATATTCAAAGTTTAGCAAATTATTGATCACGTATTCAATGGGAAACTGAATTCTTTACGTAAATGACTCTGGAATTGAAATGTGACTCTGGAATTGAAAGAGGTGTTTTGAACACTATGCACATTTACAAGAGTTAGCTCATTTTCGGCTCGATCTTCCCCATTCCCAGAAATTCCCATCTCGAAGAGTTGTATGGTTAATTTTACATGAAAAACATTGAAAGCCTAAACTGCCTAACATCATCTTCCCACATACCAGTCTGAAGCAATCTTAGTCACTAATGCTAACGATTTATTATACTCCTACGAAATAACATTCACGGAGCATCAGGTGACGAGGCTGACGACAGACACAACAGCAGATACCTTTGACTTCGTAAACACGCAACACAAAGTAACGCGTAATAAAGCTACATATCCCTAAATATACAGGAGCTCGGCCGACTTACTTACAATTGTTGCTCCTAAATACAAAATGTAGCCACTTAGTGAAGGCATTCACGATAAAAGGTTCGAATCGTGAACGCTCTGCATTGAAAGACCAGATGGTGATGCTGCGGAAATCGAACTGACTTCGTGGCAGCCATTAGCACGAATATTGGAAAAAACTTTTTCTTTTGAGTCGCCATGGAAATAACTAAATTGTGTGTCTTTGCAATTCAGTGTAAATTTTTTAGTTTTTTTCACAACTGTGTTACTCATTCGATTACGTGGATGCAGTTTTTCGGTCATATGATTTTTTTTTAGCTGCAGTGAATTTTTTCGTAAACTTATCCAAAGTTATTCTCGTGATGCCGCGTAAATTTTTAATACAGGAGTAGACAAATAATTTGAACTTCATAAGGCGTTTTTCCATATTTACCTCTGCTCAAATTCCGACGACAATTTATATAGATGAAATATAAGAATTTCAGAAAGGAAAGAATTGAAAACATTGACAACTTTTCAAACACAACGCGAAAATGCTACTAAACCTAGAAATTTATTTTTTTTTTAAAACGTCAAAAAGTCTGTTATAATTTCACGCGTGTCAGGTCAGCCGTTTCTTGAATAGAATTAGTTTGATAACTTTTAAATTCAACTCGAAAGTTCTTGCTGAATGGCTATAGTGAATTGGATTATAAGTTATAACAACCATAACGAGGAGAGGTTCACCGGAAATTCTGTTTGGATAGTGAAATGCGTTCATGGCAGGAACAGTTTATTGATGCAAAAAGTTTATAAATCCTTCTCCAAACAGTCCAATACATGAATATTTGGAAAGAATTTGAATTTATATAATGAGTTTTGAAACAAATAAAGCATTACATTAATCTACGAAGGAAGGTTCTTCTGGAAAAGAAGAATATTTGTACGGTTTTTAAGTAAATGAATTTTCAAAGAACGATAGAGCAACAGACTGAAATTATGGCTCAAGGTTATTATTTCGCACGGAATTGGAGATTCGAAATAATTTGAATGAAACTCTTAAATTAATTTAAACTACTAGGGTATAAGTGTAGATGTAACCTAAAGATAATCACACAACGGCTTCAGTTCAGTTGAGACTAATTCGCGTCAAGCATCTTGTTTGCTGGTTGAAGTGTAATACGATGCCTTCCTTATGTCTCCTTTTAGTAGTGCATGGGCACGAATTTTAACACCTCATAAGCATTGAGCGAACGGCTCCTCCCAGCATTTATTTATACCGGAGCTACGCCGAGTTCTTGACAGATCAGTCATCTTTGAGTTACTAGACTCTCTTGCAAGGAGCCAAGTATCTCAGAAATTGTAGGGCCTTCTGAAAGTACTTGAATGTAGAGTCCTTTGAAAGTACTTTCAACTTTGAAAGTACTTGAATTGTAAAGCAGCGAGGTCTCTCGCAGGTGCTCGAGTCTCTTGCAAGTAGTCGAGTTTCATGCAAGTAAGTTGACTCTCCAACAAGTAATAGTATATCTTACAGGCAGTTGAATATCATGCAGGAAGTTGCGTCTCATACAGGATGTATAAACAATTCCAGATTCAGTAAAAAATAAGAATTAAAGGCATTAACCAACACACGTCTTAAAAGTAACTAATAAATATATAAATAAATCTCTCTTTGCACTTGCCGTCTATGGAGCAGATTTTATGTGGCTCGTCAAAAAACTAAAATTGTAATTTGATACGAGGTCGGAATGCAGCATAAATGAGCATAAAATTTCTTATCTGATTCTTGTGAGTGACGTGAAGGTTATAGTTATGGCAAGCTTATTAGTTCATTTAACCATTATAATGTACAGAAATATCAATGAAGTTAAGTGCGCTGATAGTGATGAAACCATAAACGATCGATTTCTCTGGCAGATATCTCTTAATTTTAATCGCGTATCTATAACGGAAATTTATGAATATAAAAGATCGTACTTTAAAATTAGCAGTAAATTTCCCCGAGTCTGCCCATGACGGTCAGCTAAATGAGTCTCCTAACAACATCCTAGCGAAACACTAAGGAAACACGGCTAATAAGAAATTCCTGTAACTTCCAAGATCCAAGACAGAAAATGCGTGACTGAAGTATGTCCGTCCGGGAAATTCAGATTGCACTCCTTGGTGGCCACGAAACTGATCACTCCACGCAAGAAAAACCGCCCATTTTCCAACAGCATCGTGGGACCTCCGGAGTCACCCTTGAAACATAACTATGTAAAGTGTGTAGAAAACTTTCAATTTACGATAACATATTTCACTTTTGCGTACATAGAATTCGCTAAGGATGTAAACTACACAATCTTAATTTGATAAATTAGAAAAAAATTCATTGTAATAATTAACATGCAAAATGTCGCATGCAATTTTTGTTGAGTGTCATTTAGATAAGTTTCGTCGAAGTCTTAACGCTATATTGAATTTCCAGGAAATTTATAAGCACAAGTTAGAAATGTAGCGAAAGCATCAACAGCCGGTCAGTTCGACACTGTTGAGTGTATTCCGCTTCCTTAGTCCTATGTGACTGGGAAAGTTTTTCGGATATTATTTTGTTATTGTCTTTATACTTTAAACACTGAATTGAATATTGAAGTAGAGCATTAAGTAATACGCACGTTTCGTCGCTATACCGGCGGCACCCGGCCATATGCTACCGCCAGCCAGACTCATTCATCGTCATTAATTATACATATAAAAAATAAATAAATAGTATGTGACTGTCACTCACATTATTTATTTACTCTAAATGCATTTGCATCATCAATTATACCCACAAGGCAGATGTGGCCGCCATAATTAGTAGTGGTGCAGAAGTGATGCTCGGTGACGTACTGTCCGTACACGCGCTGGCAGCTCTGCCAGTCCATTCCTTCCTGCATCAACTCGCGCGGAGTTGTCGGTTGGACGCCTGTAGTTCATAACAAAAATTGAAAGAGCTAAGAACGATTATATTAAATTATGAATTTAATTATGAATAAGCAACGAATAAAATTATTTTATTCATTGCTAGTCTGTCATTTGTGAGAGAGTTTATACGATGGTGAAAAATCGACTTCGATAGAGAAATACAAATATTTGGTAACACTTATCTTGGGTTTAATTCATTAGAAAATGTTCTAATTTGTGTAGGAAATTTTTAGGTTATTCATATTAATTAAATTAATTTATTAAATATTAAAATAATTGAATTAATAGTAGCATTGCTAATAGTTTCTCGCCTGTTTCAGTGAGACCCCAGCCAACGACAACGAGAGGCTGTCTTGTCATGTTCCAGTTCTGCATCTCAGCTCGAGGCAGGCAAATTGGCCGCAAGTTTGTCGTGAAGGTAAGTGGCCGTGGCAGTCTGAAACGCAAACTACGATGAAAACTACAAAATTATAGGTCTATTTGATATTTATTTATTATTGTTTATTTACTGAAAAAAATTAGAAACAAATGTAATTCGGAAAGTAAAAATAATTTTCGTTGATTGTCGTCAATTGTGAAGCATGTTTTGAAATTACGAGACTTTTTCATATACAGAAAGATTGCTCTCGTGTTTTCAATAATAAAACTTGTAGACAATGAGGTAGACTTACATAAGTGACTTATATCAACCCTAAGTCATGCTAACGCTTTCTTAGAAATGATTTTTATAGCCCAGATACCAACAAACTTGTTGCTGTATAGTAAATTTTCTTAACGATAACAAATTGTAACCCAGACCGCAAATTCAGTTTATTTATCATAAAATGATCGTAAAAAATTATTGAGTTATAAAAAAAAATTCTTAGAGAGTCCAAGAGTAACTGCAAGAGATCTTACTCACTGTATGAGCGCCAGATCATATTTATCATAAAATGATTGTAAAAAAATGATTGAGTTATAAAAAATAATTTTTCAGTGATTCAAGATTAACTGCGAAAGATCTCACTGTATTAGCGCCAGGTCATAACTGAAAGATAACTCACTGTATGAGCGCCAGGTCATAACTGAAATATAACTCACTGTATGAGCGCCAGGTCATAACTGAAAGACAGTGTGGGGTAAATGATGACGTTCGACGCCTCCATGACCACCCGGCTAGCGTCCAGTGTGTTGGCCAGGTTGTACACACCCGCGTAGACAACTACCCGAGGGATGCTCGTATCTCCGCTGGTGATGTATTAGAAGTTTAACCGGAATTAATTAATAATAATTAATAAATTAATAATTACTAATGTAATTAATTTTAATTAATAAGTAATTAATTTTCCCCTGGTGATGACACATTAGAAGTTTTACTAGTAATCAATTAATGTCTGTCAGTTGGCGATGTATATAAAATTTGTTTAAAAATTACTTCAATTCTCTGGGCTGGTGATATTTTAAAAGTTGTACTGTTAAGTAATTACTCTCCCTCTGTTAGAATGAGCTAGTCAACTCGGGAACCATTTGATACTGTCCGAATTTTGTGTCATAATAATAAATGCAAGATTATTCGCAATGATGTTCAGGACTAATTATCTGTAGAAAGTTCTGTTGAATAATACTTTCAGTTGGACTCATGTTTACCATTGAAGCAACAATCTAAAACTTTCAATTTCCATCGAAAACTCCACCAGCAGAGTATTTTTTGAGCTACCAAAGCTTAACAATAAGCAACTCTCACTTCTTCATGACGCAGTGAGCAGCAGTGAGCACCCAGCGCTCAGAAATAACGCTACCGCCACACCTTACCGCCACACCCACTCACTTCTTCATGACGCAGTGAGCAGCAGTGAGCACCCAGCGCTCAGAAATAACGCTACCGCCACACCCACTCACGGCCCCAGTTTGCCAGACGATTCTGAGGTACACCTGCGCATCCAGGATACGTTGTAGAGCCTCAAGTTTCCTTTTGCAAAAAAATTTTAGTATTGTTTTATATAGAAAATATCATTAAAATTTGTAATTTAATTACGTGCCGTATTGCTCGCGTTCAATTTTTATTAGTTTTCGCCTTTTTCAAACTTTTATCTTCACTCGCAGACCATATGGCATTGACTCAGTTTTAATTCAAAATATTTTAATTACAAGCTTTCTCCGAGTTACGAATTGTAACCAGAATGACTGCTTTGCAATTACTCACTTGCCACGGATACTCATGTGCCTCAGTTTCTTGCCCGTTGACTATTCTTTCAAATGTTTTTCCCGCATTTATTTCCTGGACGAGTTTCCATCTTGATGTTTGATCCGCAACTCGTCCAGTTATTTTATCAGATGTGGACCCAGCCACCCTGTTGACAAGCCCACACTCCGGGTGTGACAGCGTCGCAGTCACGGAAGTGTTGGTTGCTGTCACTGACTGGGTGGGGCTTTGCAAGCTCAGTGTTCCTGTCACTTCCTCTACTCCTGTATTGCGGCAATCAATATAACTGTAGTTGAGGATATGGATATTATGGTGGTTGATGTATAATCAAGGTTATGTACAATGTACAAGCTTAGATTCATGATTTTTTTTGTTGTCGATTCAAATCGGGGTAGCCACCCGTGCGTAGACCCAACGCTTATAACCAAAGTCCAAGCTTGTTTATTAGATGCCCGAGACAAGGGCTACCAGCATCAGCATCGCTGAAATTGTATACATACTAATTGTTGTAAATTTCGCACGTTATTAAAATGACACAATCGAAATTACTTAGGCTTTGAAAACAAATGATACCATTCGTTAACCATGCTAATGTATATTAAATTCCATGAGGTCACTGACAGAAAAAAATTTGAATTCGGATTCATCGGATTCATGCTTCATGACTTCATCTGGTCATTCATTTCCTAAGATGTATTATTTCCAGCATAATAATTCAAGATCGATTATACGAGCTCTATGTTCACTCAATATCGTAAACCTCTCAGTAAATTTTGATGTATTCTTAGGTATTTTGTATTTAAGTATAATTTTAAAGTATTTTTTAAGTATTTAAGTATAAACAATCGTCTGTTTCGTGTAATTGTTTAATTTTCGTTGACAAATGCATAATAGTCACTGTGTTCTGACCGTGTCATTAGACTAATCACGATAAAGCTGAGTCACAAGTGATGTATGAAATATAGTGATAATTGTGTCATCGTACCAATATGGTGCAAGAAAGCCTCATCGTTGCCTGAGTCACAAGTGATGCATGGAGTATGGTGATAATAATGTCACCGTATACTAATTGGGTCTATGGTGCAAGAAAAGCCACGTTATTGCCTCAGTCACAAGTGATGCATGGAGTTTAGTAATAATGATATAATCATAACCAATGGAGTTTACGGTGCAAGAAGGCCTTGTCGTTGCCCGAGTCACAAGTATGGTGATAATGATGTAAAGTAAAGTATGGTGATAATGATGTCATCGTACTAATTGAGTCTAAGGTGCAAGAAAGTCTTGAGTTTGCCTGAGTCGCAAGTGCATGAAATATATAGCGCTAAAGATGTCATCGTACCAATGGAGGATACGGTGCAAGAAAAGCCTTGACTTGGCGTGTCGCCGTCGCTGAAGAACGATACGAAGACTTCGTTGGACGGCAGGATATTGAGCGTCAGGTTGTTGGTGGCAGTGTACCTGGCCAAGGTAATATAAGCTTTAAAAAGTAGTTGGGGTAAAGATATTATTTGAACAATGAGCATATCAAGTCACTAAATTAGGCTAAATTGTTGGGATCGAAACTATTGACTGGATTGTTAGTGTTAAATGTTATATGATGCGAAAAATTAGCCATTACATGAATTGTAATAAAATTAATACTTTAATTGTGCAAGAAGCGAGAAATTAACTTCGTAAAAAGGGGAAATAAGTAGGGCAATTCAAGTGCGTAAACTTCATGTGTATTCTTTTACACACAAGTTAATAAAATTAGGGTTCATCAATGACAAATCGACTTTGTTTATGAGAACCTGTTGAGGGAAGCAGGGTCGCCTTCCACCCCCAAAGCGAGGTAGTCACCCCGGCCGAGGCTGAACTGGTGGCACCTCACCCCAACCTTCTCCCCTGCCACCGCCTACATGTATTAGAAATACAAAATATATTATAAATAAATGGTGTTAGCGTCGAAAAGGCTAAATCTGGTCTGCCGCTAATTCTAAATATACCTCCCAGAATTGTTACAGCTAGCTGGAATTTCGAGCCCGCAACTCACTGCTTCTTCAATATTGCTATTCTCAACCACCCGGACACCGCACTGAAAAAAGGAAATATAGTATCGTCATTTCCACATTTGTTAGATCAATGTATTTTACGCTTACGAGTTAAGTAGCAGCAATAAATAATTGTATCAATAAAAACGAGCGAGACGTACCGTGATGGACCAGCGACACGAGAAGTTGTCAGGGTAGTTGGCAGGGAAGTACGGTGAAGCAAGCCGCAGTGACGACTCAGGCACCAAGTTGTATTCACCGCACATGACCGGCAGCGATTCTGGGGTGAATAATCCGGTTGTGAAAATAAAAATTATCTGTATTGAAGATTGAACAGGTAGTCATTTCAAAACGATGTTAAATTGATATTATTGTTAATTGATCGTAGGAACATCATCTAAAAATTACGTCGTTCAGCGACATTTTTTGGGAATTCATTTTTAAACGACTGTTTAGTGAACGTCTTCACGCGGCTTGAACGAAATTTACGTTAATAAAGCAGGTGAAACTATAAAAATTCCACAAATGAGTTACTCGTCGCGTGTCCATCATAATACATTACCTATTATATAACTTTAACACGGAAATACGCACCTGCATCGCTGGAGAGGCTTCGTGTTTGAGATTGAATGGAGGAACTTATTTTTAGAGCAATAGGCGGTACGATAGGCGGCACAATCGGCATCACGAAACCATTGACGTTTGCCACCGGGACATTTGCCCACAAATCCTCGCTGAAGTTCTGACGCGCAGCCTGGATCGCGGAATCGGAAATACCAAAGTCCCCCAAATCCGACGAAACCCTTGAGATTTTATCTGCCGTTCTTGAGTGGAATATTGATGTGGGCATCCCTTGATGGCTGAGGAATGGATTGGAAATGCCCTCGACTAGTCTGCTTCCATTCAGAGCCTCGGCAAAAAATGGAGACATCGGAAATTGAGGATTGATGATCGCGGAGGCTGGTGTCTGCGTCCTACAGTGAAAAAAATTGGGGTGAAATTTTGAGCTTTAATTCATTACGCAGAAAGATTATTAGCGTTACCTTATGAACAAAGTTCAAGTAAAAGAAAAAAATATTCTGTCGTCAAAATTGTTTAACGGGAAAGGTTCACGAAATTAATGCAGTTTTTGTTCTATTTATAATACATAGTCACAAAAAAGGAACATGAGTTCAAGCATTTAGACATTAAAAAATATAGATTTAATTTGATAAAACAAAACGTAAATGCGTAATTTTTAGTATATTTCGTGTTGTTTTAGATAAAAATTTCGAAGTATAGCTATGAGCTCACCCATGCAGAAGCTTTTTCCCGGCAGTTGGAGTAGTGGCAGTGGCTAAAAAAATTATTAGTAAGAAGAATTATATTAGTATTTTTAAAGAAAAGGCTTAGTTTCCACTTAATGATAGTCAAGAAAATGATCTGAATTTCAATATTTTGAAATTTCAAATTAAAGAATATTTCATAATATTAATTGGGAATAACCAACTATCTTAAAATTTAAAAATTCTTTAGCTGATTTGGTGTCAACAAAAAGTCGTATTCGGAACTATTTTAAATGTGAGCAATGTGAACACAACTAAAGCTGCGTCAAACTTACCACGATTAAAAAATAGATTAAAAACCGCTGTTAATATCGTGAATAAAATAAGATAAGAGTGCATTTTTTTCGAGTTGAGATGTTATGTCCCGTTAAAGAGGTGAATATTAATTATATATTCTCTTGGATGGCGTTCTTTAACTCGTCAATTCTCTTGCAGATCTGTGACATATCGCCATAACTGAGCTCTTATATAGCACCGGAATGTATTGCCTGGCATGTGTGTGGTCGGATTAATTGATTTGAGTGTTCTTAATCTGAGGATGAACTCTCACTCATGAATGAGTAAAGACCACACTGTGGGTTGACACTAATCGCTGTAGACTCGCGGTAAAATTCTTCTCCGAACACTTGTTAATTCCTCGAGGTATTGTATCTGATCCAGCATGGAGAATAAACTATCACAAAATGAAACAAGGAACAGTAGAGGACGCGTTTTCATTTTCATTAGAGCATTCAAGTGTTGGTACTCAGGATTAGTTCTATGGATTCGACTAAAGTATTGAGGACATTCGAGGATTTAAGGAGAAATTGCTATTTGAAGAGAAGTATTGTCGGCCGTGACATACATCATACGTGGTGCAGGTGAAGAACATTTTAGGTGACTGGATACGATATGGGTTATGGATGAAAATTCTAAGCATTGAGAAAATCAATTTGAGTAAATGAACGAACACGCTCGTATTGATGAAAGAGAATATATTTATATGTAGGGTGTATATACAACTAATAATTATAATTTTAAGGATAACTAAATTTTTGAATTTGGCCATAAGGAAGTAAACTTTCAAAGAAATTCTTGGAAAAACTTAAAGGACATTTTCATAGCGATGCTAAAATTTATTTTTAAGTGAGTAGTATGGCAACCGCGATTTCCAAATTCAACAATAATAACACGAGATCATAGAAACTAAAACAACAGTGTTTCTGTTCGTTATAAGCAGCGCTCTTCAGTCGATGAATTGTTTCCAAGATCACGTATTATGATCAGTAAATTTCTGAGCGGCGGCTGCAGATCTGTAAGGATTCTCAGACGATCTTGGATTTGGTGGAAATCCAACTGCTCGACCAGATCCCTGGTTTGCACCTCCAGTTCAGCGGGTCGCAATTCTGACGGGAGAGCGGAAAATCCAATTATCGAACCCGGGATAGTTAAACTCAATATTTATATTTAATATAACGTTAAATGTTGAACAGAGTTTTATATAACATATGCGAACTAGCCATTACTAGTATACTTAAATGAAATAAAATACCTTCAGCGAATAATCTTTCCGCGATGGCGGCGAGAACGATGAATTGTCGGGGTGCGTAGTTACCGAAAGTGTCTAATGGAGGGGGCACTATTTGTAGCAAGCTATCGAGCCTTGATTCTAGCATGTCTCCACCCAGAGCGAGACTCAAAGCTCGACCTAGGCTGAGCGATCCTGAGAGGAGGCCTGTCTGAATGACGAGGTAAATATAATTTTAAATCTATTTTATAGTTATGTTGTTTACTTAAAAACGAATCTGAAACATGGATATGTAAAAATAGGGAAAGAGACAATATGCTAATTACTTGGAGCACACTCTTACACGTAACGTGCTTCGGTTATCATTAAAGCCGGTAGAGAGAGTGAATTTCTTTTCATACAGGGCGCAAATTATCGGAGAAAACATTATTTTTTTATCTGTGTGTCAATTGTATCCTTTGATGGATCTACACTATTCAGGCATAATTTAAAGTTGTTATTGCAATTGTTCAATTGCAGAGATACTAGAGCAAATATAAAATAGTTCATGTCTCCATGATGTTGAAGAAAGTTTTAGTTTGCGACGATTCTCAAAGTTGGAAACTCAATTTCCCATCATAACACAGTACCTATTGAAAGATTTTTAAACTTTAAAATTAGAGAAAATATCTCGTAGTTGCTATGGAAACATGTATCAAATTGCCCAGTTAAGTACTTATATTATTAGTCTGCTTATATCGCAAGTTCACAAGGAATTTAAAAGCAGAGAAAACGCCAAGAAAATTCACCATATCGATATTCACGATATCGATATTGATATGGTGAATTTTCTTGGCGTTTTCTTTGCTTTTAAATTCATTGCCCAGTTAGAATTAATTGTTATTCAATAGTCGCGTTATCGTTATAACATTGTAGCTATTAAAACAATTAATTATTCATGTATTCAGAGGTGGTATATTAAGAATTAGTTTGACTTTTTTTAAGTATCAATATTTTCATTTAATTTACCTCTGAATCCTTGAACTTGGCGAACACTTTTCCGAAAAGAAGTGATCGGTCGTGGCTGACTTGCAGATGCGTTTCCAAGTAACTCAACGGCGTCATACCTGTTAGTGAGTGGAAGTGATCAGTTGCGACAAGCTTCACTACCGACTCTGATTTGATATTTTATTTGTGCTTTGATATTTTCATTGACTGGGCTTTGATATTTTTTATTCATATTCTTTGTTTAGCGAGGCTAAACTCTTGGTTCTGCAGTTAATAAAATTTCAAAACTCTTGGTTCTGCAGTTAATAAAATTTCAAGTACTTCTAGAAGACTTGTGCATTCTAGAGCACTAATGTCCACCAGCCACGTTTGAACATGGCTGCCCTATATGCACATTACTGTTGATGCTGCATTCTGTAATTGGCTCTTCAATTGCAATTGAATTGGCATTCTCTTTTAACTTAGTGCGCATTAGTACCGTCATTAGTATTAATAATTCGAATAAAATAGCAGAAATTACACGAACTGCTTCAATTTTTAAACATGCTAAAATTTTATCACGGAATAAATAAAACTTCGCGGCCACGTACAGAAGCAACTTCAGAGAATATTTCCGGCATACAGACGACAATGCTTCGACAACTGCATGTGTCCAGGATAACGCCTTATCGCTGGCTTTTATTCATGCAAGATTTCTGCAAATATTATCTACATTTATCTGCAATGAAAAAGTATTTAAGATAAGCATAAAATTGAAGAATTTCTCTTGTTGTGTCCTATTTGTCGTGTATCCATGCTCCACAGAAAAACGCAAACCCCATAGTTTAGGAACCACTGCTTCAATCTATGACGATTTCCTTGATTTAATTAACTTTAACACAAACTCTTTTACCTTATTACCTTGACACAATTCAACTACTACTTTTTCAACCTTATCAACATAAACTTAAACTATTAATACCAGTGTAACAATCTCTGAAAGTACTTCATAGTAAAATAAATCCATACATTGACCTTCGAGCCTATGAAGCTATCAGTGTAACGATATCTGAAAGTACTTCATAGTAAAATAAATCCCTACATTCACCTTCGAGCCTATGAAGCTGCACAGGCAGCGTGCAGACGGCGTGTCTGTGCGATGCACAGCGCGGCAGCGACAGCCAGAATGCTAGGTCAGTTTTATCGGCAGCTTTGCCAGCCCCCGTCGCTTGAAGAGATGATGTTTCGATCTCAAATTCTTCTTTGAGTTTAGTGAGCTCATCTGCCATATCGGGGCTCACGTGCTCCGATGAGAGAAAGTCCTTAGAGGGATTTGTATGAAAGTTAATAACTAGATTTTGTTTATATAGTCTTGTATGTATAAAGTTTAGACTTAGAGGGATTAGTATGAAAGATAATAACTAAATTTTGTTCATATAGTCTTGTATGTATAAAATTTAGACTTAGAGGGATTAGTATGGAAGTTAATAAGTAAATTTTGTTTATATAGTCTTGTATGTATAAAGTTTAGACTTAGAGGGATTTGTATGAAAGTTAATAACTAAATTTTTTTTATATAATCTTGTATGTATAAAGTTTAGACTTAGAGGGATTAGTATGAAAGTTAATAACTAAATTTTGTTTATATAGTCTTGTATGTATAAAGTTTAGACTTAGAGGGATTGGTATGAAAGTTAATAACTAAATTTTGTTTATATAGTCTTGTATGTATAAAGTTTAGATTTAGAGGGATTAGTATGAAAGTTAATAACTAATTTTGTTAATAAAGTCTTGTATGTATAAAGTCCAGAGTATTTTTATTTAGTGCTTAATTTGAAAGTTATCGACGAGAACCTGCATCTCAAAAATTGTGCTGAGGCAATCACGATTAAAGATCTTTTCTCCCCATTCAACTGATTATTTCAGATTTATGTATTCGGCAGCACTGTCATCAAAAATCGGTTGTTCCCCCCCTCCTTGAGGTCCATCCCTCACATTGGGGTCCATCCCTCACCTTGAGGTCCATCCCTCACCTTGAGGTCCATCCCTCTCCTCGAGGTCCATCCCTTACTTTGGGGTCCATCCCTCACCATGGGGTCCATCCTTCACCTTGGGGTCTATCCCTCACCTTGGGGTCCATCCCTCTCCTTGAGGTCCATCCCTCACCTTAGGGTCTATCCCTCACCTTGGGGTCCATCCCTCACCTTGGGGTCCATCCCTCAAATTGGGGTCCATGCCTCACTCACCTTGGGATCCATCCCTCACCTTGGGGTCCATCCCTCACCTTGGGGTCAATCCAGAGGTCATCGGGACCCAGGGTCGCGTCGGGTCTGGCGTGTGCTGAGGAAGGCTTTGGTGAACCAGGGTCTGACTTTTTAGCTGAATTTGGTTTGCTGCGATCGCCTTGTGAGACCTGGACAAAATTTACATTAATGTAAACAAATGATTTTTGATGTTTCTATATTTAAAGGTAAATTTCGTTTGTAAAAGTTTGTATTTCGAAAACACTGATCACAATATGTGATGATAAAATAGAAAAAGAAGGCTAAGGCAGTGGCACAGTAGAATATGAAATATATTTGTTACTAACCGTAAAAATAGAATACCGAGCTGAAAAAAATCATTTATTTCATTCGGGACACATAGTTCAGTTATAACTGTTCACCGAAAAACTTAATGTTTTCATAATGTTGCATGAAGGCTAAGACATGAACTACAAAGGGGATAGAAAGATTTATATGCTCCCATGATGATGGGTACGAAATTTTTTCTGGCATTTTCCATCAACTTTTTCGCCACTGTTTTGGAAACCCTGTGTAAATCTACTTAAAAATTTCTTTAATCCATTTTATGTTTTTAGCTTTTTGCATAGTTGTTTCAGTTAATGCTTAATTTTTTTACATTTCAAGAGCTAAAAAGTTGAAAAATACGAAAATGAACGCTAAAAAAATAAAAAAAAAACGAAAATGAACGTTAAAAAAGTAAGAAAAAACGAAAATGAACGTCAAAAGATGTAGAAAAGTTAAAATTTCTCTAAAATATTCCAGAGTGTCAGCAGAAAGCAAATGACAGTACTGCAGTCTGCCTGGGATCGTCAAGCCGCCCGTCGACGGTCTTCTTGCGCGCTCGCCCAGCGCCGTTCTTGCGGGCACTGCTTCTGCCCGCACTAACGTCTTCTTGTGGCTGCGAAAAAACGGATCATGATTTAAATAAAAACGTTTGCCTAAACCTTATCCGTTTGCCTAAACCTATTTATTTATTTAAATAAAAACGTTCTGCTAAAAAACCTTAGCAGAAGACTTAGCTTTAATTCAATCACACAACCGTGAAATTATCATGCCGTCGCACATTGAAAACTCAACATGGTGTAACGGGGGCAGTCATCTACTGGAATAGAATGACTAACCGAGTTTTGCGTTTATTGGAATAATTTATTATGGTTTCAGGAGAATAGATAGGATTTTATAGAATAATAAGTTATTATGGAATTACCCCATTTTGCAGAATAAATAAGGTTTGCATAGTGCAATTGCATATTTGTCTCAAATGTGTGATGAATAATTGGAATGTATCATGTAAATCGTAAGCTCTATTAAACGGAACGAAAATCGGAACGAACTTCAAGCAAAGCTGGATAGACCTCATAATTCTGTTCAGGGCAGATGCATTTAAATAATATTGAAACTAGTATTCACGAATGAGGAGAAGCTAAAAATGAGTACTGAAAAATAAGCAATATTGTTCGAAAATTCTGATTTATTAGTAATGGATACCGCACCATTTTAACAAGAAACTGGAAAATGTTTCAAACATTCAAGGGTTGAAACAATGAATGAATGAACACTATGTTTTACTCAAAAAAATCGAAAGTAATGTATGAAAAGAAATGAGATTATTTGAAAATTTAACTCGTTACCCAATCTAGCATTGGCAGTATTTTTCTTACATGCATTCGTGAGAATTCTTGTATGAGTATTTACCGTGTCTGAATCGATTTTCGCTTTAATCGGCCGCTGTTTCTTTGCAATTTTTCTCCAAGTTTCGAGCGGATTTTCTAAGATTGGTGTCTCCACTGGTTTGTAAGGGCTGGTTTCAGGGAAAACTTTTTTTATAACTTTTGATATTTTGTTCACGAGACTCGGAGACGGTGATTTTGATCTCATGGGTGTTGCTTCATGCTGATCGTGTGACATTACTGAGGGAGAAGAACGGTTCGATTCTGGAGTACAAGATTCTTCGATCTTCAATGTTTGCTTTTCTATTTTTGAGTTTGTATTTTGATTCCGAGACGTGAGTTCGTACCAAAATGCTGTATTTCGATTCACAGATACAAGCAGATCCTGAGCACTGAATTTTTCTTGTATCTGTCTTTTTTTTATTTTCTTGTTGCGTTTACTTTTCAACTTGGAAATTTCTTTGGAGCTGGGCCGAGGGTTGAGAGGCATACATGAACTTTGCAGAGCTATAATTTCATTCAGCAAATCTGAATCAAAACAGTCATTTTTCTTGTTCTTCTTTAGACGGAATTTATAGTTCATAACGAAAGTATCATCTGGACTTTCTGGAGGAGAAATGTGATTTAGAAATGACCGAGCGATACTTTGTTCTGGAATTTGTCGGTTTCGTAGAATTTTCTTGCCAACGAGCGCACTCGATTGCCATTTGCTGAACACAGCGTTTCTCAAACGCTTCTCTGTTTCGGCAGCAATAAATTTTTCCACGGGATTTTTAGCATCTTGAACTTCTTGAAGGTTTTTGTGTTTTGATAAAGGTATTTCTCTCATTGTACCCTTTAAACGCTTGTTGTTCCAAAACTTTACTTTGGGGAGCTCAGCTTGGATCATTTTCCATCTGTCGGTCGGTGTTTTGATGTTGTCGAGTGTGATACCTGAATATGCTGAATGAGGTTCTTCGTTAAAAGTCTTGGTAGGGTGGTCGGGTTTATCGGTATCTTTGTCTTGAATCACTATTTTCCAGTCGTGCAGTGGCATAGGATTTTCTACAGAAGGAGGGAAAAATTTCTCACTCTTACATTTTTTTCTTATTGTTTTCCTTCTTTTTCTGACCCTTTTACTTTTTGCCAGTTTTAAATGTTTGCTATTTTTCTTCGAAGATATTTTGTACGAGGAACTCTCATAGTCATATCGGTCAGGTATGTATGGAAATCCTGAAACTTTTTTCTCAATTCTCATATTAACTTTAGAACGCAATTCGGCCAATGCCTTACGCCTCAAATTTATTTTACGATGTGATCGCATTTTTCGCTTATTAGCAGTGACTTTTGACCGCATCCGGAACAGCATACATCCAGGTTTTCTTACTATAACTTTTGATGCATTCACATTTGTGCACGAGTGTGTTTGATATCGAATTATCGCTCGTGCTTTCCTGATCCTATTGAATATTTTTTTTCGTTTAGCTGGCTCGGCGAATTTTTTAGTGCCATTCGAAGCGTAACGTGATGAGATGACCCGAAATTCACCATTTCCAGTAATTTGCTTTTTCTGACGTTTTCTCTCGCGCCGTTTACATTGATTCAGGCGGCGAATGATGTGACCGAGAAGGATTCTTCTGAATTTAGGCGAGGCTTTTTGCAGGATCAACTCGAGTTTGGTTAATGGTTTGATTCTCATGTAGAGAAGACAACACTTCCCAAGTACCTTCAACATTCTATCAATTCTATAACTGCTCTCCGATAACTGCCTGAAATTTGTGAGAAACGAAATTCAAGGCAACTAAAGACGAATAGAAAATATTTGAAAAATGAAAATATTTTAATGATTGACGCGGAACGATCTTTTCCTCTAATCACGGCCTGAAAATTGCCAATGGTTTGTGGTAAATTGCATTAAAATCTACGAATAATTGTAAATTGCATTAAATTCTACGAACAATTGGATACATTATTCTATGTATAATGAATTTATGGCCATTAGTAACTGCGATCAAGAATCAGATAGTCGATTCAACAATGTAATTTAAGCTATTTCATACATCGAATTTTGAAAAGTATTTGAGACATTATTTAATAAGTATTTGAGACATTTGTGTCAATAAATGATTTATGACAAAAATTTGTAAAGTTTCACTAAATAAATGATTAATTTATTGAAAATTCTTCGAGAATGAGTCACAGCGTGTTGCGTTTTACTCTCTATCTGGAAGCACATACAGCGCGTCTTTCCTTCACGAAGGCTCCTAGGCTACTGGCAATTTGACCGCACATTGCACAGTAACAGGATAAAATACTTTAAAACTATAGCAAAGAATGAGCTTCACGACCTGATATCAGGACGCAGTATTTCACATGTATAAGTACTATGGTTTAAATTGGGGCTAAAGGGTTTAAATAAATTGATATTATTAGATTGATTATTTCTATATTAATGTGAGATACTCATCTTGCACATGGATGGTTATTTTCATTTGAGTAACATCAGTCTCTGTTGGTAAGACGTCAACATCTTAATGAAAAGCTTCAACACGAGACCAATGGCTAAAAGCCTCAGTTTTGTGAGGACAAACAATGATGTTTGAGCAATTTATCACGGTATCGATCGACTTGAGTTTATTTCAGACTCAGGAAACTTTCTTCCAGGACCGAGTAATAAACTTCTTCAAGTGAAAAGTTTGGACTCAAGATTCTGTGCTAATATAGTAATTATTGTACTAGAAATTTCTCTTCCTGTGTCCGCCAAAATTTGTTCTCTGAAGGATTTGTTTGAGATGATCTTATTTATGTGAGATTTGCCTGTAACAATTTTTTGTGGATTTTTTCTTCAATCAACACGAATTTTGTAAGACTTCCCTTAGTTGTCCCCAATAAAGCTGATCGCAAGCAATTGAGTCTTCAGCTGCAACTTTTCGTTCTGCTATTCACAGACAGGAATATCTTACGAATTAATCTGACGTTTAAAATTTATATTTGATCAATATTAATATACGAAAAAAATAAACAAACCTCGAGTTTTGTGATCTTAGGGGTCGACTTTGACGTGACTTTCCTCTTCCTTTCGTGGGCTCTCGTGACGACATCGAGTTGGTGGGTGAGGCGGGAGCTGAACTCCGCTTCGAACCTGCCTGTCGACCGTCGAGACTGACCAGCCACTCTGCCTCCAATTGACTCATCTGTGAAACATTTTAAAATAATTAAAAATTATCGATCAAACAACATGTATCATGTCAGAACTAGGTAGACCCAGTCATAGTTCAATCATGGACCCAGTTCCGGCTTTTCAGCAATTGATTGGCAATCATGAAAATTTTGTCTTCACTTTGTCTTCAAAGTGTCGACTCCTTCACTTTGACCTACGTTCTTTCCTAGGAAAGCAGAGGTAGCTTGGGTTTCAAACGTTTTAGAAATAGAATTAATTCATATGCGACCAAGGAATTTCGGGAAATTTCGCCGAAATATTCATTTGTGCACTTGAAAGCGGACCGCACGGTTTTTCGCCTGAGCACGGGTGTCACCGTATTCCGTAATCCGTATTCCGTATCAGAAGTCAGTACGAGTCAATCCGCGTTCGAAGGAAGGTGAACGCTTGGCTTTTGAAACGGTTTAACTCTTGGACATGATTCGTATGGAATCCATCAGTGATGGTGTATGTAGAGATAAGAGAAAACTGTATAAACAAACATTTGAGCCAAGAGAGAATTCATTGCCAAGTTTGAAAAACGCACTCGTGTCTCGAATCTTGCAGTCTAGAAAGATAAGCCGAAATCAACTATTTCCACTCCTTTTGAAAAACTAAGATGTTAGAACAGCCTGTAATATTAAGTAAGTTAATGGTCAGATGCGAAGGCCCCAGATAGAGAGTAAGGTGTGGCTACTTAAAGATATAAGAGAAAAGTAAATAGCGAAGGTAAGTCTAATGAAGTGTTTATTTATGAAAATGATTAAAGTATAAGGGACCTTGTGAAATACTTTAACAGTGAGGATGCGTTCCCATTTAAAGCCAGCGGAGGTTGCTTTGAGAATTCCCGCATTGCTATGCTAGTTCAAAACGGGAGGTAGCTGGTAATTTCATCAACGTCAATTGATTTATTCATGTAGATGATACGAAATCTCTATAAATATTTTTTAGGCTTCGAGACGAATTCATATATTTCGCTTGGTTCCTTATGAGCTAAGAATTTATAGAGCTAAGATTTCGCTACAGGGCCAAGGTGTATCAGCTTTATCTGTTGCAGCTGAATTACCTACTGTCTACTAACATGTGTTGCCAAATAAGTAAAGTCACTTGACTCAAGTAAGTTGCTCTCTCGATTATTACGAAGAGCTATCACACTTCGGCTCTCAATTTTGAGAGAGTGTAGTCCCTGACTCCCTGTAAAGCTTTTACGCCTGGCGCCTGCTGCTGTGTAGGACCGGTAGGATCTCAAGTGTGTCGTCGGCATGTGCCTAGTTGAGCCTTTACGTTTTCTCATCAGCAAGCGCCCAGTTAGGCGCTATCGTCGTGATGCAGCAAGGGTCCAGTTAAGCACTAACGTCGTGATGTAGTCTACGCCCAGTTAGGCGCAAATGTCTTGATGCAGTAGACTCTAATGTCTTGATGCAGTAATTAAGCGCCAAGTTAGACTATATCGTCTTGATGCAGTAAAGGCCCAGTTAGGCTCTAACGTCTTGTTGATGCAGTAATGGCCCAGTTAGGTACGAACGTCTTGAAGCAGTAAGCGTCCAGTTAGACTCTAACGTCTTAATGCAGTGATTAAGCGCCCAGTAAGACTATAACGTCTTGAAGCAATAAGGGTCCGGTTAGGTTCCCACGTCTCGTCTCAGCAGAAGCCTAGTTCACGTTTTTGACGCCGCAACAGCCCAGTAAGCCCCACGTTTTGTCGCAGCAAGAGCCCAAGAAGCCTCACGTTTCGTCGCAGCAGGAGCCTAGTAAGCCCCACGTTTTGTCGCAGCAAGAGCCTAAGAAGCCTCACGTTTCGTCGCAGCAGGAGCCTAAGAAGCCTCACGTTTCGTCGCAGCAAAAGCCTAGTAAGCCTCTCGTTTTTGTCACCGCAACAGCCCAGTAAGCCTCGCGCTTTGTCGCAGCAAGAGCCTTGTAAATCTCCGTGTTATGCCGCAGCAAGAGCCTAGTAATGTAGTAAGGCCCACGTTTTATTGCAGTGTGTAGGTCCGGTAGGAGTAAGCCCGGCGTTTTGTCGCAGCAACAGCCTAGTAAAGCCCACGTTTTGTTGCAGTTTTTAGGACCGGTAGGAATATGCCCGGCATTTTGTCGCAGCAACAGCCTAGTAAGGCTCGCAATTTGTTGCAGTGTGTAGGACCGGTAGGAGTAAGCCCGGTGTTATGTCGCAGCAACAGCCTAGTAAGGCTCGCGTTTTTTTGCAGTGTGTAGGACCGGTAGGAGTAAGCCCGGCGTTTTGTCGCAGCAATAGCCTAGTAAGGCTCGCGTTTTATTGCAGTGTGTAGGACCGGTAGGAGTAAGCCCGGCGTTTTATCGCAGTAACAGCATAGTAAGGCCCACGTTTTGTTGGGAAGCGCAGCCGGGCACCACCATTTTTGTGCACCAATAAGCCCTGAATCGAACGCTTTGGATCTCTCCGGTAATCCACCTATCAGCCGTGAACCACTCGGCTTTGTCCTCCTCCGGTCTTGCATAAAACCTGCCGTGCACCACCAGGCGGCGGATGGCATATGACTTCCGGGCATCGTTAAATTACGTAATTTTGCCGTTTTTGCGTTCACCGCATCTGAGGTTAGGTTTTAGATAGCATAGTTCTGTTCCAAAATTTATCGTCCTTCGACGAGTGGCCGTTCGACCGAGGGCTTGTTCGACGCACGGCCTAGATATGATTGTCCAGATTGTCCTGTAAGGTAACAATATTTATACCTTTTGTCCCTGGATATTTCCTCATTAATATCTTCCTTGTTGAAAGATAATCTCCTTCACTTCGATATGTTCATAAACATTTCCTTGTGTTTGCCTTCCCTGTTTATTAAGTCACGCCCTTGGTGACGTCGGATAGCAAAGCTATAAAAGCTCTGTTTCAAGCGATTAACTTCAGTCTTGGGCGAGGACCGCTACGGTATACCCCATTGCTCCTGTCCATGACAATCAGGACAGTAACTCTAACTAGACTTATCCGTACTCCAACTGGACGCCGAAGACATCTGTGTTAAAGCTCCAATTAATTAACTGATTATCCTAAACTGTAAGCCGAACTATAATCCTACAAATATATATTATCGTTTACGCTGTTCCTCTATATCCTCGGATCCCGCTACAGAAGAACCACCCTCAGGTCATACTTAATTACCATTCATATAAGGGCTGCATAGAAAAGCAACCTGTTACAGTCAGTGAAGTGGGGGTCACTTTCGACCCCCACTTCACCTTCTCGCCCCACATCGCTGAAATATGCCAGAGAGCTCGCCCGCGCCTCAACATCCTCAAATCCCACGCCGGAACCAGCTGGGGACAGCAGAAGGAAACCCTCCTGGTGACTTTCAAGGCTCTTATAAAGTCTCTTATAAAGTCTCTCATCACTTACGCTGCCCCAGTGTGGTTCCCTAACGCCTCTCCTTCGGCAATCTCCAAGCTGCAAACCATTCAAAACTATGCCCTCCGCATAGCCACGGGATCTCTTCTAATGGCCTCCGCTTCCCACCTGCACAGCGAAGCTGAGGTCTTACCCGTGGCCGAAGACCTCTCTCTACTCTGCTCACAGTTCCTTGCCAGTGCCCTTCGTCCACACCATCCCAGCTACCCTATTGTCACCCAGACATCAGGGCCCCGTTCCATGAAGCACACGCTTCAGTCCCGCTTCTTTCCTTCTGTCTCTCACCTGCTGGAAGAGGGATCCCTCCCCCCGACACCTACTCCGCTGCCCTCAGCACTCTGCACAGCTCTGCTGTCTCATCCTACCTGTCCTCAGCAGCTCCCAACAAGGTGTTGCTGACCCCTGCCCCCACTGTCTCATCCAGTGAGCTATCCCTCCCCAGGGCGGCTAGAAGCGCCCTTTCCCAGCTCCGCTCTGGCTACTCATCGCGGCTCAACTCGTACCTTGCCCGCATCGGTGCAGCCAACAGCCCTCTCTTCCCTGAGTACTGCGCAATAGACCACACCACCCACCACCTCTTCAGCTGCCCTTCGCATCCCACTTCGCTGACCCCACTGGACCTCTGGTCTAACCCTGGACCGACTGCGGCTTTCCTCTCTTCGCTCCCATCCTTCGCCGACACCCTTGGAGCGGCTCCTCCGCTCCCCCCTCCTCCTCCGGAGCCGCCGCCTCTTCGTGGGCGCCGCCGAGCAGCGGTCCCGGGCAATTAACAACAAAAACATGATTGTCCAGAAGTGTTGAAGGCTACTTTCCGGAAGACAGGAATCATGATGGTCCATTACTTCCAGGGCAGTGGTGGTCTTCGGCAGGCGAAACGTTTTGTTGCAGTGTGTAGGACCGGTAGGAGTAAGCCCGGCGTTTTGTCGCAGCAACAGCCTAGTAAGGCCCGCGTTTTGTCGTAGCAGGAGCACAGTAAGCCTCCGTTTTTTCGCAGCAAAAGCATAATAACCCTCAGCACGTTTTGTCACGGCAAGCGCCCAGCAGGCCCCAAGTTTTATCGCAGCAGCGCCCAGTGAGCCTCACGTTTTATCGCAGCTTCCCACTCATGACGCCGGTCAAGGTGTCCTTCACTGGTCGCTCTCCGGAGCGGTAAGTCGTCGATGGACACGCTGTGCCGCTCGAGACGCTCCGGGGTGATGCACCTGAAGAACAGGTTGCTCATTACTTTCGTTTAGCTATTGCATATTTTATTCCCATTCGTAACCAAGTTATGTACTTTCTTGTACAAGTAAATAAATAATTTCGGGATAGTATGATTCAATCAGGAACCATTTACATATGCCCACTAATTGTTCTGGAATGAACTCCTATGAAGAACACACAAAGTAAGACAGGATATTAGTGCGCTGTAAGTAAATTTTTCTTGCTTTATTGAAGCTGCGTTATAAATTTATTAGTTGACTAAATGTCGACTTGGAAAAGTGCAAGCGTTACTTAGTCTCAGTCCAATAGAAAGAAGTTATTTATTAAGTAAGAGTGTAGCGTATGCAATTCGTTCCAAAGACTTTAACGGATATTTTTTAACGTTGGTTATTATTCATTATCATATTCTTAGTACTATTAACAATTTCCTAATTCATTAACGTTTTTCTTTCATACACCCACGTTTTTCTTTCATTCATCCACAAAATAGGTTTGGCATGACCCTTTGTCAGTCTTTCATTTGCTTATTTCAACTGCGATTTCGTTTAATTATTCTAATACTTTCTCCAATTAACCTCTTATACGAGCGTCACCTTCTGAAGGCCTGCAGCGGCGCAGGTCGTGACGGCAGCAGCGACGCTACAGGAGACTCTGGCCGAGAGTCCGCGCGTGCGAACAGATTCAGGAACTCCTCAGGGATGTTAACCTGGCGGCAGATTCTTGACAATGGGTACGACGTCGTACGTCGTTCTGTGGGTCTTACTGTAAACAATTGCTGAAATCGGAAGTCTTTACTGTTTTAGTGTGTCTTATACTGCAGCTTACTGTAGACTGTAAGACTTCATATAGTCTTAGTATAAATAGTTTATAGTCATTGTATAGATTAGTTCGTATAGTCTACAGTATAGAAGAGAAGGGCTCGAACATGTGACTTTGTAGCTAGTACAACTGTTAATAAGTATTTACTTCTTAAGGAGATCGAGGAACCTCTGCCACAAGAAAAATATTGTATAATTGATTATTTTTACTAGAGATAGTTACGTGCCGTAGATCATTTCATGCAAATGAGGGATGCTGTGAGGAAAATATTTGCGACAAACTGAACGCAGCAAGAGAATCGATTGAGTGGATGGCGAATGATTGGCTCCCGCATTATTTATTAATTGAAAATTAATGCTAGATTTTTTGACAATTTATAAAATATTAATTTCCTGTTGAAAATTACTGAGCGAAATGAATGGAAAATCTCTGGCTCATAGATTACAATAATTTAATGGGTAAATAGAAGAGAGAATTGAAATTTTTAGGAATCTAAAAATACAAGTTAAAAAATGACTGGAACGAACGTAGAATGAAGAGTATTGATGTCATTCGATTGCTTTGATCTCAAGTTCACTAAGAAGTCACAACCACAGGGATTATCACAAAAAATTCAGCATTTTCACAAAAACATCTTAACCGAAAGCGTTTTGGAGTTGGACTCAGGAACGTTTCCTATAAAAATTAAGCGAATTTTGTGGAATTTTCTTCGCTTTAAATTCTTATAATGAAGAGCACCTGGACGCCCTCGGCCAAGAAAGGCGCGTAGATGGCTGAGGGAAGTGAGGGCTGCCCCTCGCCTGCGTCGTCTGCAGCGCTGTTGCTGTCGTCGTTGTTGGCGCCTGCTGCTGCTGCGTGGCCCAGGCGACTGGCGTGAGCACGAACCTGCTCCAGCTGAACCATGGAGAATCAATCACTGAATCAGTTGTGGTTCATGTGCACCGTGAAAACAATGGTGAGCAAATAATATTGTATATGAAAGATTGATTTCACTAGCTGAAATGATAAACACTCATGATATTGACAAGGAAGAATTAGGCAGTGTATTTGCTGTGTGATTACAACAATTGTATGATATAGGACATGCGTCCAGAGATTTGACTGATAAATAATCTCTTGGCGATGTATCCATTGGGAAAGTCATTCGTTTTACGGATGTTAAATTCATAAACATTTATTTTTGACTTTATACATTTATTATACATTTATTTCATTTATTATACATTTATTTCTGTTCTCACCCATGCAGCCCTGGAGAGGGAGAGCATGGAGCGATGGGTGGGTGGTGCAGGAGGGTGGCGGCAAAGCAAAGAGCATGATGGGTGCAGGGGGGCGTAGGGTGAACAGAGACCTGCGAACGGCCGCGCGTGGTATGCCGGTCGCCCCACCAATGTTTGCAGGTCCATTTATTTTATTGTTTTATTATTATTATAAACTATTTTTTATTATTTTTATAAAGTAATAAATCTTATATTATATTATATCATTTTATATTATTTTATTGTGGCTTATATTCTCGGAAAAATTACTAAATTGTGCACTTCATAATTATTCTTAATGGCTGCTGGATTTATAGAGCATTATTTTTAATTACTGTAAGGGAAGACATGCAAGTTGGATATTATTGAATGAACAATTTTAAGGGCGAACGAAAAATGTTCACAAGATAATGATTTGCAAGAAAAAAGTATGGAAACGGCCTTGGCAAGCTTTCTGTGGAAGAAATTTAACGGCGTTGAAACGAAATATCGGACGATATTGGTTAACATTTACCATAAATTAAAAAAAAAACATTTTTATGATTTCTATGAGAATGAATAAATGAATCTATTATTTATAATCTATAATGAATAAAATCTATTATTTGTTATTTGCAATGAATTTTTTTGTGCAAACTACAGTAAACTTTATAAAAATCTAAGTTGTGAATAATCTTCTAGGATTCCATTCAAGCCAGAGCAGCGCTCTCATCAGACTGTATAAGCATTAAATCTGCGGTATTTGTTGTACAAAGTGCAATAAATACCACGAAAGTTTATATTTTTGATGAAAGTACAAACCTAAAATGAGGATTTATGCGAATCCTCCAGTCAAAGAATTCTTTGATGCAATCGCGCCAGACTCAAAATTGAAACGCGAAATTTAAATAAATTTAAATTTGGTCGCATTCGGAGCTCAAACTTTAAACGCCAATTATCCTTATATTGTTTGAGAGGTAACAGGAGAAAACCAAATTGTTTTTCATTCAACGCTTTTGTGTGATTATATTTACATAATTAATAAATTACTCAATTAAAATTAATGTATCTTTGTCATAGTTTCTTGTTGTGTCTATGTTTTGAAGCCTGACGGCGAAAATTTAAAAGTGCTGTTTGAACGACTTTCATGAAATTTACGTTATTACCTGAACCTGAAATTTTATTATTTTTTTAATAATTTTACCATGAGGGTAGATAGGGCTTCAAATTTAATTTTAATATGATACTTTAATTTGTTCCTAATAGTTTCTTCATAATTTCAAACTAATGTCAACTTAAGAGTTCTACGTTAAATCTGACATCGAACTGGCATTTCTTTAATTAGCATATCATTACTTACTCCAACATTTTATTACTTACTATATAACCCCCATGTGCGTCAGTATTACTTGAGGGATTCGTGATGACGGGATTTTAAAATGGCAGCTAGTATCGATTCCGGGCAACGCCTGGCTAATCTGCTAAGAAATTTACACAAGGAAATCGTTTTTCTATAGGTTAACATATAACAATTTTACGACGAATAGTTTTCATATAAGTAGTAAAAATTATCACAAGTCGTTTTAAGAGAATTTTTCAATAATAATTTCATTACATAAACTGTATGATACAAATTTTCTAAATCGTATATTTTTTCGCCTTGATGAATTTAGTGGCATTTATAGAGTTCCTTAGTCGAGCTTATTCGTTTTTAAATTAAGTTGAAGATACTGGGTGGCCTTGATGACGGCAAACTTGATCTCTAGACCAGCTCCGCTAACTTAAGTACATCTTTGTTGTGATTACCGCAGACAAAAACCCTTCTTTCTTCTTTACTCAGATCAATGTCGTTGAATGTGAAGCTTAACACGTTGACTACGATTGCTTCATCTTGTACTATTATTTCATTTTTCGTACTGTTTTTAAACAGGGTTGCCAGACGGTCATTTTTTCCGGACAAATTCCGTGATTTAGTTTTTCTCAATTGCGTTGGCCGGCTAAAATTTATGATAGGGGTACTTCCTAATTAAATTTTAAATACTGCAAAAAGAAAATGAATTGAATTTTTTTAGTGGAACGTACGAATAAACTAGTATATTTTGAGTTATCGGCCTTTTTTGACCTTTTTTGTTCTCGGATTTGGCCAATTTTAGGCAACCTGAATTATGTACCACTACCACCTGGAGAAATACATTTCGTGGTACGAATATGTACCACTTCGAAGTCAACGTGTTAATTTAGCTGCTACCAGCAGTTATGCATGAAATGTCGCGATGTTACGCAGATGTCCTTCTATAGACGCAAAGGAATCCACCTCGTTGTTCTAAATAAGATTATATAATCATTCGCTGGAATCTTGTTTCGTAATTCGTTAGCTAAAGCTTCTCTTCATCTAGCGATGTAACGTAACAACTATACTCGTAATCAATTTGATCTATCTAATTTTATGCATTTTATTTAGATTCAATGGGAAATTTAAACTCCCATGTGCTCAATGATACCACGAATAATAGCTTAAAATTAACTAATCATCACAAGTTTAATAACGGTAAACGCTTAGCAAGTAAGTGTCTAGGTAAGCAAACTATTGCACAACTTTCTTGCTCCCGATATTTTTCTAAATCTCGTAACCAAATCCTTGCTAGGACCTATTTCCCGCACACCATCTCACTGGAATTGGGTGCAAGTGTTTCTGTATGAAGATTGAACATGAAACAGCCGTGATCTTATAAAACTATTTTATTTAGGAATTTGTATTTTATTTAAACTGTTTATTTATTGTTTCAGTTGTATTTTATTTATTTAAACTGTTTATATCGCGGAGGTTGGGTCTGCGTCACGGCACGAGAAACGACCTCACGGCCCGGAAGGAACTCGACTGAGACTCGCAGGGTCACTCGGAACCGGGGCTTCCGCTCCCCATAACCATTGGGGGGATGGGGGGCGCAGCTCCCTCACCCTCATCCTGCACGCATCACGCATCGTTGCCTAATGTAGGTGAGCCTATCAGCTTTATGGCTTCTAGATGAATCAATCAGCGTTGTGGCATCTAAGTGAGCCGATTACAGCTCCACGGCATGTAGGTGAGCCGATTAGCTCCACGGCATCGAGGTGAGCCGATTAGCTCCACGGCATCGAGGTGAGCCGATTAGCTCCACGGCATCTATAGGTGAGCCAATCAGATACACTGCATCTAGGTCAGCCAATCAGCTACACGGCATCTAGGTGAGCCGATTAGCTCCACGGCATCTAGGTGAGCCGATTAGCTCCACGGCATCTAGGTGAGCCGATTATAGCTCCACGGCATCTAGGTGAGCCGATTAGCTCCACGGCATCTAGGTGAGTCGATTAGCTCCACGGCATGTAGGTGAGCCGATTAGCTCCACGGCATCTATAGGTGAGCCAATCAGATACACTGCATCTAGGTCAGCCAATCAGCTACACGGCGTCTAGGTGAGCCGATTAGCTCCACGGCATGTAGGTGAACCGATTAGCTCTGTGGCATCTAGGTAAGATTATCTGCTATCCAGCATCTAGGTGAAGATAATCAGCTCTGGGACATCTAGGCGAGCCAATATAACAAGGACCATTGTACCATTTTTAGTGTGTACTTCTTTGAGAAGATACATTGTTATTAGATAATAACTTACTGTAGAATTACAGTAATTGACTATTACCCTACAGCTAATAATTAAGGCAAAAACGCTCAATTTCATCGAAGATTCGATAAATTTGCCGGCATGAGGACCTTGATTGTTTCAAAAATTTCTCTCAACCAATACTTACTTTATCTTAAATAGTGTGAAATATGTGTAGTTTTCCTATCAACAAAATATTTTATTCAAGCAAGTCAAGGCTGATCAATACTTTTTCGCTAGTAACGATCTCGCTTTTTACTCGATTACTTGATGAAAGTTGGAGGCGTATTTTCGACGGCCAGCGGCTGGAAACGTCAGTCAGTCAATTAACTGAACGTCTCATCGACCCGCAGGCGGAGGCAGCCAATCAGGAGGCTCAGTGCGAAGTCTGGGGTTGGATTACCGAGCTAATATTGGCCGCAGGTATTTGTGATACAGCCACTGAATTTCAGTACCGATAATAGAGGTCTTCTCTCGCTCAAAATCGGGGAGATTAAATTGAATTTTGTTCATTCAAATTTAATGTGTGAAAATTCAAATATTTTTGAAAACTGCATTAAATAATTGATATGTAGAACTTTTAGAGCTTATAGAACTTCAATAAGAATTTATTTAGCTTTGGGCTGGAGTTTAATCTGGATTAAGTGTTTAATCAAGCAGCTGGCTTTTGTAACTGAACATGAACAATTTTCTCGCATTAAATTCTTTGTATTATTGTTCAATGTAGGGGACAGTTGAATGAACCAGTTAACATTTCAGAGGTTTAAAGGTATAATGTCTGGATTTCAATTATGTTCCAGGAGGATTGAAATTAAAGTTGAATAAATTTCATCTTATTTTATTTAAGGCACCCTTGAGGAATCACTCAACCGAGCTGTCGCCGCTCCCATCTTAAATTAGTTTTCTCCAGTAATTATAACGGAAACTTGTCATGAACTGATAATTTTTCTACATAATTAAGACGTTGAAACGAATAGAGGCGATTCAAATATGAATCGATTTCTGTGAGACATATGGAATCGAATAAATATTCAAAGATGACTTACTTATGAAGCAGATGTTAGAAGAAACCAGCGATTCAATCAATTGCTTGCCAAATTGTTACAAAATTCTCTCGTACTAAATGCTAGAATTATTTATCATTCAAGTATCAAATAACTTAATCATTTCTCTGTTTTTTGAAAGTAAATGTTTTAGTATCATTTATTACTTTTCCAAGTAGAAGATAGTTATAGAATACAAGCAACTTCGCTCGCATGCGATTCAACTACATGCACAGAAATTTAGTGATTTTTATCACACAAAATTTTCGACAGATTGAATTAAAAAACTAAAGGCAAAATAACTAAACTAAAAACGCCATTGGAGTTCCGCGTTCTGGAATGCTTGAATAAAGGAATTGCGTAATATTTTACAAATATCTAACAACATATGCGACTTTTACTACGATTAATTAATGTTCGACAAGAAAATTTAAGTAAAATTTGAGAGAAGATCCTTGAATATCTAAAACGCTAGCAGATATGATAACATTAGGTTAAATTTTCAATGATCCAATTGATTTAAGCATTCACATGATATTGTTTTTAACTTTCAAAATGAATATCATATATTCATGTCATGTATTCATTCAATTGACACATCGTCTCGTCATTAGCCAAGAGTGTTGGGTGTACCCAGCTGTGTTCAGGGCAGGACAGCATATGGAATACAAACTAATATGGAATGTAGATATGATAAAATAACAATGAATAACAGATTAAACTTCATTATGAGAAATGTTCCTCGATGTCGCGGACATTAATTGGAATGTCTAAGTGCACATGATATTCTGTATGCACAAATGCATACAGAAACTATTGAACTCTTATACGCAATGGAATTCCTTGCTAAAAATATATATATTATATAGCCCTAATACAGATGGAGTATGACGCACTTATATCAAATTATTGAACAAACTTTCAACTGAAGCAATTTCCGATTTATAATCAAAGAATGAGATCAAATTCTCACGTTATCCGAATAAATTGATTTTATATTTAATCTATTGTGCTTCTGATATGTAAGACGAACCTAATTTCGATCATTATCACCATACTTGGTATGTTCAGACTTTTTTTAAATCTTAAGAATCATTTCTGCACTTATTAATTGATTAATAAATAGCTTTACGCAACACTCAAACCGCGGATTCGCTGCGAGGTCGACCATATAAGCGATGTATGTCGCTTATTATGACCTATCGAGGCGACTCCGCGAAACAAATTCAATAGCAACATCATGTACAAAAACCTCAATAAAAAACTATTTACAAATGTATACCTAAATCCAACACACGGGCATCACCATACGCAGAAAACGTGAACCAGAAGCACGAGTTGACAAAACAATTTTATCTTACAACTTGGTTAGCAAAATTAAAGTTTCACCTGGTTTAAGTAACGCTTCATAAACCTTGACTGTTTTTTTCAAGAATTTGAAGATAATTTCAACGAATTGAATTTTAAAAAGGGGGTTTCTACTGATGTTGTTTACATCAATTATTTTCATATGTGGTCTAGGAATGACACCACTTCCAAAGGTAATCAAAATAACCTTAGTTACTGATGCCCTTCAGTAGTAAATACAATTACTTACCACTCTCATAACAAGTCCAATTAAAAATATCCTCAACATTATATAATCTATGCTAATTAAGTAAGCAATAAGAAAGACCCAAATTAATGATCTACGGAGTCTTCACGTATTCGCAAGACGTGGACAAGACTTACATTGATATGTAGTGGAACTTTAATTTACAAGAACTCACATCGGCTGTGGATGCAATGGGATATTGTTGGTACATTGCAAATATAATTTTTGATAGAAGCTGAAGGAATTTGACATAATGTATTAATTAGAATTATACCACCCAAGTTTCAGAATAGTGATGACAGTGAAATGAGCACCATAGCTATTCATTGAAATATCATATAGCTTAGCTCTCTGAAGATTTCTTTTTTCACAGCGATGTAAAATTGAGACCTGAATGGTTGACTTTTGGAGTTTGTTATTGACATTCAAACGTCCAATACTTTGGGACGAAATATACCGCAAATAGATAATTGAAGACTCCTGAATTAGGATTCGAAGATAGAGAGTTTAGATTGCGTTAATGAGTGATTAACTGAAGTGAATGTAAATTAAGTTGCCACCTTATAAAAATTACAAAAAATCAATTTGATTACAATTTTTCCGTAGACAAAAACTTTTGACTATTCCACATTTTCAACACGAAAACTTGAGGTCCGCATTTCGAAAAAACTCGAACGAAAAATTTTAAGCAATTTTAAGCTCAATGCATCTTGTGTATTGAGAATATTTCTGCGAGCGGAAAATACAAACTATTATGAGGAAAATAAATTAGAACATTGCCGAAAAAATGGTCACGCGATTATTTCGAAGAAAACAAATGGAGAAACGATCATTGCGAATAGCTCTTAATGCCGGCACATTCTTAATTATCTCATAGTGTATGACTTAAAATGGAATGTACGGAATATCATCTAACAGAATGTTTACACTGAAACTGGATCAGGAAAGTATCATGATGTCATAGTAACATAATTAGAGTGTGAATAAAAATGAGAGAGAGAAAACTTGCGAGCGGACGGAGAAGATTAAGTAAATAACCTGAAACATTCAGTGAAATGCAACGTATGCTCGAGAAAAACTGTTACTCGAGAGAAACTGGCAACAAACTTAAGCCTAAATTAACTGGGACTCACGACAAATAACAGTCATTCAACAGCTTACCACGCGTGTTCAATTTGCGCTCAAAAGATCACAAAAATTGAAAAAAATGAAGAACTGCTTAGTAATTAAAAAATTCCAAAGCATAACCATTCAATGAAAGTCAAGCGATCAAAGGCGTGAGCGAAGTCATTAAAATGATGCATTAATTGACTGAAAATAAAACTGCTTAGCCACAACCTTCAAGTTCACACAATTGCCAATAAATGCTGTAAAAAGTAACTATTAACAAACTCCTCTGGTATCTTAGAACTATGATCAGAAACTCCGAGCTATTATGGTGCTAAATGCTCACTCATGGCATAGTACATTATTATGCAGCTAATCAAAATCTAATGATAAGATTCAGGATTTTGAATATGAAAGAATCGGGTTCTATTCAATATAGTATCGAATTTCTCAAAATTCTATAGTAAAAAAAGGTTAATTAGCAAAATGCATCTTTAGTGTATTTCAAAGATGCTGAGTAACATTAATAATAGTGACGTATTGAAGCGGGATTTTGCTGGCTTTCTTACCCATTTTTAGTTAATTTAATCCATATTTGGTAATCTAGATCCAGAAAAAAATGTTCCTCTGCGCAAAATTAAGTTGACTATCAACTTTTTAAAAACAATTTCACAATACTTGACAAATAATCGTCAATCTGAAATGTTGAATTGAAGATTTATCGCAGTTACCGCGAGAAAAACACAGTTCAAAAAAGTAATATAACAAAACAAAAAGAAGAAAGAAACCGTTATCAGTTTGAGGCTCTGCCTCAATTATACCCAGACTGGCCTGTCACAAACAACATGTATAGTGTACATGTTCTGCCTCCTTAAATCAACTCATAGGAATGTTGTTTACGAAGTTTGTTAAGTAGTATTGCTAAACTAAATTTTTGTCATGTTAAATAAAACTAAAACTGGGCTTACTTCATCGGGGTTTAAGTTAGATTAAATTTATCAAGCTCTAGCTTTAATTAAGAGAAAAAGGTTGCTGTGCAGTTTGCCAGACTCAGGACAATCGTAGGAATGATGGGAGAAATAATTCCTTCAGTCAGTGCAGAGGCTAAAAATTGATGCCGTTAAGCTCCATCTTATCACAAATTTGTGGATTTTAAGCAAAAAAATTTAAATCAAGGAGCCTAATATTTTACGATAACTGCTTACGAGATGTTGAGCTATCGGTGAGCTAGTTTATCCGGAGAACAAATCCTAGTGCAGTAAGCAGTTGATGGTGTATGGACAAGTTCATTGATATAAATTGTATAGATTAAGGTTGGATCAAAGTTTCTTGGAGGCATCGTAGTTCTCGAACTTCCAGTTTTGTCTTGGCTCGCTGCTGCTACACTCCTCCATGAGCAGCTTCTTGCGGTCTGCGCTGATGGCCATACACTTCTTGCTGCTGCCGTGAACGATGTGCTGAGACTGAAAAATTACATTATCATTCTACCAACCATTATCGTGGCACGATAAGTGATTATTGCACCAATTATAATCAGTGCACCATCCATGATCATTTAACCATCCATGATCATTGCACCATCCATGATCATTGCACCATCCATGATCATTGCACCATCCATGATCATTGCACCATCCATGATCATTGCACCATCCATTATCATTACACCATCCATAATCATTATACTATGCAAACATCCATAATCTAAACATGGTCTGGACATTATTTTTGTTACTGATCAAATTGAACAGCAGATATAAATTGAGTAAAATTTTGCCTTTCCTTATAGAACAATGAATGACTATGAAATTGCCATAGTAAATTTACATTTCATTTTTATAAAAAAGAATGATATAAATCTAATGGAGCATTCAAACACAAAAATTAGTAAGTTACTACATTGCATAAAATTTTATAATAAAAAATGGTAATTAAATGCATGCTAACAAGTAATAAAACAAAGTCGAGATTAGATGGTCGACTTCAGATTCGATTCTCGACATTATCTCATCTATGCTTTCAATGATTCAACTCGTATGTTGATATGTTCAGAACATAATCAACTTTCAAGATGATATAGTCAACTTTCAAACTGATATAGTCAACTTTCAAAATGATAAAGTCCCACAACATTTTATTACTTACTTTCGATATACCGCGATTCATTTTGAGTTGCGTTTAAGCTATGCATTAATTATGTACGATCCTACATCATAAGAACCGTGTGCGATGTTTATTCGTTTGATGAAAGAACCACATGCAACACATTCAAACACATAAACTATTTTGACAAGTTTAAGAGATGCGGATCATTAAGCTGAATTGAAATGAGTCAGAAATTTATTGCGCAAAAAGTAACGTTTGAAAACCAGGACAAACAATTTCTATGAGAGGCAAGTCATATATGATTAGTCTTATATGATACACATATCTTATGATCCTCATATATGATACACAGATAGGTTGTGATGCAAAAAAATTCTAATAATGAGTATATGAAAAGTCATGTTGTGATGCTAAGGTACCATATAAAGAGTGTACGAAAAGTCATGTTGTGATGGAAGGGTACCATACAAAGAGTGTACGAAAAGTCATGTTGTGATGCTAAGGTACCATATAAAGAGTGTACGAAAAGTCATGTTGTGATGCAAAGGTACCATACAAAGAGTGTACGAAAAGTCATGTTGTGATGCAAAGGTACCATACAAAGAGTGTACGAAAAGTCATGTTGTGATGCTAAGGTACCATACAAAGAGTGTACGAAAAGTCATGTTGTGATGCAAAGGTACCATATAAAGAGTGTACGAAAAGTCATGTTGTGATGGAAAGATACCATATAATGAGTGTACAAAAAGCTAAACTAGTCGGTACCTCGGGGGTGTACTCCCAATATTGGTTTCCTTTAGAGCCGTGGCACGGGTAGAGGATGACGTCGGTGCCGGCAAAGTCGAGACAAGCCTCGTCTCTGCGGATCTCTCCTTCTTTGCTCAGCATCCAGTACTGCACATTAGGAGGTCAATTAAATATACTAAATGCATTATATTATAATCAGGATATACTAAATATACTAAATGCATACAATTATAATCAAGAAGTATGGTGCGAGATTCTTTCTACTTATTAGTTAAGAATATTACACTGCATGAAATGAGAAACTTCAGTGGCAGCATATTTTATAATGATTGTAATAAGCATGAGGTGACTAATATGAAGACTGCAGTGTCATATAATTCATGTCATTATATGGTAGCGTAACTAGCGTTCAGTGAACGCTGATTATAGTGAAAATCGCCTAATATTGAATTACGCGAAGTCAAAATTTCACGGACGAAGTCAAAATCTATGAACTTAAAAAAAATAGAATATAAAAAATCATAGTTACCTAAATTTAGAAAAAATTACATTTCGAGTATTTTTAAACGTAATAAAGTTCATTGTTTCAGAACTCCAACAATGCGGTCGCGGAAAGATTTGAATAAATAAGATAGTTTCCCCACGAATATTTCATTTTCTTTGAACTCAAACACAGAAGATGGTCTAATATTATTCTAGTTAATTTTTAAACAGCACTTTCGAAAACGATGATCACCTATATGACCTCCTTAGTTGATAGGTTTGCACACGGATTCTTCGATTTTCAGAATTCGATGAATTTACTACATTTCTAACTTCAGCTATATCTCACCGAAAAATTTATTAACCTTTCACGCTTGCAATTCTTACGATTCGGGATGAATGGAACAACGGAATGCGTAGTTTTCGGTAAATCTCTATGAAGAAAGACATTCTCATTCAAGAGGGTTTCTACATAAAAATCATGTCAACACACGTCTTATATGTTGAAATTAAATTTTCATAAATCTGAACAAGAGAGCTTCACTAATTTCTTAATCTATTTGTGTGTTAGTGTCTTTAACTATGCGCTATTTTGTATTTAAACTGTGCAAGTGTTATTGCAATTGCAATTTACGTAATGGAAATATGAATTATTTAGAAGCTAATATATTTTCTGAATACAATGTTCCAACGCATTGAGAACGATTGGAAGATAATCATCTCTCTCAGCTTAAAGCAAAACTTTCCTAATTAATTAATTAATCAACGGTTTGATTAATAAAATATGCTACAAAATTACTACTGATTTATAAGAACATAGATTAATATTTGTAGAGAACTCTCGACAAATGAGCTTAAAAAATGCAATCTTACTTGGCTTATATATCTCGCAAAAAAAAAAAAATTGAAGAGGTGATTCTTCAGTGAAATAATATTTACTATGAGGCAAAAAACTCAGAAGTGCGCCATTAGCATATTATCAAATGGGTTTACCTGGTTGCCTTCCTGTTTGTGGCAAGACCTACCTGGTTGCCACCCTGGTTGTGGCAAGACCTACCTGGTTGCCACCCTGGTTGTGGCAAGACCTACCTGGTTGCCACCCTGGTTGTGGCATGGCCACAGTCCCACGGGCTTGTGGTTATCCTCAGGTTTGGCGGCAGAGTCGACGCACTGGGCCGTGGCTAGGTTGCGAATCTGGTATTTGGATAGCAACGTAGGAAGCCTAAGTCAAGAGCTTGAATATAAACGCGGTACATAAATTGGAGGCCCAACGATTTGAAAAATTGTAGAAGCAACAGCAGCGAAAGCCAACGAAAACCAGAGTCAATAAAAGGACAATAATATAAGCTCGATTTATAATTAGGGAGTCAAATTTGGCCGAAACAAAGAACAACAAACCACAGATTTAAGAACTGAATTTTAATTCCTATGAACTGCAAAACGTCCAGGAATACTCGGAATGAAGACTCAAAATTGAAGTTTTATAGCAACGCTCATTGCCAAGCTTGATCGATATTGAAATACGCTGCAAAGAATTGCACTTCCACGGAGTCAGGTGAACACCGACAAAGAAAAATTTCGTCAAAGAAGAAAAAACACGTGCGAAAGGAAATTAGGAGTGTAAACTAACAAGGGAAACAACGCGGATCCAGAGTGGAGGGAAGGAAGTAAGAAGAGCATCACTAAATATGAGAGGAATTATAGATAACCGCAGATTGAACAATTAAGAGAACAAGAAATTGGAACATCAAACGTGATACTCATCAGAGCAGAGGGTGGATGCGATGGACATTAAACAAGGAAGACGAAGAACAGGGCTCGGAAATTATTCACTCTTATTGTTTTAGGAACTAAAACAAAATAAAGTTTGCATTCTCAGCGCTTCAACTGATAATCTAAATTGAGAGATGGTTTTTTGGGTTGTCATATTATCCTTGACCGTAAACACAAACAAAGAATTTGATGAATAATGGGAATTACGAGTTCAAAATCAGCCATACACACGATTCACTAGGAAAAAAAGGGTGAAGTAAAATTGAAATCGAAGATTGATTTCGACCCACAGATGCACGATTCGAATGGCAACCTATGAATATTCAGAAAGGAGTAAGAGTTCGATGAATAGTAGCCCAAGAGCCAGAAAATTTTTTGCCAATAAATGTGAAATTCAATTGTGAGGAACATTCGCAAATAAATTATTTGGAGTCGATGAAAGTAGAAATAATATAATTTAATTTTGGACAAGAAGGAAGGAGAATAAATTTCGCGAAGGAAAGAACATGGATATAACGTAAGAATTATGCGATGAAGAAAGGAAGTCTCAGAGTAATAACAGTCTAATGACAAACAAATTCTAATGACAACAGCCAAAAACATCAACCTACACACAAACTTATTAACTATGGTCGCATACACTTAAGCAACGAACGTTGTGAACCTATTGGGCGATTTTCTATAAGTTCTATTACGCTGAAAGAATATTGCGGATATCAAAATTACTATGGTATAAAAAAGGCGACACATCCTACAAAATTAATAATGTACGAAGAATTCAATACAATGCTGAACTGAGAGAGTTTGGATTCAGTTAACTACAAAAATTATCTGTACGTCGCATTTTGTCTTATTTGCGACATGCAGTATTCATGGGAGTTTCTTCGGACAATTGTTCAGTCAGGATGAGTTTAAATGTCAGGTGTAAGCATAATGAATTTACAAAATTAAGAGTGCAGTCAAGAAATCGCAGAAACCAAATCGGTGATAAAAGCTGGGAGTAAAAGTGTGAAATGTTCGGCGGGTTTCGAGGAGAATGGGACTATAATTATAGCATGCTGGACAAAGTATACGAGGTGAAGAAACGTTCCCTTTACCACATGCAAGATTACAAAACAAGACAATCAACATTTAAAATCCATACATTCCAGAAAATTTCACAAAAAAGAAACAAATGCAACTTACCTTTAGGTAGACAGTGTCCGACAGAATGCGTTTTGAAATGAACTGTCTGGCTTTCATTTGAAGCTTGAATACGAATTATACGGGGTTTTCTTCACTACGGGCTCAAAACAAAAGGATGCTTTGAAAATAGAAACGAACTCCGTTTTAGAATATATAATAATTTTTGTCCCTCCAAATCAAATTCAATTCACGTGTGTCCATTACGGAAGCTATTGCGACACATTTAAGGTTCGGAATTCAGTTGATAACTAAATGAATATAAGAAGGTAATTTAAAAACGTTTCTAAACATCCTTTCGTCCATTTCCCGAGCTGATTATAATTTTTTCACACAGTCACCTGATTTCCGCCTTGCTTATGGCAAGGGTAGAGACCGACAGCTTTGTGCATGTTGGCCCGACGAGCTGGAGAATCAAGACATGTGCCTCCACCCAGTCCGAAATTGCGAACCTGTTTTGTACATGAAAGCATATCGCGTGGACGAGCATTGAGGTGATTTAGTCAAGTTATTCATCCCGAAATACAAACTCCGTTTTGCCCAAACGAGTAAAAGCATTTCGAAAACCTGTGGCCTGATTCGTGTGAACATTAGATCATGCTAAAAGTAATGGAAATTGTCAGTGTAGGAATCTTACAAAATAAAACGGAAAATTCTTCCTAGGAAGCAAAAAATATGTCTTTGAATATCATTATAATTTCTTTAATTATTGTTTTCTTTACTATAAATCAATCTGTAGCTTATGAATATCGAATTAATTTAATTGAATAACTTGTTTAGAATCCGGCCACAGATTCGTGCACAACTCTTGAAGCGAAATTAAACAAAAAAACACACTCGTTACTCTTGTGCTGTGCAAAAATTTGTCCCAGTGTGTGTACGCTTAGTTCCATTTGAATGCCGCTGATAGTGACGGTTAATCCTAGAATGCAACAAAATCACCCATTTCTGAACGAATTACATCACATTGTTTCGGCTTCTGGACATTGATATCGATAGATTTCCTTTATAAATTAATGTTAGATGTTCTAAAAAATGCGGCGATTTATGAAAAAATATATTTTTCGGGTGTGTTTTGTTCTATTTAGTTCGAAAGTTTAGTTCCCAGAAGACTGTGACTCCTGTGTTCAGAAAAAGGTGAATAAGAAGGAGACTAATGATTATTCATATTATTAATGGATTACTATACGTTTCAATTTCATCGTTTGTTAGTTATTTTGATTCGAAAAATACCACTCACATGCAGTTATCATCGTCGTAGTATGTACCCTGAAAAATCACCATGAAGTGCCCAATTTATATGCTCGAATTTTCAAACAAAGGCAAAGGCACTCAAACAGGCAAACCAGTGCTGCTATTTGAAAAATCTAGTTTTGCTCTGGAAACATTTCAATTCAATCAAATTTGACAAGACATGTAATATGTGGAAAATTGTTAAAGGTTATTGTGTGTGGTCATGCTTTCATTTCATTGCACCAACGCATAAGACTGAGGTGAGACTTAATGTGATAATCAGTTCTTAACGAAACTGCATATAAAGATCATATACAAGAACGACAGTTAGTTCCGACAATAACAAGTAAGTTTGTTCATGAGTTCATCATTCAGTGTAATTCATTTGTGGATTTAAAACGACTTTCCGCAGAACACGAAGGAAGCACGACGAGAAATGAACGCGTCAAAGAAGTCGAACAAAGCTGCATTCCAGTCTCGCTTCGCAGTCTTTGTATAGACCGTCGTTTGCTGTTTTAACTCTACGTATAACAGTCGACTGGTTTGTAATGTTTGATAATTTATCAACTTATGAAACGGACAGTTTAACGTAATTAATTAATGGCTGATTTCCTACGTCAAATAATTTTGGAGTAGACAGTCGATTTTGACTCGTCCAGGAAAGGACACATGAGTTGTTAAGGCAATTTAAAGCTTTGCATAAAATATAGCAAAATGTGATAATTCGTCCGAATATAACCCCTACTTCAACTGTGATCGGACACAAAACAATGTTAAGAAGTCATCTGTCACTGATTTTCAAATAAAAAATCCATCATTCTTTTTGCTATAAGCCTGAATGCAAATTATTATTTTGTTCGAAAAAATTTTTAATTTGAATCGTTTGGAATAGAAATAAAATTATTCGTTACAGCAACGATAGCTCAAAACCTTAAATGAAGTTTCTGACTGAAATGAAGACAATTGTAGAGAATTTGTTTTATACAAACAGTGTTCATAACAGACAAGTCGAAAGCGATGGCAGATTTAGGTTTGTGTGCGAGTTAGTCAGTCAGATGCGTGGGCGTCTGTCGGTCGAAGATTAAAGGAATGTCAGTGGCGGCCGGCCAACGGCCGTAGATCGGCCATCCATAACTGAGTGAGCTCTGCAATGGAGAGTTGAGTGCATGTGCCGACCAGACTGCAACAAGACGGCACCGGTCCGACACTCCCATGAATGCTTAATGTCGCAATTAAGGAATGTTGCAGAGCCATGGTTTACGGCTCAACTTGTGCTGCAGCTGCAGCGCTAAAACCACGGCGGCTGATTAATTCAACTAAGGATAGCAGGAATTTATGCATGAGTTACCTATGCGAGTTTCGCTCGGGTTTTGATCAACGTTGGAAAGATTTTGATGCATTTCGGTTCCTTTAGATCAGATACAAAGATCTGTAGTAATTATATGTTTGTAGCTTGAACTTGCCGGAACAACAATTGAACTTTCATTGCAAACTTTGAACTCGCAAAGCTACTCTAATCAATCAATCAATTTTTGACTTCACATCAGTATGTTTCTCAATTAACAGCTCCTTGGTTTCAGATTGTTCACGATTTCATCCTTATTTCACGACTTCATCGTTAGTTCACGACTTCATCGTTAGTTCACGACTTCATCGTTAGTTCACGACTTCATCGTTAGTTCACGACTTCATCGTTAGTTCACGACTTCATCGTCAGTTCACGACTTGATCTGAATTATAACACAAAGAAATCGGTCATCTGAATTATAACACAAAGAAATCGGCGTAGTATGGGCAGGGTATTCTCACCTCTCCAGAGGCGACGGCTTCTCCAGGTACGAATAGCTCAGGGTACACGTTGTCCAGGTACCACTTGAAGGACTTGCAGCCCAGCCGCTCCCGCAGTGCCTTGCGGTCACTTACGTCCCCGTAGTTGCCCTGTTGCAGCAGCAAGACACGGTCAGAACTTCAACTGAAACTACGAGATTTTTCTACGAACGGGATTTTTCCCGTAGAAAAATTATAGATTTTTCTACCAACGGGAAAGATTTTTGGCTATTTAATTAGACGAGTTTGAGTTTAGGACAATAGTTTTATTTTAATTTTTAATTCATTAATTTTCAATTTATATGATTTTTAAAGAAAATTATCCATTGCAGGTCCTATTCTGGACATTGGATGCCTTATTATTTATTTGTTATAATCATAGTTTACAAATATTAGTGGTGGCATTTCATATAGATGATTTCATCCGAAATTAAATTATAATCAATGGCAACTTTAATGTGATAACAAGTAATGGTCGCATAGCTCTGAACCAACTCACCAGATCATATCCAATTCTCTCGTAGTAATACTTCTTGTATTCATCGAGCCAAACTTCAGCCAGTCTGATGGAGTTTTTCTTAAGAACGTTGACGCCCGTACGCCACTTGTAGGGAGAACGTTTGCGGAAAATGTGGCCAACGTGAGAACACGGGACGATTTCCAGCGTACCTCCGCACATCCAAGTCTGAGGAAATGAATCTATTATATTTTCCGAAAAATAAAATCCATGTTCCAACCGATATAAGCGGCACGTGTAAAAAGAAATTTTGATAATGTGATCAGTGTTCAACATGACTTTGTGTCATGTCGAGCTAACTCTGGAAGGTCGGGTTCAATAAATTAGTTGAGGAATTCATAACAAACGAGCGATCCTTCGGTTAATATATATCAAACTACGGTATGCTAGAATATGTGAATGCTCACCTTAAAAGACAATTCTAAATTCTCTCCACCCCAAATATCAAAGCCAGAATCATAGGTTCCGAGGCGTTCGAAGAATTGCTTGTCAATAGAGAAGAGACCTCCGGCCATAGTGGGCGAGTAGACGGGCTCGGCTGGGTGCTGATGGCGCGCTCGTTCTTTTTGCGGGATGCCATGCCAGTTGAACTGTTTCAGAACCAAGCGTTTATGCCGGCGGGGATATGAGGTTCCCACAGAGAGTGCAGATCGGGGATGGTGAAGGGAAAAGTAGAATTAGTCAATCGTTCACATTCATGAGACAGAAAATCGAAATGAATTATGATTAATAAAAATCATTACGATTTACATATTTATACCATAGTTTATTTAGCTCAGGTATGGTAAGACATTTGTTATATATTGCTCAATGTTTCGATATATATGAATGCAATAAATTGTATCAATAGAAACTGATCGATCCAAAAACTGTTATTTCACGTGACGTTATAAATATATAGATGAAAATACGCCTTGTAATTTGTATTTCTAAGACGGGATTGGAAAAAGCATGCTTTGGAAAATATTGAAGCGCGTGCAAAAAATAAGTGCATGAAGCATTCAAGCAAGCAAGCAAGCAACACATAGCAGAGAATGATAATTGGGGGTATAAAACAAAATAATATCATGTATTACACGAGTTAATGTTTTTTAATTCATCACAAAAACTGAATTCAATCGAAAAAAATATATGAATGTTTTATCTTTTCTGGATTGATTACCAATTTTTGTAAATAGGCTTTGGTAAATGAGGAACGAATTTTTCAAATTAAACAATGATAAATCGTGTGAGTGTGACAATATAGAACACAAGATCACAAGAAGAGTAAGAGACTTTCTACTTAAAACGTCCGAGCTGAAAAACAAACGCATCGAGTGCTGTACAGGAAACCAGCCAAAACAATGCCTAAATTAATAGGTATTACAAATTTACAGTCATTGAGCTCAACACGGAGCGGAAAACACCAACTATGATCTAGATAAAAAATAATAAATTACTAAATGATAACCGAATAATTTAAAATGAACTGGTGACGCAACGAAAGAAAGCATGGCAAAACAGAAAAAAAATCGAAAACAACTAGCAACGAGGCAACGAAAATCGAACGAAAGAGTTCGGAAGATTGAAAAGAGACACCATCCCGAACTGCTGGGATATTAGGTGATGCTCGAGTGCACATAAACGCTTTGAATAAAAATTTACGATCATACGAGACTTGGACCAAAAAACGAGTTCAAAATAATGTACTCGGATATCAACCTACGATCGACAAATACATGACTGAAAAAAAAAATTCGGGCAGATTAGAACTGGGAGCTAATTTCTAGCTACCTGCAGGTTCCAATCAAACCCCCCGACCGCTACAAAGGAAGAATACGTGTACTCCAGAGTATCGTCCATGATGACATCAATGACGGGGGTGACTACTGTAGTCCAGTTGCGGCCTATCCTCGACATCAGAGGCTCGAGCCAGCCTAAGACACGAGAAGCAAAACATAATTCTATGAACTTAAATAGTTCCAGATACTGTTAATCCATGGGAGGCGGAGAGGAGAGTTCTGGGTTGGCATAAAATACGAAAAGTAATGAGAACTTGGACAGGAGGTATAGAGTTTGAGTGCAAATCCCAGTCAAAGCAGAAGTTACGAATTATATTCTCGAGCCAGCGCCATTTGCTTGCATCAAAAATTAGAAGCACTCAGCAGTTCTCTTGAGATTGCATCCACAAGTGCGATACGTAAAACCGACCCAGCATCTGAAGTCTCATACAATCTTTTCTCTTGCCGCATGCCGTAAAGCCCTCAAGGAAGAAGGGCGATGTCACGACTCCAGGAAAACGGATAAGATGTCAAAAAAAAAAAAAACTCCAAGTAGGCGAGAGACAATCGAGAGCGTCCCGAAGCCACGATAAACTTCGAAGCTCTGCGCACGTTGAGTCGTTTTGAGGTTTAAACCAAAGCGGTTCAACCGAAATCTGGGAAGAACCAGCAAGAAAATGTCTTGAGAACCACGCAGGCTTTAAATAGGAACGGCCGGTCTGATCTTTCATGGGTTTAGTCCATATTGGAGAACAAAAATGTTTTTTTTTGTTGAATTGTCTGAGACATGTTTGGGGAAGGAGTTTCAAGCCTTACTCACACAAGGGTATGATGATTCGAAATTTGAACAGGTTCAACATCATACTACCTGTCACCTGAAGAAATCAGTGTGCTCGTGACACGAATAGAGTGGAATGGCGCCCATTGATAAAAACTTCTCAAGAAGTCGCTATCATATTTAGTAAAGTTTGTCATTTGTCAGGAGTAAAAACAAACTATACATCGCGTCCCAACGCCAGAATATTTAAAGCGTTATCTACCCCGAAGAATTATGGATGAATCGAATATAACGAGAAAATAAATATACATAATATTAGACGCTTCAGTCTACACTACAATTTTATTAAATTTCTGAAGAAATTTAATAAAAACTCAAGCATATAAGTCAATATTTACACGTGATATAGACGAATGCAACTCTGATCCACTCCATATTTTAAATACTGCCTACGAAAGTGCAAAGCTTGATGACCTTACTCGATTACAATACCCAACATCAACAGAAAGATGGCACGCAAATGAACAAGAAATAGCCAATTCTGCGGTGTTTGTGCGACCAATAAGCACCAACAATTACAACGGATTTTGTCACAAACTCAATTAGAGCAAACAACACACAACAGTTAGTTTTTTATCTGAAAGATATGCCACACGGACGACGAACACAAAAAGAGTACACACTGAAAAGACGTACAATAAGTCCCCAGTTGAAACCTCCCACTTGGACGTCTTTAGGTTTTGACGGCTTGAGGGCAAAAGTATCGTCGTTGATTACGTCGATGACCGGACACACAACATTCGTAGGATCTCTTGCGATGCGGTCTAGCAGTGGCTCCAGCCAACCTGTCGTCACCATGAATTTAAGCAATGAATTAGATTCATGCAAGAGTTACCATCTTGCCATGATGGTGTGTCAGTACCAAGTCAGGATTGAGATATGTTTGTGAAACTGATATCCTTAAATGGTCATACTATACAAGGTGAAAAAATTACGTACGCATGTGTTTTATCATTGCGATGGTAAACACATATTTCCGTGGGTCAAAACGACTGGATTATTACATGAGGTAATGGGTAAACATTTTCATTCTTTGCTTGCTGAAAGAGAAGGAAGAGAGTTAGAAGATCTGTTTGTGAATGATTCTGCATTAGTTTGATGAAAAATAACCGTTAACTCAAGCTTGTAAGTATTGGGCCTGGCATGCGCACTTAGCTGTGCCTTAAATTACACCTCATGCAAAACAAATAAAAACTTAAATTTAAACCTTTTTTGTGACCTTCAAAGATAATTTTTTTTACAATTTTGTGGCTACAAATTCATCCGAGAATACAAATATTTTTTGAACATTTAGCTGCTCCAATAAGAAAGAAATTTCCTATGATAAAAACTATATGAAATTTCAGGTAAAAATTGTAGGAAACACGAAACTGGCAGCGGCAGACGAAAGTCAAGCAAGATCTCTGACTGCACGTCGAGTTCAGCTTCATGTTCCGGAACTAACAAGACTGTCAGCGACAGAAAGCAACAACTGCATAACACAACGGACAAAAAACGCTCAAGGGATTAGTTGCAGCTGAGCGGACGTTCCTAAAGCGGGATATCGTTATCATGGGAAAAAAATGCTCATGGGACTTCTTTTTAGGTTTGCTGATGCTCCCATGCGAGAAATTGTTGTCATAGGGCAACCACGAAAAAATAGAATGCTTACTTCATAACAAGTTATTTCTCAGTCTCTTTCCAAATTTCCCTTCAAATAGTTGAAAAAGGAAATAATACAAATTTATTTGTAGGAAAATATCATCCTTTTGTATTTGTCAGCATTCAAGCTCGGCGAATATGATTTTACAGAATAATTAAAGGAAAATTTCCAGATTTATCTGCCTTATAATAACAAAAAATATAGGAAATCATCTTGAATAACTAACTCAATTCCTGGTAAGAATATTTGAACGAAAGATGTTTCAGAACTTGCACTCCTTAGCAAACTTTTTCCATAGATATTGCGCTCTGCACGGCAAAGTAGAGAAGCTAGCAGAAAAAAATACACTTTTATCTCATTACTAAAACCTTGTTCGTTGTGACTACTATTTGCTGTGGGTTTAAAAAAATACTTCCGGAGAAATATCTCTTGCTAGCCAAGGTTGACATGCTGCGGCGCTTCTACAATGATGGCACAGAAGCTTGTAAATTGCCGAAAATGAATCCTTGATAATCCTGAACGTCGAGAATTAGATTCAAACAGAAAATTTAATTACTTGGTCTTAAAACCAAATTCAGCTGAAGAGAAATACTCGATGGATTTACGGACAGGAAGAGAATAGTGGACCGAAAATATTTCTCTTGATATTTTCGATGCTTCGGCTGGCGTTGAATTTCAATCAAGTTCAAGGTAACAGAAACGTAGAGTATTTTTTAGAAATCAGTTCGAAAAAACTAGACCAGCTGACTTCGGCGATACATGGAATCCTAGACGAAGCTCACTATTTCAATGGATTTATTCTGAATAATATTCGATTAGAATTCGATTCATTATCCGGTATAAAGCGTGGAGGTGGACAAAGAGTTGCCGTAGCTTCAAGAGCAAATTCGACGGCTGGGCCTCCTAGGTGGTTGCTAGAAACAGATTCATCCAAAACCTTGCAAAAGTCCCACTTAAGTGCGGTTATACGTAAAAAATGCATGTGCAGTCATGGAGTGAATGAGAAATACAATGCGTTGGGAAAACGTAAAACAATAAATTAAGGTATAAAAAATGAGAGAGAGGTAAAGAAATAGATAGGGATTTAGGAAACGGAATGGCTATAGTAGGTACTTATAACAACGAAGTAAAAAACAAAAAAATGAGGAGAGGGTTCAAAATTGAAATGAAAAATAAACTGGGAAGGACTAGAAAAAGGAAAAAAAAGAATTTAGGGGGGGGGGCAGGCTTGAGCGTTGAAATAAATATGCAATTAACGAACAAAAATAAATATGGGGCATAACAGAGAAGGAACAATTGCAAAGTAGATGATCGTCAAACCTGCAGGTTCCAGTCAAAACCACCGACATTGACACCAGAGGCGTCTCTATGGTGATACTCAAGAGTGTCGTCAGAAATAACGTCAATGACTGGACAAACGACGGCCGAGGCATTGCGAGCTATGCGGTCCAGTAGCGGTTCTAGCCAACCTGAGATAGGATACGATGGACCGCGATTGAATTCAAAGGTACATAATTCTATTTATAATTTTCTTTGATAAGTTGTTAATGACTTCGAAACAACACGTGATAAATGTGTCGCTTTATGAGTATCGTCGAAATATTGGAAGGGGGATCGTTAAAAGGTTGTAAAACGTTGAAATTTTAAAAATTGCCTGAAATAAGCGTGTGGTTCGAGGGGATGAACATGAATTCAAGTCAAATAGACGCTCAAAATCACAGCATTCGAATTGTGAAGGCAAATCGTCGATTTTGCACTAAAAAAATAAAAAAGAAATTGATAGAACCAGAGAACAATAAAATATAAACTTTTAAAAATGTCACTTGTGACCCATCGTATTCACCACGTGTAACAAAGTTCTTTTCCAAGTGCGTCTAAGATGAAAAGTTTGATTAAAAATTTACATACCAATGGTGTATCGATGCCCATCAAACCAACATTGTGCGAAGACAATGGAGTATTAAAATTTCTATGAAATAGAGCATATATCCAGCTGCTGCTTCACGTGTATAAGAAATAGAATATATGTACATATTGAACAAATGTTATGGTGTTATAATACCTGTACTTTGTTACCTTACATTTTTTAACGCTGGAATTTAATTCAAAGTTAGATTCGCAAAAGCACTTTCGTGTGCAGTGTTACCTGCAGATGTTAATAAAACGAATACAGTTAGTTTGTGGAACATTCAGGCATTCTTCTATTGATATATAAATAGAAAAATTATTGCTTCAGCGGAAAGACTAATTTACAAAATGAGAGTAAAATTGTTTCAGACTGAAAGAGAACGATTAATTGATCATAACACAAATGAGGTTTTTCTTACTATCTAAGATGGCATGAGTGGTCAGCGCATTATGTAATGAGCTCACACCTCTTTAATCAAAATTAAAATAATGAGAATTTATCGTAATAAAACTCACAAGAAAGGAACTCTCATAAATTCATTGACTAAATATGAATTCGAAAAATAGTGACAAAAATTTAGCAAATTAAAAAATTTTGCTAGCCGCACACGATACGTTATTTAACTCGCCTAAATTAAAATGAACAGAAGTTGCAAGAAGCAAATCGTCGTTTTAATGTTCGTTGAACGACTTCTGCGTTGCCCTCAGCACCAAGGGTTAGTTCCAGGCCCAAAACAAACTTAATGGTTTAATCACTACCAGGATGATCAACACTCAAGCTTAATTAATAGACTAAGTTCCAAGTGGAAGTTCACTTGTTCATTAGCACAAATAACGCCATCATCATTAAAGTACATGCAGTTGAGTCAATTTGGTAATGATCGAACCACATCCCATACATGGTAGTTTTTCGACCATTCAACTACGAGCTGGTATACCTGCAAACCCCAATCGAACCCTCCTACACTGAGGCTTGAATCCTGGTAAAAAAATTCTAGGGTTTCGTCATCAATGACATCAATAACTGGGGTTGGAACGGTTGAGTTGCTCCTAGCAATGCGGTCCAGAAGAGGTTCCAGCCATCCTGAGATAACAAGAAGCAGGCAAAGAATAATCACCGAACTCATCTCAAAATTAAAATAAGAATAACATATTAAATGGATGAAAGTAGCAGGAGACGCAAAGATCATAAGGCAATCCATCTGCCCCGCTGGCATAGCAGTTAAATCAACAAGCGCGAGAGTGAAGGCCGTGGCCGCACGGTCTGCTTGTTTTGCTGATGTCGGTTCAGTTTGCAATGTTGCCAGCTGGAGAATTTGGGAGGGATTATTTGTTAAGGAGATTAAACGCGGACAAAACAGCTCGCGATATTGCATGTCCTAGCTCAGTCAAATAAGAGAATTGTACACATTTCAAACAGCTCAGTAATGCAGCAATTCAAAGGCGAGTCTGAATCAGGGGCGGTTCATGTTAAATTTCTGCAAAACTTCTCAAGTGCGTCAAAGGAGGATGCAATGCGAGAAATGTCACGTATTAGGAGTTCAAACAAGTTGTTTTGTTCCAAGATCGCCTAGCTGGCACGCCTTACTTTAGGAATTATTAAAAAATGTAGCCACAGCAGTACGATCTGAAATGCAGTAATCCACCGCAAAATTAATAATTCTATGACCGAAACTTGATCGTTCTTTCAGGAATAATAGTAATAACACATGTTGAATTAAATTCAAAGCGCATTTCAGGTACCAAATTATTAGGTGTAACAATTCATCGCATAATGCAATACCGACGTCGCCTAATTGCTGTGATTGTGCGACAAACACATACATATAATTTTGTGCATGCGTGAACAATGTCATGTTGCATTCTTATATGTAAGAATGGTTGTCTTTTACAGTTCATTGGCGGTCACGCAGCGACCGAAGATCGGCAGTCTCAATACGGCGACAATTTTCGACTGGAATTTCAACTGGAATTGCCTTCGGTGTTGGCTCATCCAAGCCGAAATGGTCGCTATTAGCTAGGATCTTAGAGCCTTCGGAGAAAAATAAAATTTTAGAGACAGCAGAAACGTGAATCTGTGCGTAAAGCTGTAAAAAACGTGGCCAATGCTCAAGACAACTGAAATAAAGCCTAAAATTAAGCAAAAATAAATGTTTAATTGACGAACACGTCCAGTTACTTGGTGCATTCAAGAAAAATTGTCAAAAAATGACCGTGGCATGGGGCGTGTAAAATTAAAAAATAATTGCGATTTTTTGGGTAGTTTTTTTTTTACAGAGAAGAGCAACAAAAAAGCAGAAGCCATTGGCTTGTGACATTAAGATGAGAAAACATTTTATGGAACATCCGCTTTTGGATGAAAAACTCTCGATGTTGCATCATGTATGGCGTAATTCGGAGTTGGATTGACGGACTGGATGAGCTGTACGCTCAAATTTTCAATAATCCAACAAGTGAAAGTTTTTTATTTAGGTCTATACAGTTAGAAATGATAAGCAGAACAGACATCGCTTGAAATATGCATGTTTCAATGGCAAGAAAAGCGTTCCTCATTATATTGCGAAAAATATTCTACGTATCCTGTGAATGACATTTTTCTCCAAATGAATGAAACACAAAAGTACGTGCTCTCGCTGGCCTCTTTAAAAATATTAAATTTATCACAGAGGGATAAAAAACACATCCATTCGTAAATCTCCAGAGGATATTGTCTTCTTAATGGCCTGCCGCTCCTCGCAAAACACGAGGCAGAGAAAGGCAAAACTGCTTAGAGAAATAAGCGATGCTTCTGCTATACCAAATAAAACATTCTACATCCACATGCGTCGGGAGTTTAAGTGGGTATTCACTAGGCAGAACAGAATTTCAGAAAATATATTCCAGATAAAATCGTGCTTCAGACTAAGTTTTCTAGGCAGTGGCGAATTTCAGAAAATATTTTCTGAATCATCGCATGTTTCAGGCGCTACTTTATCGGTAGTGGCGCGCTAGAAGGCCTTTTATCAGTCACGTGATAATGTTCCTATGTACGTAAATCTAATACATGGACGTGCATAAATAAGTTTCTCAAAGAATTTACCTATTATTCTCAAAGGAATTATATACACCGGTAAGGTCGCAGATCAACCAGCAACTGGTGTTTGCCCTATTAATTGTGTGTTTTGAAACTTTTTATAATATAAAGAAGCTGTTTGTATGAACTTTTCATTTTACACCGCACATAATCACAGTCTGATCTTCTCTTTGTTGGAAATTTGGCCAAGAGCCCAAGAAACTTTAATCGACGTGGACGCCGAAATTTATTACGAAACCAAGCAAGGTTCGTACAAGCTGTCACGTAATGCGAGGAAGCTCTCGCAGGTTCAAGTCGAGTTAAAAAGTTTGCACTGCAGGAAGTTACTGCGCGGTTAACTCGAAGGAATTCTCGACAAACAAGAGGAATTGCCCGCAAGCTGTGCGAAAGCTCGCTACAGTTTAGCACTGGTTAAAAAAAAATGCCAATTGCACCAGATTAGAGGAAGAGCTTTGAATGTCGAGCCTGTATTCCAGGTAAACTAATCAAAAATGTAATTCTAATTAAGCTGACAGACGATTAGCCAGCGCTGATTTCACCTTACCATTTCACCTCCAAAAAAAGGCATAGTTGTTAGGGGTTGTTGAATTTTTCAATACGTTGCTGAATTTTTCGAATTCAACAACGTATTGAGGCAAATGGGCAAAACTAAACTTTTATGCATACAATTGACAAAAAAAAAGGCAATATTTCTGTAGAAATTTTTGTGTTTCCTGCTATAAAATCAAGGGCTACCGAAGAATTGATTTAAACGAATAATGAATGCATTCTGTTGAAATTTGATTTATATTGTAAGCATCATTCACGAGAAAACATTTGGTTAATCACGTCAAAAGTTCTTTGGAATTTCAAAGTGGTAGAGATTGATGAATGAAATGAAGATCCTACCACAAAGACTTATCTAAAAAATATAACTCAGTACTCACTGCAGTAAGTGACAGAGAGCGCATTTTCTCGTCGACGGACACTTGAGGTCACGGACAGACGGACGGACAGACAGACAGACAGACGGACATGGCGAGCACAATAGTGCATTTCTTCTATAAATGAGAAAATGCGCTAAAAAGCGGGTTTAATAATGTCTTTGCAGAGCTGTAACTCCCGACGAGCCAAGCGACACAGGATTTCCCGCTAGTGATTGATTGCAGCTCTGCATGTGTCAGCATTTTTGAATGCGAGAAGTCGCTCGATTTGCTTCGTGAAAAGTAGCTTGAGGGAACGCATTCGTTGGGAAATAGTGTCTTTTTGGGTAATAGTGTGAAATTCATTCAAATTTACGTTTACAATCGATTTAAGTGAAATCCTATTAATAATTTCCTTTCAAATTATACTAAATATTTTCCTTTATTTCTTAAAAGCTACATATCTGATTCGTATCCACTGAAAACAAAAAAAAAATTATCAATATGCTCATAATTTTTAAAATTATCTTGCAGCTAAATATGCTTATTCAATTAAAAAATAAATGTTGGGATGTGAACATCATGGAATAAATTTTGAATCTGCATCGCAATAAACGAAAAATTTTTCATGAACAAGATAAAAACGTTTCCATAGGTACTTTCTACTTTAATTCCACAAAAATCAATCTATTAAATGCAATATATTTTGTAATGCACTTCACTATTTGGTTTACAGTGTAATTGCTTTCTTTTCCAGTATTTAAATTCCTGCATGATGCAGCATGATATTACAGAGAACACACGAAGAAGTACCCACCGGTGGTGGTTCTTTATTTCATTTACAGAGTAGGTAACTCATTTCTTTTCCAGTATAAAAATTCCTGCATGATGCAGCATAATATTACAGAGAACACACTAAGAAGTAATTACAGTAATTCTTCTTACAGTAATTCAAGTAATTTTACAGAGTAATTCTTTTCTTTTCCAGTATAAAAATTCCTGCATGATGCAGTACAATATTACAGAGAATAAACGAAGAAGTACCCACCAGTTGTGGTTCTTTATTTGATTTACAGAGCAATTTCTTTCTTTTCCAGTATAAAAATTCCTGCATTATGCAGCATTATATTACAGGGATCACACTAAGAAGTACCCACCGGTGGTGGTTCTTTATTTGGTTTACAGAGTAGGTAATTAATTTCTCTTCCAGTATAAAAATTCCTGCATGATGCAGCATAATAATACAGAAAACACACGAAGAAGTACCCACCGGTTGTAGCTTCACAGTGGGAGTCAAGGAAGGTAAGTACGGGCGCTGTCGCGTGCTTGGCGCCCATGAGACGAGCTCTGATCAGACCTTCACGCTGTGGCAGACGTACGACCCGCACCTTCGGGTAGTCCTTGAGGTAGTTCTCGAGCTGCTCCATCAGGTGGGCTGGGTACGACAATATCAACAAGATTAGAAGGCGTTAAAAAATTAGGATGTAGAATTTTATAATTTAAATTGATCATTAGAACATGATCAATTCTTATCATTAAAAGATAATATGAATAGGATATAAAGGATAAGATGGATATGAAAGATAGGATGTTCAAAATGAGGATTTGAAAATGACGATTTTGACCTATTTGGAAAAGAATTCAGAAAAATCTTTTGAGAAATTCATATGTAAAATGTCAAGGAATTGAAAAAATAGGCAATAGGCTCATTTCATCAAATAGCGTGAACGCTGAACGGAGCCATTTAAATCATTGACACTGTTAAATCATTGACACTGCTGTTTTGATTGACGAAACATGACATAAAAACATTAAATCAATCTGAAAATCGTTATAGAACACATTCATGACTGATAGTGTAAAAAATTGAAATATTGCACTTAATTGCCGACAGAACAAAATACCGATCAAAAAACCTGATCAAAAACCTCAGATAAAATGAATGGTATGTTTTCATAACAAAAATTAGTTTGATTTTCATCTTTTAGTTCATCCCTAACTGAACTAAAAAAGTTCGGGCTTCACGAAAACTAAACATTCTCCACGAAAATGCTAACCTATTGTTCCTGTGGAAGGAAAAATGGAGAGCTAGGTTTGTGAATAAATTTAAAGAACAAATTAAATTGAGGAAAGATTGCCGAGACTACCAGTGCATCGCTTTTGGTCTTCTATATATTGCTGCTGCAGGTAAAGCTTAGAAAAATTTGCCGTGCAACGAATATTTGAACAAAATCCGTCTTAGCGCGCAATATAGAGTGAAAAAAATCCGCTCACTGCAGAGAAGAGCCACGATTTGAATGTCGTTAATCACCGCGTAATTAGGAAGCCTACAGGATAGTTACCCAGTATTTTATCGAAAGTCTGGAGCGCATATTAGCGTTGAGAAACAAAGGCGATACTCGCCGGGCCATAAATCAGTTGTAGTCAAAGCCGCTAGCTTCTTTTATGGGCTGATGGATAGCATTAACGAGCTTCAGGTCCTAAGGCTAAAATGAGGAAGTAATCATAGAGGAGGCGACTGAAAGCGAAGGCATCTGCAGTGTAGACGATCGTGATTGGACTAACAAGCTCGCCAATCAACGATGATCGTATGGGATTACTGGCAGAGTTGGAACCGAGTACCGGCTGGATTAATGTCATCATTGTCCAATGCGAGTAATCATCCGATTAAAAACGCGGGTGCTATCAAATCTCGATTGCAAATTACTGGCATCGTGGCTCTGTTTGCTTAATTGTTGCATGAATATATAAAATTTCTATCATAATCGAGTGACATTGATGATTAATGTACAACCCGATTGATTGTTCTACTTTGAAGCCAGACGAATCTGCGAACTTATCACTATTTACCAGCAGGGAAAAACAAACCAACGCCAAATTAACTGCAAATTTCTAGCAATTTATCCTGTAAAAATATGGCGTGACGATATCGATGTGGTTCTCATTCAGTGGAACACTGAACCTTTTATAACTCATCAGTGACGTGATTAGTACCACAATAATAACCACGTTATTATTACCTCAGCTATGATTATTATTGCTACCTCTCTTCACGTCGAGGTCATTGCAATATAGCTGACAATTTTTCATTTGAAGGTAATACACTCATATAGTATCCCTATTTTCTTTCATACCCATTTTTATAACACAGCGTAATTGCTATTATGTACGAATTGAGATTTTCCAAAGTTTCGAAAAAAAAACGAGCGCTTTAAATTGCAAGACAATTGACTGGGCGACTCAATTTGGCGCGTGTAAGCACAGCTACGTGGCTCGTTTAGAGGCTCGACAAGACTTAATCACTCTAATTAACATCGTTATTAAGGAGGCCTTAATTAGATTACAGCGAGGCTTACAATAAGCGTTAATCTGAACACATGTTTCTGCAGGTAATTCAGGAACTGCTGCGCTCTAGATGCTGTCATGAATAATGACTTTCATTGCGAATTTTTCCATGAAAAGACTTGACATATTCGTGGTTATCTATGTAATCTACTATTACCATCAATGAGACCATCATTTTAGTTGAACTTCAGTAATTAATAAAATGGTTAATTTTCTAGCAGGATACTTACCGCTTTATTTCATCAATACACGTTCAAATAATAACGAGGAAAATTCAAATATTATAATAATTCTTGCATTAATCAACTATAACGAAACATCAATAACGCCAGTCAAGAAATTATGTTGTCACGCACCGAGACGAGCAACTTCAAAGACGCGACTTCCTATACAGGCAATTTAAAATTCCTGCCCTTGATTTACTCCTATAATTAATTTGGTCCAACCTTCTACCGGTCGTCATTAATCAGGGCGCTCAGGCACAAGAGAAGTTAGATAAAATCCTAATTAGACCTATGAAAATTAGATCAGGCAGCGCCCGCGTGTACGGCCTGGTGACCAAACAAGCAAATTTTGCGCAGCGCCCAAGTTACATTGCCGGAAACGTTGCGAATATGTCAATAGATTCGGCAAAGAGTGACGCAAATGTTGAGAAATTAGTGTATGTCACAAGATACACCCTGCGTGTGTGTCACAAGAAACACCCTGCGTGTGTATCACAAGAAACACCCTGCGTGTGTATCACAAGAAACACCCTGCGTGTGTATCACAAGAAACACCCTGCGTTCACAAGAAACACCCTGCGTGTGTATCACAAGAAACACCCTGCGTGTGTATCACAAGAAACACCCTGCGTGTGTATCACAAGAAACACCCTGCGTGTATGTCACAAGAAGATGTCAAAAAATCATGGCCTAAGCAATGAAAGAAAATAAGGGAAAATAACTATTATATAAATCATAATTATAGTCGGAAAGTTGAACGAAATAAATCACATATAAAAACTATCGTTAATGGACTGTACGGGTGGAGGCTTTATTACAATTTAGAGCTGAAGGCGGAATCACATTGCAGTGCCTGCAATTAAGAGGAGCTCGAGTATAGCGGAGTAGATCACATATACTGCTTGATAAATACAAGCTGTTTACTTATTGACGGTATCTTGATCCACGACATCCAGGCGATATTTATTTCCAGCAGATGACTGGTAGCATAGGAGAAAAATTTTTGATACATATATTCAGGAGAAGAATAATCTCTACTCTATTTATCACAGTACTTTAAAAAAATATTTTCTGGACGCAAGTTGAAACTTTGTCTTAAAAATACAGGTTCGTTGACTTGAGCAATTGTAAATTAATAGGAAAATACATAATAATGGGAAAACACGGATGCTAGAGGTGGGATTTTGAAGCCGACCGTAGAAATATTAAAATATCTGTAGAATTAAAAGCAAGCAATCTTTTTAAAATAGCTTTTTCTGCTAAGCAGAAACAGGACGTTTCATCTCACGTGAATTGAATTACGACTGGCCACCTATGGCGCATTTGATTATGGTGGGTCGTTGATTATACGACTGAAGTTTACATTAAAAATCAAGGGCAAAAAGTCCATTGAAATGAGTTCATAAAAATGAAAAGATTTCATGTTCTGAAATATACTAGCAAGAGCCCGTTTAAAGGACAGTGAGGCATAATTAATAAGAGAGGAAATATACTATACATTTCAGATGGTAATCATAAAACAGATAAATTCGCTACATAACTGGTTAAATTCCAGGAAAATTCTCTTATGATTGCAATTGTGATTCAGTAACTTATTGTTAACTCAATTTGTAATCAAATATAATTCTTAATCTTAACTGCGGCAGCCAAGCCGAACTGTTAAAGTTACATAAAATCACAGTATATACAAAACAACTATAAAGAGCTTTCAAAAAGCATAATTGCAGCATCATGTGCATAACTCAGCATGTGCAGACGAAGTTCAAATACATCGCTCTAAAATGATGACAACGCATCAACAACCTTGAGACAACACAGTAAGTTTACTGAAGCACATCGCGCTGCTGCATTTCCCGGAAATACGTTCTCCAATTATTCTTCATAAAGTAAATAACTAGCTTTACTATTATTTCAACCATGAGCTTTACTAACGATTCATATCTGGATGACGTACGACTCAATTAAGGTTGTGATTAATAATATTAACAATCTTATGAGTGATTAATGAATAAATATGATTTTAATGAGAGTTCTGAGTTTGTCAATTCAATAAACTTGTAAATTCAAACTCGACTGTGTAAATCCTTACAGTTCAAAGACTGCGATGTCTCGAGATATCCTGGAGAGCTTACAATTATTTCAAATAATTAATTAGCAGTGTGGGAAAGTTATTTTTCTGCGCGTAACCAAGTGCCATAGCTGCAATCACTATCATGAAGTGAACTTTTGACTACAGCATGAGCTGGAATTACGATATTAAGAAAAAATAAGCAATTAGGCCTAATATGGCATTTTTCACACTAATGAAATTGTAACAGATGATAGCTTGATTTATGACAGTTACAAATAAAAATACGAACAAATATAGAAAAGAATGTCCAGAGCCGAAATACCCCAATATTTAATAATTAACTGGCGTGTGCAGGTATTAGAGTTCCAATACTGCACACTAAAGACTATCACACTCAGAACCATCACACCAGACTTTGGCGAGCCCCTGGAACACACCATGCACCACATCAGACCTTCAAAGGCTTCAGCATCGCACCATACACCACATCAGACCTTCAAGGGCTTCAGCATCGCACCATACACCACATCAGACCTTCAAGGGCTTCAGCATCGCACCATGCACCACATCAGACCTTCAAAGGTTTCAGCATCGCACCATACACCACATCAGACCGTCAAAGGCTTCACCACAGTCCACCATCACACCAGACATCATTTGCGAACGCCAGCGTCTCACCGGCTGCTACAACATCGCTCCCAGGAAGGCCGTGCAAGACGTGCGTCACAAATAAAGCACTGTTTACTATCGTTCACAAGACTTTGAGGTAAAAAAATTCTTATAAAGACGGTGAAAGATTGAAGAGGTAATCCTCTTAGCTTGGGCTGGCTGGTGGAGACGTGCTATGCCGCGTATGAACAAAATACCGCGACCAAGCTGCACTCCAGGACTTAGAAGCTCTGGAAGCGGCTCTCGTGGCACCAGAACAAACACTTCCAGAAACTGGGAAGTAAAATACAGGTGGAAGCAAGCAGCCGGCACTGCAAGATGGTCTCCTGACATACCGAATGCACGCGAAGTGCTGCACTCATGAAAGATTTACAGGGACCAAACCTCCAAATGAATAATAGAGGAAGATTTTCTTCAGAGGCCCCTCGAAAAACGTGAATTATAGATCACCAAAAGAATGAACCTAGACATAAATGAATGATGAAGCCATATTATGCTTAGTTCTGGTTATGTTCAGAGTGAGGCCACAGCAGCAAGAGGAATGTGAAGGGAATGATAGCAACATCAATGGTCATCGTGGCTTATAGCGGCCTCAAGATAAAATGACGGATAATAAAACAGCAATCAAAGTACTGCGACCTTGACAATCTTTTCCAGCCGTTAAACATCACGATAATATATGATCTGTGTAAAATTATTATAAATATTGTTAAGGAATCTAAATTCCCTCATTAGATTTGAATGGAAATATGTTATTTAAACAATATACGTGGACAGACGTATAATTTTGTTAGAGATTGAAAGATTCAATTCATATGCTGATTTTCTTATAATAAAGGGAGGTGCTTAAGCGCCTGAACCACGATATTGCACATAAATGTGGAACTTGGCATAAACAGGTCGTGTGAGAGCCATTAAGGGTTCGTATAAAATCCTCGTAGAGCCCAGCCGTGAAAGTGGCTTAGCCGTGAAGCTCGACTATGGAGTTCAGTCTGGCGCTGTGGTGTCGACTGCATGGACTTTGACAAGGACTTTGCGCCACAAAAAATAATGGTAGAGTAATGGGGTAATAACTTTTAGATTAGCTCGAAGATCTCTGTGAAAAAACATAAAAGGGGCTCTCGGATACTTTTGAGTTAAAATTTATTCTAGGTCAGAACTTAAGACTCGCTTGAGAGTGGAAAATTTCACGTTTCAATGGCGTCGCTTACTCATGACATGACTAAGACATTAGAGACTTGAAACATTGGAAACCAAACTCACCTTGGTTTGAGTTATCATCGACAAGGATGATCTCTCTGAGCAGATGCGGGGGTGACCGGTCCAGCACGGAGTGGACGGTACGCAGCAGCACAGACCAAGCCTCGTTGTGGAAACAAACTATCACCGACGTTTCGGGCAGGCTGCTCAGGTATCGGTCAGGAGCCTTGCACCTGAAAGTTAAGGCAGTTTTTGGCGGATTTTTTTTGAAAAGAGCGGATTTTTTTTTTTGAAAATCAAGGTAGTGTTTGGCGCATGGAGAATGCTTGGCGCAGAGGAAGAGGTTTAGCATCAGAGCGGATTTTTATGAAAGTCAAGGTAGTGTTTGGCGCATGGGGAATGCTTGGAGCAGAGGAAGAGGTTTAGCATCAGAGCGGATTTTTTGGAAAATCGAGGTAGTGTTTGCGCATGGGGAATTCTTGGAGCAGAGGAATTAGTTTAGCATCAGAGAGGATTTTTTGGAAAATCAAGATAGTGTTTGGCGCATAGAGATGCTTGTTGCTAGGGAAAAGGTTTAGCACCAGAGCGGGTTTTTTGGAAAGTCAAGGCAGTTTTTGGCGCATGGGCATTCTTGGAGCGGGGGAAGAGGTTTAGCATCACAGCGGATTTTTTGGAAAGTCAAGGTAGTGTTTGGCGCATGGGGATGCTTGGAGCTGGAGAATAGGTTTACCACCTAGGCGGATTTTTGGAAGGTTAAGGCAGTTTTTGGCATATGGGTAAATATGCTTGGTGCGAGGGGAGAGATTTAGCATCAAGACAAAATTTTTGAAAAATTTAGGCAGCTTTTCGGCGTAAGGGATGCTTAAATTAAGGAAATTGAAAGATGCATGGAAAGAGGTTTGGCACAGAGGTAGATTTTTCACAGAAAGAGAATTTTCGGAGCATAGGAGAGTGTCTAGAGAAACGAGAAATTCTATTGAGTAGTCTTAGTATGCTCTCCGGCGCACGCAGAATTTTCAACGCATGGGACATCTTTTATAGAATGTGTGAGATTTATAATGCGTGTGGCTTTTAGCGCGCGCGCTGGAGATGCTCAGCGCGTGGGAGATTTTTTGGCCCATGATATTTTTTTAGCGCATGGGTTTTTTTTATCAAATGGTGAGTTATAGTGTTAACGCGTGGGAGAATTTTAAGAGCAGACGGATTCAAAAAGCTACGTCGGGCATTTTTCTTTCGAATTTGTTTGATCTTTGTGCTATGTCTAGCGAGCTGAGGAGGTGGATCTCAAGCGCGTTTGAGACTAGGACATGAGGAGATTATAACGTGACTAATCTATTTGCTCTATTTCGTATTATATAATTACTTCTCATTAACCATGACAAGAAATTATGAGATTATTCCAGAAACATTGAAATATAAATGTATCAAGGAATTTTGGTTTCTAATTTTCAGATTCTATTCTAGATTCTAGTAACAGAAAAAATATTGAAGTAAAATCAAAAAGACTGATCTATTTAAAAAAACTTGCAGGTTATTTTCAAGAAGTAATGTTTTCGTTAGAGCAGAGTCGCATTAGCACTTGCTGTAGGAAGGACGTTCATTATACACATGCCAAAAAAGTAAAAATTTCACCAGGATTCGCTTTCCGAAGAAGAAGAATGCATAATGTCTTATAAGCGTACCATTCATCTCTGGGGTCAGGAAGGCTTCGGTGAAGGGAGATCATGTCAGAGACATACTGGTTGAAGGCGTTGTCTTGCCAGCCCTTGTCAACTTTCTTCTTGAGCTCGGGGTCGAGATTCTTGTCAAGTACGACAGGCTTGCCCATCTCGCCAGGACCGTTGGGATCCTGAGGCGGCATCAGGACTGCCTGTTGCGCGTGGATCTGAGAAAAATCCACAAATAAGGAAAATATTCAGCCCGAAAAAATAGAAAAAAGAAAATATTTCAGTTAAAAAAAATTTAGATGAGAAATAATTCTGTCACCATCCATTTCTACTGTAATTAGAAAAAATGGGTGAACTTGTTAAGTGCGGGGATCCCTCGAAAAAGTTCGACATTAGGATTTTCGATTAGGATCGACATAGTATAAAGGATTTCTAAGGACTTGAAAGGATTATGAATAAACGGATTATCACACCATGGGCTAGAACGGTGGAAATTGCAACAGAATTATTCAATTTTTGCGCTTAAATATTTAGAAAACGAGTAAATTAGGGTTGAATTTTAAGATGAATAACGGCATATATACTGGACCAGCAGCATATCAGCAAAGATTGTTATAGAATAGAAGTGTCGGCACTGAAGAAATGGGCTCATGGCCTATTGCCGATTCCTGTACTTTTCGTGACTTGATTCATAAGGGATCCGGCTTTTGGAATCCGATCATTTCATAACTGACTTCCAAAAAGTTATGGAAGAGACTATGGGAAAAAGCTTCACTCGGCGAACAGAAGCTACAAAGCATAATTAATTTAATGAAAAAAACTCTGTTTCAGCAACTTTTCAATTTGAAATACAATATACTACAAGTTACATGATCATAAGTGATGGCGGTCGCTGTATATGTATTTTAAGTGAAAGAAAGGGCGAGGAGGAATGAAGCGTCTTACAACTCGTTTATGCGCGTAATTTTACGGGATGTTAGAGGATTAGACGCGTACAGAATACGTATATGCGCATGCAAATGCTTTTACGTTATTTTTCAAACAGAAGACAAAAAAAAAAGAGAAAGCGAAGAAGATTCGGCGTCGAGTGAAGTACGCTCGAGTTTTCGAATCATGCTCTGATTTTAAGGTAACTTCGAAATTTACTCCTTTATAAGCGTAAAAAAGGTAATTTTTTTAAATTACCGTACAGGCTATAAAAACTCATCAACACGTTAATGTATGAAACATTAAAAGGCACCAATGACTGATTCAAAAACGAATATGGGATTATGTATGCAGTTAAAAACAAACACATAGGCATAAAATATCTTCAGTAATGAAACCACGCGATAGCCCGGCTTAAAAATTAAATAGCGTAGAAAGGCTAAATGGCACTTCAAACATTTACTTCTTATGGCATATTTAATTTTGAAATAAAATAACAACGTATTAATAAAATGACAACGTAATTTTTACTGCCGAAACCCATTCTTGAAAAAACTGGAACTTGTTTCAATTCAGTGAAGAAGCCACATCACTTTTTATACGAAACCTGTCATCCACTCCAAAGTAATGTCACGGCAAGACATACAAGCTTAATGCTTAATCGATCGCAGCAGGAATAAGTGAACGCCAGCGCTGGTCATGATACATGGCGTCAATCGTTGCGGTCTTTTATTTCTGTACCATGGCTTTATTTTTGGGTCTCAGAAATTAGGGCTTGCAGTTGAAGAATGAGACAGTTTGACCTTACAGCCAGCGAGGTAGTCAGCCTTCATATGTTCAAATACAGTTGAGATTGCATGATCAATAAAGTAATTGCTACAAAGCTTATGGCTAAGAAAGCTACTAATATTGTTCAAGGAGAATTACGGAGGTTTAGTGGTCCATAGCAAGCTTATAAGTTAGAAGTTATTGGATGGAGAGACCTTGTAATGCGAGCTCTACGAATATTCGAATAGAACTGCCACGGTGAGAACTAAAACAGTGACTAAATTTCATGCAGTAAAGTAATTATATTCAATGGTAACGTTCAATCATTAAGTTCTGTCTAGGTTACTAATCTAATAAAATACTTTTCAGAGGAAATCTTTGCAATTTTAGAAAGATTGCAAAAAAATTCCCAATACCAGTGCCGACAGAATTGAAATTGAGATTCTAGCAGCAGTTTTATCCTTCAAAAAAAAAAAAAAAAAAAGAATTAGCAGGTATTACACTGATGGATACTAGAATTCACTGGTATTTTTTCGCTACAGACGAGCAATACTGGTACAATACTTGATCAGACGGCATGAAATTTTCTTTTATACCGGAGCCCTCCGTGTACATGAAATCGATGGCGTTCGTAGGTGATTTGTGTTCATACGGACATATGAAATCCGTGGGTGGGAACAAAGAAATATTGTGACGATACAAAGAAAGAAATACGTTGACACGAATTAAATCAATAACAGAGCTTTATATTGAGGTTAGAATTTTCCTGAGCGCAAGTTTAACCTTAACACAAAGGACGGCAAATGAAACAAGAGGCTTACAAAAACAACGTGAGTTTGCTATGTAACTTAATTCACAATAAAAAAATATTCCATAGCTCAGCCCTCACGTATTCTAACGATTCTAAATTGTATAGGCATTTGTCTTTTGTTGGAATGTTGTGCCTGCATCAGAAACAGTATGCATGCATTAAGTTCTCAAAAATGATATCGCGGTTAATTGGGTAATACAAATTAACTATAAACGTTCCAATTAATCGCTTCTCGCGCAAGTCATCACGATAAACAGTAAAAGTATCACAACTTACAATTTTCAATAATTAGAATTTAATAAATATATGAGCAAATACATAAAAGTTGTGGCTCAGACATGAGAATAATAGCCCTTTCCGCATTTTTGAAAATGACGAAGATGCTTAATGCATGTTCAAGTTAAATAATATTAATTTTCTTAGTGTAGTGACCATAACTGGTAAATTCTTCAATTGCGATTTACTCATTGAAAATGCAAAATTTGGAAAATGATCTTGAGCAAATATTTTAATCCGATTTTATAAGTATAAAGATTAGGTCGTACTTTCTTGTACTAGCCACATAAATGTTTATTTTTGCGCATTACTCTATATGTCCGCCTAATATAAGGTTTACATATAATCAATTTAAAAATTAGTTTATTCATTGAAAATAGCCTGAACTCTAATCAAAGCTTCAAATGCTCATTGAAAAAAAGGACAATACGAATGAAGAAAAGATCACATCAGAGTCTCAGATTTCGGGTAATTTGTGGAAATTATTGATGTTACATTTATAAGTTTTATCATTGTGATGTATTTTGTAGAGAAAATATTACCGGCTAAAATAAATTAATTTGTTATCATGGAGAATATATTATAGTATATAATAATATAAGCAAGCATTTTACTGGATTTCTTGACTTACAGTAGAAATCTGCATTAAAATACCAAAGCCATCCCATTAACACAAGCTAATTTTAACTCCTTAGCTTTCAGGCCTCAAAATTTAAATGGCTGTCTACATCCGATGTTTGCAGTGTCGCATCTCATGTTTACTCTATGTATTGCCGCCGAATATACAAGCCTGTGCCACACACGAAGCTCTGACTAAGATATCTCATGCAAACTGCGGCTGTAAATAAGAGGCTGTTACGCGATCGACGTAAGCGACACCCGTTGCTGCAAATCAACGTCAACAAGCGAGCGCTTATCACAAAGACCTGCCTGATTATTAGAGGTGAGTGACGAGTACATGCAAGTTGCAACACCCCATTACGACAGCAGCTCGTGAGTACACGTTCTTTGGTAGTCTATGGGCGCTCTGAATGGTGAGCTAAATCTATAGCGATTGTGCCCAGCAGAGAACAATCCTGTAAGTTCTCCTTCCATCAATCATCACTAAATAGTAGATCTATGGGCGCTCTGAATGATCGGACAAGTCTATAGGATACAGTGATTGTGCCCAGCAGAGAACTATCCTGAAGGAGTTTAATAAACCTTATGTAAAGGCAAGTTTGCATCGAGTTTGTTAATTACAATGCGTGACGATGTGGAGCAATAGCAAAAATCCTAATTGTCGAATAAATTCCTGAGCTGAGATCTGTATTTTGATGAAGATGGGAATACCTTTGAATTGTTCCAATTATACTTTGGTAGTGAAATGCTTTCCTGCATCACTAACATACAAAAAATTAACCGTAATTAACCTCAACAGATTCATTGTAATTTTGACCGGAACTCTCCATGTGTCAAAGGAATGCAAATTAACAACCTTAACGCACACAGAGCGCGCAACTGCATTGAAAGAAGTCACATTTATCAGCGGGCACAATATAAATTTGCCACAAGCACCACAAACACTGGTAGACCAAATAGCGTCAGCAAACATGAGTAACACTGCGTGGCAGGACAGTAAACATTGCTCGGCTCACTGCTGTGAACAACGCGATGTATAATTCAGGCCAATAAGCTGGCCTTCGTTAATTACACGTGCAACAGCTCGTTCACTATCGCCTGTTCAAAGCTGAGACGCGAGATCATAGAATTAATGCAACAATGCCAAAATGTAACTCAGTATAAGATTTATAAATGAGAGTGCCTGAATTCTGAAAAACAAAACCTGAATGAATTTTATGCGTCACAAGTGAAATATTACGCCAATACGGTGTAGTGGGAATATAAATTATCACGGCACGATGAGATTAACACGTCACAGCGAGATCAGAAGCAGGAACAAATAGCTTGTTGATATGTTCGGTAGGCGTTACAAGGGGCTACGGGAGGTGTCGAGTGCGGTGGCTCAGCACGCGCGATGTATTTAATGAGTATACACACAATTAAATAAAAAAACTTGCCGGGAAAGAGAATATGAGGATTAAAAAAATTGTCTTTCAAAACATTTGCCATTCGAGTAAAAACAATACTTGCCATGGCAATTATTTTGCGATAGAACTCTGGGTTCTGCAAAAGTTGTAAGAGTATGAAACCGAAAAAGGCGCCAAACGATAACAGAAATAGATGTTTTCGTGAAAATTCAAATTATAAGAATAACCTCTTTAAATTATTCTTGAATTGGCAATGACGTCTAAGTAACCTGAATTTAACGCAGTTTTTAGATATGAAACGGTACGGAGCTACGTGAATACTAGAATAAAAAAATGACTTGTACAAATTATGTATAACGTCCATTCTCTTATCATACGCTATTATAATATATTAATAATCGGGATGTTATGGACAGTTATTCAGCGTTGGAGCGCGACACAGATATCCGAAGAAAGAGTTTGAAAATAGAATTTGAGTAATCTATTTAACACTAATTCGTTTTTATATTAAAAAATTTAAAACCAATAATCCTCTTTAACAATGATGACGTATCCACGACATGGATGCATAAAGAGAGCAATTGAGTTGCCATCTTAAATATTATTTCCTTCATTTTCGTATCACAAATGGCATTGATTATTGAGTTAAAGTGGATAGGAAGCTGCGAGATGAAAAGATAAATGATGGCTTGTCATTCTGAATGCACATCGACTATGAAGGCCAGGCAACATCAAAGACACAGCAGCTAACATTCAATTGTTATACATGTGACCGTAATTGTGATTATTAACATGGAAGTATAGAGTCCAATTAGGTGTATTGTCGGGTACGCTTACGCCCTTAAAATAATTGTTTCAAGTTCCCTTTCAGTTAAAAAAATAAAATAACATATAACAGTAGATCAGAACATACCCACAATTTACCATAAAGTTACGCATTCACGATAGAATCAATTTCATACCCAACAAAAAATTCATGTTAGTCGCCAAGAACTTTCAAGGGTTTTTCTTTTGTGAGGTCTTTTTCGAAAACCAATTTACGTAATACGTAATACGCATGTCTTAACACTATCGCAAAATATTGATCTTGGTGATAAATATTCAAGCTAAGAAGTCTGCCTCTGATAATCTTATCAGATGTACGAAACATTTTAAATATTCTCGGATATTATACCAAATTTCTCAAAAACATTTATCTGGGCGAAATTTATGAATTTGAAAATGAGTTGCATAAATGCTCTTGGCGTATAGTCATGAGAAAAGATTTATAGTCCAATATACAACATGCTAACTCTAGCACAAATAACTTTTTACAAGATATTTAAATAAGGATCAGTTTGATCAGTAACAAGATGATTTTACTTGAAAAAATAGATGAAACTGTAAACAAAACTTCTTTAATTCACTTGAATAGAAGCCTATAAAAATTCACTTAAAGAAGCCTATATATATTCACTATAATAGAAGCCTAATATTATTAAAATATTATAAAAACTGCAAAATTGGTCGCTTTAAACATCAACACCTCATTTCTGTAGCCATCTTATAGACGGCCCGTCATCAGACAATGCACGGCAATAGATAACACATATATTTAAAAATAGATTTAATTCCCTAGAAGCGAAGCAAAAATGATAAGGTCAGAAAATCTTGTAGCGATACGCTCCAAGATGCAAGGCTTTCTGCGAGATTTATGCCTTTGTGTGGTGAATAATTGAGCAAGAATGGCAGGCTTTAGGTTACTTGCTAATGGACTGTCTTAGAGACGCGCGCTGCGGTCGTGGCGACATGCATGAACAGCTCGAGTAAATCTTGGCCGTATTATCTTTGGCCGATCAAAAAACAAATAAAAGTATATGATTGGATTTACTAATAACTGTTTGTTTATTAATAATGTTTCTTGGCGGCCCCGGTTTTTCGACTGATATTTGTTTCCATTTTCGTACTTGCGATGGAATTTTTTATCAAGAAAAAAAAACGGATAAGTTGAACCGAGTTCGATATGACTCAGAATGACACACTGGGCAAAGAAAGCCAATAGGGATTAAGCCCGGATCGTGGAAATTGCTGGTTGAGTTGCTGCTCCATCGTATAGGTATAATGGTGGGCTGAGGAGCGATACTACAGATCAATAACTGGATCGATAATATCGAATGTTTTCTTCAGTATTTCAACGTATGATTGCCTGTCAATAATGATAAATGGCGACGACCAATGAAACATTGAACTGGTGTTTCTGCTGCACTGTGATGCAATGGTGCAAGACTTGATTGAAATATTCAAGAAACTTGATATGTTTAGGCTGCACCAGACTAACGATGCTTTTACTCTTCTTCGTCTAGGGCTAAAAAAAGCAGGACATTACTGATCTTAATTAACTGAAAAATGTATATGATGATATGATGAAAAATGTATGTATATGATTTAATTATTTCTCCAATAAATAAGGTATTAGAATAAATTAAAAATTCATCATGTTCTAGTATCAAAAAATAATTATTAAATAGATCTCACCTCATGATCTTCTTTTTTATCAGTCGTCTTCGGTGGGATATCGACAAGTTTTTCCACCCTCGGATGCTGGTTTTGCAGCCGGCCTCTGTCCTCGCTCGCTTGTGAATCTTTTTTATCCATAAAAAAATTCCTGGCGGCCTCCATAGGGTTGCCGTCATCCGCCCCCGCAACGTGCTGCTGGGGCTTGCGGACATCGTGGCGTAATTTCTCCGCCCCGATGGAGTTCAAGTCTTTATCAGGAGACCGGTCCATGAGAGCTAGAGTCACTATAAGGTACACAGCCGGCACTGCGATCAAAACTTTCACCAAAATTCCTCGTTTACGAACGAGTATTGTTCTTAGGAAAGCCATTTTAAATTATTTTGGTGTTCCTAATAACAAGGGAAAAGTTAATAATCAAGGGCTGAAAGTTTGTCCAGCGGTTTCCAATACAAGTGAAGGGACAAAGAATATGATATGTACAGTGATTTCGTGATTAGTTTTGCCGATCGATCATAGGAGCAAAACGCGTTTCTTCAGTGGCTGGTCGAAATCAAACACTTCCGAAGAGCCTTTCAGTTCACACTGCATATTAAAAAAATCATCTTTTATCAGAAATGATGTTGATCACAAAATTTTCTTAGAATTATGGTCACAAAAGCTTTATTTCTACTGCACTGACAAGCTTATTCGAGGCATAACGACAACAATATCTCAGTAGTAACAACTAGGACCCAGTTAAACTTCGTATGTTCTTCTCACAAACCGCTTATCAAGAAATGCCACAGCGGTTCGATGATGGCACATGTTTGGGCTTAATAATCTTTCAATAAATTGTAGGCGATGAAGAAGTTCTAAGTATATCGCTTGTCTCTCGCTCAGGAGGGGTGACTGTAGAGCTGCTCAGCGAGAGATGGTCTTGTCAGTCTTCGTGTTGCTCGTCATCAAATCTGGAATAGAAAAATAATTTTCAATAAGAATGTATTAAAATTGAATACTAAGTATTTATTACAAAAAGGAATTTTATAATAAACAAAAAGTTAATTTCACACCGCATCGTAAACTTGAAAATGACTAAACTATTGAATATAGTCATTATGCGAAGAATGCTAATTCGTTAATAGCAATCGCTAAGGACATAAAAAAATTCAGCATGACAAGTCCAAACTAGACCCTTCAGACGAAAAACCTGTTTGGCGTATGATGTTAGCTCGAAACGGCTGCCTTCTTGCATATTAAAAACAAAAAAAAAAATATCAATTTACACTTGAACGGTTTTGCTAATATTTAGTAAACGTAGCAGGTATAGCTTTATTATTGTAGTGAAATAATTATACTAAGCTTGTATTCAATCGTGCTTGAACAATAGCATTGCGATTAAATTCTTTGAGAAATTGTTTCCCGCTGCTTATTTATTTTGAGGAGCATCGGTTTTACTCATCTGCTCCGGAAGAATTAAGATGTCATCAATGGACTCGCCCAAGAAGATCTCAGAAATTTGGCAGTGAAGTAATCTTTCTCCGACAAGCCATCTTTTTCGAATAAAAGTCATCGTTTAAGCCACAAGTGGTAACTCTTGGTAGGCCAGAGGTTCGTGCAGCAGTTCGAGCAAACGGGAAGTCTCGTTGCGACCGAATTGGCAAATTTAGTAGGATACTCCCATTCAAAAACTTAAATTGGTCATAGGTGGCCAATGAAAGGCTGGCAGCCAACCGTTGATAATTTAAATTACACTTTAATAGGGCATTGGAAACTGATTTGGTATAATTAATCGAATTTATATAGCAAATGACCAAATTTGGCAAGCATCTGTAGTTTTTTATACGCAAGAAAAGAGCGCAGTCGCTGGGTTGAATATCTCAAAAGAATGGCTGGTAATAAAAAATACGATTTTATAATAGAAAATACAGGTTATAGAATTACCCGAGAAAACAGTTTCGTTCACTGAAAATTCATCAGACAGGAGTCTCTCTAAAAGTGAAATAAATACAATTTGGTAGCAGACCTACTGTGTGAGGACACACGATCGAGCCGCCTGCTCCAGAGCCCTCAATAAAGAGGTTCATTGCGCGCATTATTCTGCATCAGAGAATAACGATAGAGGTAACGAGGTCGAGAGATCGGCGAACAGACCTCACGCATACGGGCCTTGGGAACATGATAATGTCCACGAATATGAGTAGGACACAGAGATATTTGTTCGAGCTTGACTTTACGATAGGAATAAAAACGAAAAAGGTAAGTTAGTTTTTCCTAAATGAACAAATTGCAAAAATGAAGGGTAGTTACAGGTATTGGTATTAATTTGGATATAGAACAGCATTTATATAGGTTGATTCTCGATAAATAATTTACAAGATTTAAAATGAATCATTGTTTCGAAAACAATGGTATTTATGCCTCTAATTAAATTCGCAGTTTATTATCTGAGCAAAATAATCCCAAAGAAATGAAACGCGACTAAAGATTGATGACCGGAATTTTCACAATTTTCCGATAGCTAGATCTTTAAATAGTAATCCAAATTTGTTTCGTGTCAAATATTTTCCGATGCAAGATATTTCTTCGAGGTCGAAATGTATCCTAAAATAGAAAACGTAAAAGCTGCGAGACGTAAAGCTGAAAATGTTTTCGCGGCTAAAAAATTTGGACTGGAATCCCTAAATTCATTCTAAATTTGACTGCATTTCAGTTGAAAATGAGACTCGTGCGATTTTTTTTATAAATAGATAATTCGAAACTCAGAAGTTGATCCCAAAAAAATGATTCTTTTTTTTTTTCACTATAAATTATTCAGAAATAATTCGTCAAGAACAAGTGCACTTGGTTAAGAACCATCAAACATGAAGTAAAAGAAAATTCGTGCTGAAATAGCGTAATTTTCAAATCAAACAACATGAAAGGGCGTTCCGAACAGCGGTGTTGCTGAGGCCCTTGCAAGGGCGATGGTCTGAAACTTGTAATAGAATTATTGCAGTCTTGACGCACGCTTGACAAGCAAGACACTCACGCACCTTACGCTTCCCCTGAATTTCAGTTCAAAATTATTTCCGATTTATGGGCGGCCGCTAAAAAGCCGACGAATGATAGCAGAGGTGATTTGTTATTGCGATGCTCGAAATACATCAATAAATGAACAGGCAGTCGCATCAACTGATTGGTGCCAAGAATATGCATCGCAAATGACGAGAATGATGGAGATGGATTCCTGTTGTTGACGAGACAGAGGCGTGTAAAAACTTCTTTCGTGAAGTTCAGATTAAAATGGTGCCCGGATAAATATATGTGTTAAGTTTTCATTTAAGTGATAAACATTTTCCCCTTATTATTCAAGCGACTAAAATATGAAACCAAAGCATAAAATATTTGTCAGTAAAGCCAACTGAAAACTGTCTCGTAATCCTGTAAGCCTCCAAATAAAACATGGCGCAGGTGCAAGCGGAAAAACTTTGGACTATAAATTTAAGTTTTCAAGTCGAGCGAGCGGTTGGCCGGCGCGCTTACGCTCGACGCGAAAATTTCGGTATAGAGACGCACATGCGAGAGCGCCTCCATAACTTTGCTCTGGCGTCCGACTGCGAAACTGCATTTCCAGTGAAAAAATTGTATTCAAATCGGACATTCGAGAAGTCACTTCATTTTAAATTTTGATAAAAAGAGAATACGAGTCACTTGATGATTCAAATATTCGATCAAAACCCGAGTGTAGAATTTTTATTTAACAATGTTTAATTATGAGCATTCGTATAAGAGCAAAGACGCTAAACTGCAATGTTTTACGAGGCTAAAGTGTTGGGGCGATGCTTCGGTGTTCCCGCATAAAGGCAATAACTGGGCACGGATCAGCTAGATAGCCTTTAGAGCGATGACGCTGAAAAACAGCGGATATTACGACCTGAAGTTGATGCATCGTCACGTTGAAGAACATGTCATTTATGATAGATTGAAGAGCGTTCCACTCGCGAGGTTTTAGAAATCATTCTTAGAAGAATGGAAGAGCACATTTTTCACTAAAGGTACTTACGCATAGGGAGGATGAAAAAATATAAAAAAATAAAATATATTATAGCAATAAAAATACCCAAAAGGTCGTTTTTTATACCCATACAGAATGTGGTTCAAATATAAGGCATTTTAAGTGAAGTATATATCACTACAATGGTTTTTCAGCCACCCCAACAGTAAATAGAAAGTTTCGAATTGATTTACATCAACGAACGTCGATGAATGTAATTTAGTTCTGGAAAAGGTTCGCTGCACAATTTGCACGGAGCGTAAAGTGGCGGAAACGCACCTGCGACTTCCCAATTTATGCTAAAACAAACATAGAATATTCTCGCTTCGACGGCATGCAAAGGTGCGCTCGTACGATGAAAGAATTGATAGAGATGGACGGCCAGCTTTCGAATTCCGGGCCTGCATTTTGATATTTTTGATTACAGGTTTGATAGAATATTTAAAGAACATTGGGCTGGAGTTGGCTGTATTAGCTTCGATATTCACCGCGCAAGCACATCTCGCACGGCTTGCCGGTCGTTACTTGGATACCAAAACCCACGTTTATTTTTTAAATATAAAAGTAGATAATTTTGTTCCCGTACATCAGCATCATATAGAATAATCAGAAGAACTTGGGATGAAATTGTGACTTGTGTTAGGTCACTCTTGAGTCACAGGTCGTTACATAAAAGCTGCTAATAGATATTCTGCCACTATATATGTACGTTCGGGTTCGAAGATGTCAAAAATCTTAAGCCCTAACGAAGAGGAACCACATTTAGAGGGCATGCAGGTTTCTATAAAACCAGTCTTTCTATTTCTCACTTGCAAGGCTGATATATTGGAAAAACAGCAGTCAGTAAACTAGTACTACAATTAATGCTTAATTCAGTGGAATTTAATTACAATTAAATTCTTATCGCATTCACGCTTGCTGACGGCTTTTGCCGTCATGTTGAATTTGCACAAAATGCACAAGCTCAATTTTCTATCTCGTACTGGAAAGAACTAAGTAATATTTCATGGACGTGTATATGTGTTATAAAATAGCATACCTGCTCTATAAAAAGTGTTGATGTCTATAGAAGTAAACACTTACATATATAGATATAATATATATTAAAGTGAATGTATGTGTATTTTATACAAAAACTTTTTATATATAGACGTCAATAATAGAAAGTGCGTTGAACAATAATAGCTGGTATAAAAGGCGTAATTTTGGACCAAAGATTAGAGCAAAATTTGGCAGAAAAGGCGTATCTCTTATTCACTCTTATGTAATAACACGTAACAATGACGGCTCTTCACGTACCTTGTTTCTTTTGCACTGTTAAATTAGGACAGCTATAGAGCTGTTCGTGCTAATTGGACCAACATGAAAAACTAAGGCAAGCGTGAATGCGTTAATTGCATTAAATTAAATGCTTACATTTAAATTTTGTAATTTTTCACCTTAACAAGGTTTAACTTGCATCAAGATGAGGGAGGGAGGAAGTTTAAAATACAGTCATAAATGAAACAAATTAGTTACATAAAATACGAGTCATGTGTTATGAGCAAAATTTCATTTAATTTCAAGGGATGATAATTTTCAAAAAAATTTCCTAATTTATATTCAGGGATGATATTCCCCCGCAAGGCATTAATTAGTCTCCCGAAAAGTGGAACATTTTTACAGAAAATATTCTTCTGAAAACAGCAATCAGAGATAAAGTCTCCAGTATTTTTACTGAACCAATATGCAAGGTATTTGTTTAACCCTGAGAGAAATGTAAATAAACATGAAAATGGCTCTCGCCGCTCGCAGTATAGTTCGTCTTCTTATAGCGGCGATCCATTAAACGCAGAGTCGTGACGCGGCCCAGGCATTTGTGATATACAGTGGGGGGAAATAAATATTCGTACACTTGAAAAATCGTATTTTAATGTATGTAAGTACATAAACTTA